CTGTCGCCGGGCTCTTTGAGGGGGTTGGGGGGAGTACCAGTATGACAAGTACCAGTCCCTGCGGTGTTAGATCCTCGTCTTTTTTCCTGCCTGGAACCTGGCTCCGAGCCAGAGCGCGTGGGTCCGCCTCGGGCCTCTCCGCTCTGTGGGTCCCGCGCCCGGGGCCTCCATCCCGGTGCCCTCCGTCCACAGCCGGGCACAGCGGAGCGGTCGGCGCAGCCTCAGCCGCAAGGTCATGTCAGGAGGCCCCTTCCTCTCCGCCTCCCCAGTTGACGCAGCCTCGACCTTTCCTCCGCGCCTTCTGCTCAGTCGCATTTTGTGAGTAGCCGTTACCTGTTTTAGCTGACCCTTCTTAGTAAGCGTCGATTAAGAATGTTCTCAGCTCAAACTAAGTAAGGGTCTTCTGCGATTCACTTGGTTCTGAGGTGGCTGGAAGGCGCGGCGGGTGGCTTGGCCGGAGCCCTTTTGTATCCCCAGTAAAGCTTTGTGTGCGGCCTAGATGGTTTCAGGGTCCCTTAAATGGGCGCTCATTTATCCTTACTAAGGAAACGTTCTATAGCGGGGGAACGGATCTTAGGCCTCAAGACAACCTTGACATGGCTTTGTGATTGGTTTTTAAATTTGTTAACAGAGCACAGTTTACCTACTAACAATGAGTTCTCGACGCAGTGGAGCATTGTCGGCATTTGTTCCCGGATCTTCCTTTGTGAATATGCTCTGGAGACGTGGCATTGAAGTTGGAGAAGAATCCGTACAGTATAGGAGGCCCTGAGGCTGTAAATGCCGGCTATACCCTTAGATGCTTCGGGTCACAGAGATGTGTATTTCCCGATACGATACAGAAGAAACCGGTCAAGAGCTGGGAGACTGGAAGAACTTTTGCCTCTTCAAAAGCAAAGGTATAAGTGAAGCTCGTCCATGGGACTTGGTATCGTCATACGTTTGTTTTTTTCCTCCCCCCAATTTGAAATACAGGTTGTTTCATCTATAACAATTCAACGGTTAGCTGTCAAGGCAAATGTGATGGCTGGTAGTTTATATTTGGTATCAGAGTCATCGTTTTTGAGGCCTAAGCGGCTTGAATACTATCTTCATTTCTAAGTGTTGGTATTTTTTTAAATTTTACAAAATAAATATTTGATTAAAGTTTTGATAATGTATGTAAGTCCTTAAGCATAATAAATATACAAAAGCCCACTGATCCATTTAAGAACTGGGATATTATCAATACCATAACATCTGTTTGCTTCCCTATCCCAGCCCTTCCTTCCTTCCTATCCCATGCCTTCCATCCTGAAGTGCCCATCATCTGGGATTTTGTGCCCAGACTCGGTTTTTTGAGGGGAGTAGGGTGGATAGCAGTTTTATTATACATACGTATCCCTAAACATTCTTTGTTTGTTTTAGGCCTTAAACAAGTAGGACTTTCATGTATCAATAGTTGTCAGAAGTGCCATGAATCATATATTAAACTGAAGTTTTCCAAGTTGGAATTATTCATAAACAATAGTATGTGTTCCTAATATTATGTGAGAGATTTCAGCATTTCAAGACTTGAAAATGATAAATTGTCTTGCAAGGCCCAACATTTGATATGTCTTCATAAATCATTTCCAATAGCTGTCCAGTTCAATGATTTATCCTCCTGGGGTTCTGTAGGACATGATCTGTGGCCCTGGCCATGCCCTTTGTAGTACATAAATATGCTTTCAGGCAACTTGGGACTTAATTCTACAGGACTGTGTCCAGTAATGATGTCAACATAATGTATCTCTGCTCTGAAACTATATTAGATATGCCATAATAATGCTCTTAGTTAGAGGTCTGCACACTTGTTTTTATATATCTAACCTTTAACCTGGCTCATCTCATTCTTGTCAAGCTCTGAGGCAGAAAAGCAATGGTTGGGTACTCATTAGGACCATCATGTCTGAAAATCTGTACTGCCACAGTAAAAGAGCATCATAAATATATCCATCATTTTTGCCCATGCTAATGAATCCATTTCCAGCTTGGAAAGATCATTTATGGAATTATTAGGGCTTAACCGGTCAAAAGGACTAACACATCCTCAAGTCATTATAGATGTTTAAAATTGGGGGCTTATCAGTTTGACTACCAAAAAAAGTATAATTAAGCAGCAAGCACATTCTTTTGTTCCTTCAGAGGTGTGTTAAACAACAGATAGAAAATGACTCCACTATATAGTCTTAATGTTAGTAGCTTTATTATAAATTTGATTGGGAGTCAGGAAGATTGCAAGTTTTTTTTGTTTTTGTTTTTTTAATGGTTCCTGATAAGAACGGGAAAAAAAATCCTACTGGACTGTACTACATATAAGATGCCAGACAAACAGATACAAATACAAATGAGAATTCACAATGAAATATATTTAATTTCTAGGTACAACAGAGCTTATGAGTTGAAGATGAATGAAGGTCGTTGTGATAAATGTTTTCCAAAAACTTGTCATAGAGGATGGCTGTGAAAAAACCACCAGGAGGACAGCTGTGCACGTAACAAGGTACCAAAAGTTTAATGTAAATTGTGTGCTTTTTTATGTGTTTGTGGTATTGTTCCTGAAGCACAGTACCAAAACTGTTTAATAACTGGCACAATGATGACTTACTTTTTGCCGTTTACCCAGCTGAGGGTATCTTTGAAGACATAATTTAAGACTGAGATGCCAATAATATATATTATGTGAATTACTCAAATATAATGCAGTTTTTTATTAAAATGGATGAAATGTTCTTTTCAGCATATAAGTACCTGCAGATGAACGTTCAAGTCCTTAGCAGTGGTGTTTAAAAATTCTTCATTGCCTCAAGTAAGTAATTAAGATTTATCAAGCAACCGCATCTAGAGATAATTTGAAAGTACCTGATAAATTCCAAAGGGCTGAGGCCATTTCCTGTTAAAGGTGCCTTTGTGTGTCAGGTTTTGATTTTCTTCGAGATTTGATTATGGATTGATTTTCACTGTTGGTTTCTGATTTTTTTCCAGAGGTGTGGCATACAACATTTTGGAAGGGAAAATGAAGAATTGGTCAAGAAGACATGAATTAAAGCAAATGACGAAAATTAATATTTTATTTAACATTGATCATCTCACAATAAATTATGTAGAAAAATATAAGTTCAAATGATTTTAATTGCTGGGCAATAAAGTCTCTTTTCTTTAAAATATATCAGGTCTTTAAACAGCTTCATTTTCTCTTTTTTTTTAGATTTTTTTATAAGTTTATTTTACAAATTTATTTATTTATTTTTGGCTGCGTTGGGTCTTTGTTGCTGTGCATGGGCTTTCTCTTGTAGTGGCGAGCAGGGGCTACTTTTGTTGCAGTGCGCAGCCTTCTCATTGTGGTGGCTTCTCTCGTTGCGGAGCACAGGCTCTAGGCGTGGGGGCTCTAGAGCACAGGCTTAGTTGTGGCACACGGGCTTAGTTGCTCTGCAGCATGTGGGATCTTCCCGGACCAGGGCTCAAACCCGTGTCCCCTGCATTGGCAGGCGGATTCTTAACCATTGCGCCACCAGAGAAGCCCCTAAACAGCTTCATTTTCATAGTTAGTAGTCAGACTTGTTTTTAACATACTTTAGGGATAGTATATTCTTGTCAGTAACTAGCTTCTCTGTGGATAGTGATTCTCTTTGAAGTGCCAGGTGGTGGGCAGCTGGGGAGACTTTTTAGTACATCCAGTTCTCGTACCCTTTCTTGCTTTACTGGGTTTCTGGAGAGGTGCTAATCACTGCGTACTAAATATCTATGAGGGCCTCCCCTTTAGAACCTGCTGTTGTTCCTGAAAAACAAGCATTAGTTGACCCTTGACCCTTAGGGGCGCCAACACTCCCTAAAGTCAAAATCCAAGTATAGCTTTATAGTCCACCCATTGTATCCAAGGTTCCACATCCTCTGATTCAGTCAGCTGCAGATTGTATAGTGTAGTATGTATGTATTGATAAAAAAAATCCACCCTTTATGTGGCCCCATGCAGTTCAAAGCTGTGTTCAAGGGTTAACTAGTTGAAATTTTCTCAAATTACCCATTATAAGTAAAGGTTTCACCTATGACCTACAGATTTTTTAATTTTAATTTTATTCTTTGTTTGCTTTTACATTTGTGAAGAAAAAAGGATTTGGGAATTAATTTAGGACAAATTAGGATTTGTCCTAATTCTAGTATTAGTAATAATCTAGATTAAGGCAAATAATGACTGGACAGTCCAATCTGTCCAGGGCATGGAAATTTACAAGAATTCAAAAACAACTGAAATCCTACCCAGGTGAAGATTTAAATTTAGCTAAATCTTGCTTTTCCCCTGTTGAGTCCCACAGTACATAAATTCCTTGCTTTTATCAAGGTTATAATTTCAATATGGTAAGTCAAACAGTATAAATTGTACAGCAATATCACTTCCCATCAAAGGCAACATTTTTTTTTGAAAAGCACTTATATAATGAATCTCCCACCATGTTGCTTCAAGCTACCAGGAAACAAGCCCCACCAACACCCTTAATCTTCTCAGCTCTTCTGCTGAAGAATTTGGCCTTCATGATGACAGGCTGCTTCGGAAGCTTTCCCTTCCCCAGAACTTTGTAGTAACTGATTGCACCACATCAATGATAGGAGCAGCTCCAATCTTGTTCTTGGCAGCATTTACCCCTGTCTGCTCACTGACCAAGGTCCACAATTTATCAAGGTTGACAGTTGGGCAGAAGCTCTGGTTCCTCTTTAAGTGGTAATGCCTCATACCAACTTTCCCAAAGTATCCTGGGTGATATTTGTCGAAATTGTTCCTGTGGTGATGCATGCCACCAGCATTACTGCAGCCTCCTGGGTGCTTACAGTGTTTGCCTAACATTTGAAAACCATTTTCCTCCCCAGTGTTTGATACTAGTCCTTTCATTTCATCAACAGAATCTGAACACTGCACAATTAAGTGTAAAATGGGGGCTATTTTATGGATCCTAGTTTTATAAAACATGTTTTGACTTCACCCCATAGAGAACAAAAAACTGAAATATAGTATATAAGAAGCCACAAAATAAGGTCTTTAATTTGTAATATATGATTTTTTTTTTTAGACTAGGTTTGCCTTCTGAAAACAACACTGTATAGTCTCTGGCACTAGTGGATATTCAGTAAATACTGTTGAATGAACTGCAAGGAAAGAAAGTAGTAAGTGACTTGTTAAAAAGTCCTCTAGAGAGTGAGAGAGCTGTCTGCCTTCACAGTTAAACTCCATGAAGTACCTATTTCTAAAGAATTGATGCATGACAGTGTCTTGGTTAATAAGGTGGCAATTTTGTGATGACATTTTCCTATTAGTGAGTAGAACTGTCTTTTTAATTAAAACTTTGGAAAATAAAAACAAGGATTTGGGGATTTTACAAGATAAGTATATTTTTGCACGGTGTTCCTACCTTTTCAGAGCAAATATCTTCCCTCCAAAAATGAAGACGGTTTGCAAATTGGTTTCTTTGGCTTTTGGTACCTTTCTTGTAACTAGTTAGGTTTAAGGAGCCAATTACTGCTCCTTGATTCAATGGAACTTCTTTTCATTTAACCTGGTTTAAAAATGGAAAATTTCCAGGGCTTTTCCTGATCCCATAATTAGGGCTTCTAAAACAACATAATAGACATGTCAGTATCTAGCATGAAAAGTCCTTACATTGAAGGCTTCTGGTTATATAAATGCTGTTATTTACTCATCAATTTTTCAGGTTCACAAATGAAGAAAAAAATGGTTTTACTTTGTAAGTAAATATTTAAAGTGTTATTGCCATCTTGTGACAAATAGAGGGAACTACACAAAAGTTACTATTTTTTTTCCATTGCTTAGTTTGCAACATTCTTTATATTTTAATCTGTGGACCACTGGTACACTGGGCTAACCAGAAGTTTTTTTAATAAGATTATCCTAAATTATAAATTTCTGCTGTTGGCTTTGAGATTTGTATTAGTGTTTATTCCATTAGCAATTAATTTGAAGAAATCATATTTTATATTTTTTAAGGTGGCATTCTAATGTACCCATACACACAAGATTACCTGAAGCATTACTTGAAAATCACTCACACTTTTTTCCACTGCTTAAAAAGGAATGAAGGAAAAATTTCCTCAGATTGCCTATTCATCGCTAGCAAAGATAGCTGTCCCAGGTCCATATGTGGCAATAAACTGTTGGAGCTGTTGTTGGCACTCAGTCAGATAGATATCCCTTTGCTCTAAATATTCTTCATTATACAGTTCAAATGGAAATACTGCATTTGGAGCAACACAAAGTACAGCAGCCCCTAAGTGAAGAAGGAAAAAGTATAAATGAGAAAAAATGCTAAATATGAAATCATATTTTCAACAAAATAGTGAAAGTTTTACAATTAAGTTCTGATCTATCTAATAGAGTATTTCAATAGCTATTATTTAAAAAAAAATTTTGAGACCCAGGAAACAGTTTCAGTAAATGCACAAACTGGTACCAGGGCCAATGGAAGAAACATTGATATTTAAATTTTAAAGTTTGGAAACTAGAAATTTGTCATCCATTGAAATAGCCATTAGTGTTCTGAAGCTGAATAGTGATGTGAGGAGGTGGAAGAAGTAAGGAGAGAAGGTATTGTAAGGTAGAGAAACAATAAAAAATCTATGGAATAGAAGAGAAATAACCTTGCATATATATTTAAATGATTTTTGACAAGGGTGTCAAGACCATTCAATGGGGAAAAGATGGTCCTTCCAACAAATGGTGCTGTGAAAGTGATATCCATGTGCAAAAGAATGAAGTTGGTTCCTTACCTTACATCATAAAAATTAGCTCAGTAAATCAAAGACCTACATGTAAGAACTAAGACTATAAAAGTCTTAGAAAAACACACTGGGGAAATGCTTTATGACATTGAATTTGGCAATGTTTTCTATGATATAACACCAAAAGCATAGGCAATGAAAGAGAATAGATAAAATAGGCCACATCAAAATTAAAAACTTTTGTGCATCAAAAGTTACAATCAACAAAGTGAAAAGGCAACTCACAGAATGGGAGAAAATATTTGCAAGCCATGTATCAGATAGGGGGTCTACAACTGAACAAGAAAACAGCCTGATTAAAAAATGGGCAAAAGACTTGAATAGACATTTCACCAAAGAAGATATACAAATGGCCAATAAGTACATGAAAAGATACTCAACATCAGTAATCATTAGAAAAATGCAAATGAAAACCACAATGAGATACCACTTCACACCAGTAAGAATGGCTACTATCAAAACCAAAATAAAACAGAAGAAAGTAACAAGTCTTGGCAAGGATGTGGAGAAATTGGAACCCTTGTGCACTGTTAGTGGAAATGTAAAATGGTGCAACCCCTAAGGAAAACAGTATGGCAGTTCATCAGAAAATTAAACAGAATTACAGATCCTGCAATTTGACTTCTGGGTATATACCCAAAAGAATTGAAAGCAAGGTCTCAAAGAGATATTTGCACACTCATGTTCATTAGCAGCATTATTCACAATAGCCAAAGGCAGAAGCAACCTAAGTGTCCATTGATGGGTGAAGAGATTAACAAAATGTGGTATATGTATATATATAGAGAGAGACAACGGAATATTCTTCAATCTTAGAAACGAAATTCTAATGCATGCTACAACGTGGATGAACCTTAAGGACATTATACTATGTGAAATTAGCCAGACAAAATAGGACAAACATATGATTCCACTTAGATGAGGTACCTAGAGAAGTCAAGTCCAGACAGACAGAAAGTAGAATAGTGCTTGCCAGGAGCTGGGGGAGGGGAGAATAGAGAGTTATTGTTTAATGGGTATGGAGTTTCAGTTTGGGAAAATGAAAAGGTTATGGAGTTGGTGTGAATGTCCCTTACACCAATAAACTGTATACTTAAAAATGGTTAAGAAGGTAAATTTTATGTCTATTTTACCACAATTGAAAAAACAAAACAAAACAAAACCTTTGACTCATATTGCAGAAGTTAAGCTCTTAAATTCTATTTCATTGATTCACTAAATGAGTATCTAAATGTAACTGGCTGGGAGTACAACTGCTGGCCAAGCAGACAGTGCCTACCTTCCTAGAGCTGTCTGTCATTAGTAAACACAAGTAGCCTCAGACTTCCGTGACTGCTCCCTGTACTGCTTTACCTTACCTGAAACCTTGCTGTCCCTTGAGAACACTGCTTTCCTTGTGGCTCTCAAACACCCCACATACCTTAGTGTCACAAGAAAGAGTCAGTGCCTAAATTGCTGCACCTTTGCGGCTTCCAGACCGTTCTTTCCTCTTGTTAAAAATCTTTCTTCCTTTGATGCCCAGTGCCACCTGGGCTTTATCATCCTTTCCCCTTCCACAGTGAAGTCAACAATCAGCTCTCAGTACTTGGCTCACAATCTTCCTCTGTTCCCTAATACCTGCCATTCAGCGATTTCCATGTGAATGACCCATTTAACTGCCAATCTCCAAGTGTCCTGACCTTTTCCCTCTACCTCCACCACACATTCCCAGAATCAGAGGAAACTAATATCTTCAGAAACTTACTTCAAAACCATGAGTTCAAATGTCCCTCTTCTCTATGCTACCTCCTATGCTTCCAGGTCTTCTATCTCAGGGACCTCCAATCTGCTTCCTTCAATTCACTTCCCTCTTTTAGCCAATTTGAGTCCCTCCCTTGCCAGTCCCCACACTCCCTTGCCCCCCCTGCAACACTCTGCCACACTCATCTATCAAAACCTCAACTCTGCATGAACCCAACCATTTACCTTGTGCCTGCATTCAGGCTGCTAGGCAGAAAAACACATAATTGGCATTGCTTGGTTTCACTTTAAATGAATCACAGAAACCTGAGATGGTCAATTGCACTGCCTGACAACCCTGTTGAGTTTCTCTAACACATTTGCTCTTCTTCCCCCGCCCACCCCCCCGCCCCCCACCCCCGCAATGACTATTACATTCCATTCTTTTCTCCTCAAACCTTTCATTTTTAGCTGATGACCTTGTTGACCTTGTGGAGAGTAAAAGACCAAATCTACAGACCTACCTGATTCTGTATCCATTGTTTTCCCTCCTATAAAATGAAGTGACTCTTCTATAAGAGGCCTTTACCTTCACATGTGCTCTGGATCCCATCCCCTCTCACCTTTTTAAGGACTTTACACCTTTGATCTTCCCCTCTTTCTGTAGTTTCATTAGTTTACTTTCTACTGCACATCATATGAGCTATTATCTTCTATCTTAAAAAAAAAATCCCTTCCTGGAACACGCATCCTTCTCCAGCTAATACCCTATTTCTTTCCTCATCTTCATAGTCAAACTTCTCTAAGTTGTCTATATGTGCTGTCTCCATATCTTCACTTCCTACCCCACCTGAATCCCCACTCCATTGAAATAGCTCTAATCACGACCACCTACAACCTCTAGATGGCCAAATCTAATCTTATTCAAACTCGCAACACATGATACAGTTGACCACTACACTCCTTTCTTGAAACACTCTCTTTCTTGGCTTCTATAACACAACTGCTTCTCGGTCTCATTTGTTAGTTCCTCCTCCTCAACTCCACTTCTAAGTATTGGAATTCTTCAAAGGCAGTCCTGGGGTTCTCCGTATAGTCTCTCTCTCTGTGATTTCATCCATTCCATGGCTTTGAGTACCATCTCTGTGCTGATGATCCCTAAATTGTATTTCTAGGTTAGAACTCTCTTCTAAACTCCAGATTATTATATCTGTCTATTGATATCTCTGCAGGATGTCTCAAACTTATATCTATAATTTGATCCCCGCCCCAGCCCAAACCTTTTTCTCTTTCTTCCTAGTCTTGGTAAATGGCACCATGATCCACTCAGTTGCTCAAGGCAGAAACCTGAGAGTTTCCTTAATTCTTCCCTCTCCCCACCGCCCAACTCCTAAATCTAGTTCATAAATGTAACTATTGGTTTTTGCATCCAAGAAAAATGTCCCTGAGTAGGGATTATTTTCTTGCTATGTTTAAAGTAAAATTTAAGGAGCTCTTAACATTGTTTTGCTAAGACTTGAAAAAGAATATACCTAACTGCAACTTATTATGAAAACAAAAAGTAACTAAAGGAATAAAAACTTCATATAGTTTTATTTCTCTCAACAAAAGCTTTCTTATATGCTTCAAGAAAGTCCTGACAAAATAGTTATCAAGTGAAAATAGCCATATTCAGTCACAGGAGTCCTTAATATTATAATACCACAGTTTCTAAGTTCAAAGACACACATTTTTGTCTTCTTACTGAAATCTAGTTGTATCTTAACAATTTTGATGGTGATAGCATGTCACAGTAAAATTGGCAGCATTTTTTCTTCATGGTATGTAAAATAATGTCTTAGATTTTATCAAGTATATTTTAAAATATAGAATAAGAAGATAAAGATAAAGCAAGTTAAAAACAAAAATCCCTATCCTTCTTATTTAATACTGGTTGAGAACAAGCGATTTTCTCTTTTGGTAGGTAAAACTAATTCAGGATGATAATTAACCTTTTCTGGGGGTTATGAAACTCTAAAACATACTTCAAAAAAGTTATGATTGGGGGAAAGTGGCAGGGGTGGTGGTGGTGGGATGAACTGGGAGATTGGGATTGACATGTACACACTAATATGTATAAAATGGGTAACTAATAAGAACCTGCTGTATAAAAAAATAAAAATAAAAAAAAACTTATGATTCCTCTCCCTAAGCAAAAAGGTAGAAAGCACATGCATATACAAATTTACATATAATTTAGGGATTCACAAGCCCCTAGGACTCTCTCAGTATCCATGGATCCTAGGTTAAGAATTCTTGATTTAGATAATTATAGAACAAAGTTCTAATGTTCTAATGTATCTCTGTGAAAAGTTATTACAATATAAATTGAATTTGAAGCAAATTTAAACACTAAACATATACATACAGGAAAGTCAGTGTTAATACATCCTTTCCAACTCCCAGGGTTGGAACTGAAATAAAGTAAAAATCTCACTAAAATAGAGTCGGGAGGCCAGAAGGGGGAGCTCTCATGCATGTACCTCTCAACATCAATACAGATCTCAACAGGAAGAGACATACCCTGCATCTCCAGCAGGAGGTAACTATTGGTTTTTTACACACTACTTTACTACCACCAGCAGGAGGAAGAAAGATTTTCTTCTTGCCCGGCAATAGCGCCACTAAAGAGAGACTGTCACAACGCAGCCAATGAAAAGCCACTATACTTGGAACTCCCAGTTTCCTCCAATGGACTTTCTGTTATAACAACCCTCCCAACTCCACTTCTCCTCTACAGAAGAGTTTCTTCTTTGCTTTACCAGACTTGCATGTGATTTACCATAGTTGCAATGTCCAGAATTGCAATTCTTTCCTGTTCCTGAATAAAACTGTTTTGCTGATAAAATAACTGGCTGTTTTATTGTTTTAGGTTAGCAGAACCAAAGTTTGGTTTGAAGGATGGTAAATCTCATCGAAATTAATGTCTCATATAATTCAAAAAGAACTTTGTGAGGATAATTCTCTTTACTCTTACCTTTAAGAGCCCCTTTATGTTTTTATTAGCAAAACCATGATAAGCTCTTTTGATTTCAAATAATTAAATGCTATAGTCACAGTATTATAACTAGCAATTGAGAGAAGGTGGTGATGCAAGATGATCACATTTTCTTTGGCTATGTGTCTAACTCCACTCTGGGGGATTGCTTGACAATTAAATGTTGCATGCTATTTTAAAAGGAAGATAAATTTTAAATCATTTCATGTGTCATACTTTTTTTTCAGAATTCTCTAAGCAATGCAAAAGTTCAAGCATAGAAACAATCATGCACAATTAGGAACTTGATACCAGATAATGATACTACCTGTAAATAATTACTAAATGTTTAAATTCAAACAGGACTTACGTGGTAGAAATTTATTATTCTTTAAAATATTGTTTAAAATATATGTAACATCTTAATTTACCAGATTAAGAATATTCAAATTTAAATATAATTATTTGTAGTGATCACTAATAACTTAATAGATTACCATATTTCAATGTTAGAGATGTTTCAAATAATAAGGCTGCAATAAGTACATCTTCTTTAAGCACTTTATTCCTTAGGTTCAGTCGAGCATGGGCTTCAGATAGGGAAACTCTAAAAAAGAAAACTGATGCCAATCAAAATATGTTGATATTATAAAGATAATATATATTTTGGCAGGAACAACCCAAGATATGTGTGAGCATAAGCCACACCTTAAATATCAGCATATTCTTATTTTTAAAAAATTTTAGTTTCTTTTCAAAGCATTTTTTCCTACCAAGTTGAATAGACTGTTGCAGAACAAGGAAGTATCCTGACTTATTATCAAAGAATTGGTTTCTATCCTGGCTTTTCTTTATTATTCTACACCCCGCCCTCCCCAAGTTCTGTTCAGTTAAATACACAGTTGGAAAAATTAACCTAACTAAATATCTCTTACAGACACATCCTTCATGTTTTCTCCTAGTTCTTAATCCATTTGAAGTCCTCATAGAATCTTGAAATTTCAGTGTTGGAAGACATTTTTAGAGAGCAAATTTCAAATCCCATCATGTAACTGAATTTTCTCTACAACATCCCAGGCTACTTATTATTCGGTCCCTTTTGAACTTCACCTAGGATTCACTAGGAATCATGAGGCAATCCATTCCTTTATTTTTTATTTTTAAGCTAGCTTTAATGTACTTGAATGATTGCTGGATGTGGGAATCAGAAAACCTGGGTTATGTCTCTAGAATTTACTAGCTGTGTGAGTTTGTATAAATCATTTAACTTCTGAGATTTTTTGAAGCTCTGCTATAAAATGGGGATAATAATAATTAATAGGGTTATTGTGATTTCAAATAAGGTATTTGAAAATTTTGGGACTCACCCACAAAGATTATATAAATGTAAGCTGAAATTGGTTTCACTGCAATGTATACCAACTGGTCCCTGTTTTGTCTTTTGGGATTACAAAACAAGTCTAATACTTCTTAAATGTGACAGCTCTTCAAATATTCAAAGACAGCTTTTCTAGTTGCTCCATGCTTTATTTTCTCCAAAATAAATATTCCTAGTTCTTTTTTTTTTTTTGGTGCGGGGGCTGCACCACGCAGCATATGATCTTGGTTCCCCCAACCAGGGATGGAACCCGTGCCCCCTGCTTTGGAAGCGCGGAGTCATAACCACTGGACCGCCAGAAAAGTTCCTCCTAGTTCTTTTAATATGTCATGTGACATAATTTTCAAGCCCCTTGTCATCTTGGCTATTCTCCTTGTGACCAGATTTGGTTAATATTCCTTTTCAGTACAGTGCTACAGGTGTGATTTGATCAGCAGGGTACAGGTGGGGCAGAATTAGCATCTTCTCACTCTTGATACTATGTTCTATTACTACAACCCCAAATCACAGTATTATTTACAGCCATATTACCTTGCTTACTCATATTATATGTAAAAATAATGAAATCTCAAATCTTCTTCATATTAAGCCAGATCACCCCTTTCCAATGTATTCACACTTATACCAGGGAGGTTGGGACCTAATTAAAGACATTACAGGGACTTCCCTGGTGGTCCAGTGGTTAAGACTCCAAGCTCCCAATGCAGGGGGTCCGGGTTCAATTCCTGGTCGGGGAACTAAGGTCCCACATACCACAACTAAGCCTACATGCCTCAACTACTGAGCCCGCATGCTCCAGAGCCTGTGAGCTGCAACTAGAGAAGCCCGCACGCTGCAACAAACACACAGCAAGGCCAAAAGTAAAAAAAAAAAAAAAAAAAAAAGATATTACATTTGTCCTATTAATTTTCTTCTTGCTAGACTAAAATCATAATTTGAGCCTGTGAAGATCTCTCCAGAGTTGTTTATTTACAAATTTGATTATCATGTTCCTGATGTCCTCACCCAAGCTTCTTCTAAAATTGTTGACCAGGACAGAATATGAATACAGCCTTTCAAGGAAAGAAAAGAGCATTGTTCAGCTCCACTTCTCTAGAAAAGCAAGGCTGGTGTTATTAGGTACCTGTCTACAGAAGGAGGAGAAAAAGTCAAGGTTTATGACTCTTCTGAGTAGTGCTTCATTTACTTTGCTATTTCATAAAACCCATCTGCATCTCTAATGTTTATTTCTAAAATAGGAAAAAGTAGAGTTGTCATATTAAAATTAACTCTGCTTTATTCTTGGATCAGTATAGTCAAATGTAAACTGAGGCTATGTGAGTTTAAATAAAAAATATCTTTTTACTACAGAGAAAAAGCATTATGAGAAAATAGGACTTTCAAACCTTTTAAGCTTTGAGTATTGAATATTTGAAATATTACTTCAGAAAATGGAAAGCATTATACAATTCTGTTTACCATTTTAAAACGTCACAATTAATTTCTTCCTTGCCCTATCTTTAGCAATTTTTTAGCTCTATGAAGATAATATACAGTTGGAGAAATTAACTTATAGTTAACTTATAGTCCTATACTTGTCACATCCTATCAGTCCTTCACTTGTCTTATTTTGTATTGCAGTCATAAAAAGATATTTATTTATTTATTTAATGGATTATTTTACCCCTGGTCCTACTTCATAATTTGGTTGAGATTATACGTTAATCTATATTAAATGAAGTAATGGTCTATCAACAGGGAGCTGTTTAAATTATGGTACAGCCATATGACAACATAGTAAAACTGTAATGCAGCTATTAAAACAGTATGAGGTAATTCTTTATGTGCTGATAGTATGACATCATGATATGTATACCTGCATGATTCCTTTTGGGCAAAAAGAGAATATCTATCCATATAGGTATATACCGATTTATATATTATAAAAAATATTTTTATATAATATATTTAAATAACATATTCATCTAAAATATATAACATAGTCAAATAAAATATGTATTTGATATACATCACATATTTAAATTACATATTTGTATACGCTACTATTTGAATGAATAATATCTGGAAGGATACACAAAAACTCTTGCCAGTGATTATCTCTAGGGAGTGGAATAGTAATAGGTAGGGTTAGCAGGGCACTTTACTCATTATTTTAGACTTTTCTTTCAGTACGTCTGTACTTTACTTTTACAATAAAAATTAGTTTAAAAAAATCCTTTCAAGGAACAATAATACATGAGTGTACTAAAGTATTTAAAAGTACAAGGAACAGGGGACTTCCCTGGTGGCAAAGTGGTTAAGACTTTGAGCTGTCTATGCAGGGGACCCCAGTTTGATCCCTGGTGAGGGAACTAGGTCCCATATGCATGCCACAACTAAGGAGCCCATGAGCTTCAACTAAGGAGCCCGCCTGCCACAGCTAAAACCTGGTGCAACCAAATAAATAATTAAAATAAATTAAAAATTTAAAAAGGTGTTACAGATGTTAACACTTAAAAAATAATAAGAGTACAAGGAACAATATACTTAACTTTTTTTCTAGGTTCAACTACAAAATATCTAGAATGTAAACAGCCCCATTTTAAAAAAGTCATTTTCATTTGAATTCAGTGCATTTTTCTCAGACATATCTGATACAGGGTATCCAATAAAAATTAATTTAGTGAAAACAAACTGCTGGAGGTTCAAATGATGCAATACTACAACAGAAGGAATTATTGTCACCTTAAATTCTTTTGGAACAAGGTATATTATAAACCAACCAACCAGCAATCAAACAAACAAACAAAAAAAACAAGTGAGACAGTTAATAAAACACATCATTTAAAGGTCAATAATGGTTTTAAAATTGAATACCTACAAATATTTTAATGCAGATGCTGACAGCTTTGATCCACATATAGAATCTGTTCTGATTCTGCGACTTGCTAGGTAATAGCCATGAATCATTCTTTCTGCCTCCAAGCTGAATTCGACATTCAAATTCTTTGCAAAAGCAAGCAGCTAAATTGAAAGTGTGAAAATTTAAGAGATTCAAACTTTATTATAGAACCTATATTACAAAAATCCAAAGTATACTGTCATTTTTTTTAAAGTTTGCATATTTTATTTACAACAAAATTGATTAAATATCTGGGGCCATCCCAAAGTCACTGAGCACTTTAAATCATAGTCTTATAAAGAATATCACAGTTTACCCAGAATAATCTCTTCCTCCCTTTTAGTACAGAAATATTCTGTGCAATGTACTTGAATGACGATCAGATCTTTGCTTCCAGTGGAACAAAGGCTCACTTACAGCCTTTTAGTGGGAGAGAGCTTCCCTCAGAATCTCATTTCCCTTTGAATAGCCTTAATTCTCTGACAGTTTACTTCCATCAGACTATCTCTCATTGGCCCTAGAGCTGCATGCCCTCCTTCCTTCCCTTCCTTTTAAAGAACACAACCAAACACTAGAAATGTACTGTGTTAACTACTATGAAGGTAGGTCTTAGAGATTCAGTAAGATTTTGGGTAGAGAATAAGTCTTCAACTTAATGATTATCACTGTTTTCTCTGAGGTTTGTGCTTTTTTCTTTCTGAGTGATTCCTAGTTCCTTAAGTCCTTATTCTATGACATCATTTCCAGACTTTTCACCATCTGTGTTGTTTTCTGGTTTGTCAAGTCATAGAACCAAAAGGAAAAATCACCCATAATAAAATGTTGCTATTAACTATTATATCTATATTTTATAAATTTTTATTTAGTTTTGGCTGCGTTGGGTCTTCGTTGCTGCGCGCGGGCTTTCTCTAGTTGCAGCGAGCAGGGGCTACTCTTCGGTGCGGTGGGCGGGCTTCTCATGGCGGTGGCTTCTCTTGTTGCGGAGCACTGGCTCTAGGCGTGTGGACTTCAGTAGCTGTGGTACACAGGCTCAGTAGTTGTGGCTCATGGGCTCTAGAGCACAGGCTCAGTAGTTGTGGTGCACGGGCTTAGTTGCTCCGTGGCATGTGGGATCTCCCCAGACCAGGGCTCAAACCCATGTCCCCTGCATTGGCAGGCGGATTCTTAACCACTGCACCACCAGGTAAGTCCCAATATCTATATTTTAAATATAACCTTTTAAAAAGATCTGGATATGTCCTGGGTTGGATATGTCCTGTCTTTATTCTCCTTATACTCCACAATTCCCTCCAGGCCTTCAGAACTGGATAATAATAAAACTATTAATAACATTGGTAGCTCTCTCTAGATTTTATGCTATGGGGGCACAGTGATATGCCATCTATATCCCCTTTCAGTAAAGGACCCGTTGTCCCTGCTACTGAGAGTGCAGCACTGGGAGTTAGTATTAGCCTCCAGTTGTCAACTTCTGCAAGAACTACCTACCTTGATGACTTCATAATACAATTTTTGCTCCAGTCGGGCAGGTTTTCTCACAGTTTTCCATTTATACTCATCTCTACTTTATGTCTTTGCTCCTATTTTTATTTTTTGAATGCCCATCCTTCCTGTCATCTAAATCTTACCTTTTCTTAAGGCCCAACTAAAATCTCACCGCCTCCTGAAGTCTTCCTAATTCTTGCATTCTACTTGATATCTTTCTTTCTGAATTCATGAAATACTTATAGTCAGCACCACCCAGCTTAGCACTTAAGTTGTCCCTAATTGTTTCATATATCAATTAAATAATAAACTATTTAAGGAAGAAAAATGTACATTTCTTAGAGAATATAAAAGAACAGAAAGAGGCTCAAATATATAAAGTATTCAGTAAATGCTTGACTAATAAATCCATAGATTTTTTTTGTTTGTCTTTCAGGGAAAAACTGGGGAAAAATTTCTCCAGGTCATTAGCGTGTCTATATTATTTAGTATCCCAATTCCTAGAGACTACTTTTTTTTATATACTAAAACAAACAAAAAGACCTTATCAAAAATATTATTCTTTTTCTGTTCTAATTTATGTGAATAAATTATGCTTATATTTCATTTTTAAATCCACCTCACCTTTCAACCTTTTATCCATGCAATTTGGGCTACAAGGAAGGCAGGTATGAACAAAAAATTTAATGACCCATGGATTCCCACTTCCCAACATTCCATGCCTTTTAGCTATCCTACACAGATACTTTAACTCTACTGTGGACAGATTTCTGAATAGTTAATAATAAAAGGGCTTCACTTGTAAATACCTGACTACCTTTAATAGCTATGAGAAGCATTACTAAATTTGCATCATCTACTCTCAGGTTCTCTGAACATACCACACGTGTTTTCAGGTCAGGACATTAAAATAAATGGGTTTGTGAGTCATGAGAGATATCCCCTATAGTCAGAACTCTGCAGGCATTCATATAAAGTTTCCCTTTGAATAGTCTGTAAAATGTAGAAAGCTGTATACTTATAAAGCCTCAACATAATGTTTTATAGAAATATTCTATTTTGAATCTTTCCATGGAAATGCTTTAAGCTAGGTGATTTGCTCAGTGGTTCAAAGAATAAACTCAATGTTTTAATATCTATGTCCTTATAGTTTTTAAAAAATATTTATTTATTTATTATTTTGGTTGCACTGGGTCTTAGTTGCAGCATGCATGTGGGATCTAATTCCCCGACCAGGGGTTGAACCCGGGCCCCCTGCACTGGGAGCATGGAGTCTTACCCACTGGACGGCCAGGGAAGTCCCTATGTCCTTACAGTTTCTAGTTTAATTATAAACCTAAATTTTTTCTATACAATGTCCTTAAAATGCTTAAAAGCTGGAAGCAAATTAGAATAAAAGAATTCTAAATAAGGAAAATTAAATGTTCAAAGGGAGTTTTATTTACATTGAGAAACATTAGCACATACTTTTACCTTTTCAAAATCTTCAGTTGTGAACTGTTTAGAAGCTACATAAAGCAGCCCTTCAGGATCAATGGCTTTCTTTAAAGTATGTTGCACAGTAGGAAGAAGTGGGTGGCAAGGAGATGACTCATTGCAGTTAATCAATAATCCAAATGCCTCTATGAGATTAGCTGGAATCAAACTGCAATCCTACATCAAACACAAATGTAAAAGGCAAATATTAAACACTGGCATTTTTATAAACACTTCTAATTAACTATTATTTAGAATTATTATTTAAATTATTAGAATTATATTATTATAATATTAATTAAATTATGAAACTATAATTGTAATAATTATTTTATTATTTGTAATTATTATTTAAAGTGATTCCCAAATAGCATGGGAACTTAGTGATAATAAATTTTTCTAAAATGCTTTTTACTGCTTCTTACACATTATTCATTAAAGCCTCTCCCACTACCTATTCAAATAATAATTTCTAGTGAGCAGACACCTGCTTTGCATGACTAAAAACTGAAAATTTTCAAACAACTGTGTCATTATTTAGTTCTAGTACCCAATTAAGTATAGAAATTAAGCACAGAAATAATAATAAAACATTAAGAACAATAAAAACATTAAGATTAAAATCTGTGACTAAATTCCCTGAACAACACTCTAACAATAAGATACACATATACTTTACCATCTGACCAATTAGAGTATTGGTTTTCTGTACATTTCTTCTTGAAGATGAATCCATATCAACAAAAGACCAAAAACTGCACTGAACTGGAAAAGTCATTTGCTGATCCATATCATCCCCAAACTTCTTTCCCGAGATGTATACTGTGATGCTTCTACTTTCCACAGCTAAGTCAAAAGACATTATCCATTTGTTATTTAAGTTCACTTTGGTCTATATGTCTATAAATTAATAAATATTATTATACAGAATTTTACAGTCTAAATTTGGATAGTAAAAACACAAGTAAATTTGATTGTTTTGCAAGATATGGCTAAATTAGAGGATCTGCCATAAAAAAGAAGGAAAGAAAAACATTTGAATGTTTATGTGTCCCCTGACGATGAGTATCATCAGTCCAAAGTATGTAGCTAGAATCGTGAACTGGGAGGAATAGGCAGAGAGTAAGGAGAATGGTCACATAGTGCAGGTAGTGCAGGCTTACAAGGGAGGCTGAAATTAAACAATGTTCTGGGGGTTTTTTTGTTTTGTTTTGTTTTTTTTGGCTGTGTCATGCAGCATGTGGGACCTTAGTTCCCTGCCCAGGGATCGAACCCACGCCCCCTGCATTGGGAGCGTGGAGTCTTAACTACTGGACTGCCAGGGAAGTCCCCAACAATGTTCTTTTATGTGCCAAAACAAATAATAGAAAGTGGGCCATCTAAGTAGGAGTGACTAGGAGAAAATATATCTCAAATTCAACATGTGAGAAACCAAACTCATCATTTCTCCTCCTCAAATGGCTCTTGTGCATTACTCACAATTAGGAGAATCACCACTGATCCACTTAAAACCCAAACAAAAAATGTGGAAACATCCCATTCTCCTTTCTATCCTCCCCTTATCCCTTATAAGCATTCAATCTATGGAGTCATTTCTATTCCTAGGATGCTATCTCCCAAATATTTCTCAAATTAGTCTTCTCTCCGTTCACGATAAGAGTTTTTTGTATACATGTTTATTTTTCTTTTGGATCATAAGGTAAATATATATTTAACTATATAGAAACTGCCAGAGCAGTTTGCAAAATGGTTGTACTATTCTATACTCTCATCAACAATATATGAGAACTCCAACTTCTCTACATCCTTGGTAACATCCGTTGTTGTCGGTCTTTTTAATTTTTGTCATTCCAGTAGCCAGGGCCAGCCACATAATTTGTAGGGTCCAATGTAAAATGAAAATATGGGTCTCTTATTCAAAAAGCAGGGGAAAATGCTTTTTTTTATATAAAGCTTTTTCTTTTAAGAATATTTTATTACTTATAAAATGTAATAGGGGTGATGTGGAGAGATCAGAACCCTTGTGCATTACTGGTGGGAATGTAAAATGGTGTGGCCACTGTGGAAAGCAGTTTGGTGGATCCTCATAAAGTTAAACATAGAATTACCACATGATCCAGCAATTCTACTTATAGGTGTATATGCAAAAGAGTTGAAAGCAGGCACTTAAACAGATACTTTTACACCAATGTTCATAGCAGCATTATAATAGCCAAAAGGTAGAAACAACCCAAGGGTCCATTAACAGATGAATGATTTTTAAGTGATTTTATATATATATATATAAAATCCCTTATATATATTGGAATATTATTCAGCCATAAAAAGGAATGAGATTCTGTGATGAGGCAAATTCATAGAGACAGAAAGTCAAATAGAGGTTTCCAGGGGCTAGAGATAGGGGGGAATAGAGAGTTATTGTTTAATGAGTACAGACTTTCTGTTGGGGATTATGAAAAAGTTCTAGAAATGGATAGTGGTGATGATTGTGTAACATTGTGAATGTACTTAATGCCACTGAACTGTACATTGGAAAATGGTTAAAATGGTCAATTTTACATTGTGTATTTTATCAATATTTTTTAAAAAAGGAATGAAGTGATACATGCTACAACATGGATGAACCTCAAAAACATTATGCTCAGTGAAAGAAGCCAGTAATAAAAGACCACAAATTGTATGATTCCATTTATATGAAATGTCCAGAATAGGCAAATCCATAGAGACAGAAAGCAGATTAGGTTTCCGGGAACTCTGGGGAGAGGGGGCATGGGGGGTGACTGCTAATGAGTACAGGGTTTCCTTTGGGGTAATGAAAATGTTCTGAAAGTATAACAGATAGTGGTGATGGTTGTACAACTCTGTGAATATTCAAAAAGCCACTGAACTGTACATTTTAGGTGGGTGAATTTTATGGTGTGCAAGTTATACTTCAATAAAGCTATTACCAGAAAATGTAACAGAAGTAGCTGTCAGTCTAATACTAAAATTTTAAATTATTGACATGAATTTTACCATTTATATTGTACAATTCCAGTCTTAAATACAAATATTTGAGCATTTAACTCATATGCAGCATCATCAGTATTTTGTAGGAAGTATTAATACACAGTTATGTATTTTTGTTCTTATCAGAACAGGGGAAATATTTTTATTTTGCACAAAACTGTTTTTAATTTGTTTCTTGATATTCACACATTTCACCAGCACTCTCTACTGATGAGTAAGGAAGGACTAAAAGGAAAAGGAACAACGGGTTGCCCTATCTTTCCCTTCCCTCCTATATTATCATTTTCAGTGTAAGAGGTTGGCAAATACAGGGAAGTAGCCAAGTAAGAAAGGATATGATGGGGTTCCTCGGTCATTTGTGTTTCTTAGAATGCAACTGCCTATTACAGAAGCAAGTCTGATTCAAATGGAAAGCTTGGCCTCCTTGGGGCTATCAGCTCCCCATCTCACTCAGCGGAAGATGTTTTGAAATGGAACATGGGCACTGAATTGCAGCGTAATCACAATGCATGAGAGTCCAGCAAGAATCAAACTGATTACAAATTGTGTTAACAAGCCTCATAGTGATCGCAAATGCTATTTGAAATAGGGCAGCAAGGCATGGTGGACACAGGCATGGATGTATCCCCACTGCTCACGTTGAAGCTCCACTGTCTTCCTTACAAAACAACTTCAAAGATAAAATCATTAAAATTTTCTTTTTATAAAAATTTATTTTATTTATTTATTTATTTTTGACTGTGTTGGGTCTTCATTGCTGTGCGCGGGCTTTCTCTAGGTGCAGCGAGTGGGGCTACTCTTCGTTGGGGTGCACGGGCTTCTCATTGTGGTGGCTTCTCTTGTTGCGGAGCATGGGCTCTAGGAGCGCGAGCTTCAGCAGTTGTGGCTCATGGGCTCTAGAGCGCAGGCTCAGTAGTTGTGACACACGGGCTTGGTTGCTACGTGGCATGTGGGATCTTCCTGGACCAGGGCTCGAACCCGTGTCCCCTGCATTGGCAGGCGGATTCTTAACCATTGAGCCACCAGGGAAGCCCTAAAATCATTTAAAATTTGAAGATGATGACAGTAGAGTTTTAACCAAGTGCCAGGCTCTTCTAGGGGGAGCTATACTTATTCCCCACCCATGAAGCAGCACCTGCTAGTATGTGTAAGTAGTGGTATCTCATTGTGGTTTATTTTTCATTTCCCCAATATCCAACTAATGATATTAAGCACTATTTCATGCACTTATTTGTCATTTTGTATACGTTCCTTTGTGAAGTCACTAAGTCTTTAGACCATTTTTTTGCTGGGTCCTTTGTGTGTATGTGTTTTTAAGTTGAAGAATGTTTGATTTACAATGTTGTGTTAATTTCTGCTGTACAGAAATATATACATAAATATACATTCTTTTTTATATTCTTTTCCATTATGGTTTATCTCTATGTCTATGAGTCTGTTTCTGTTTTGTAGGTAAGTTCGTTTGTATCATACTTTAGATTCCACATATAAGTGATATCATATGATACTTGTCTTTCTCTGTCTGCCTTACTTCCCTTAGTATGACAATCTCTAGGTCCATCCCTGTTGCTGCAAATGGCATTATTTCATTCTTTTTTATGGCTGAGTAGTATTGACAAAGTACATCTTCTTTATCCATACATGTGTCAAGGGACATTTAGGCTGTTTCCATGTCTTGGCTATTGTGAACAGTGCTGCTATGAACATAGGGGTGCAAATATCTTTTTGAATTATAATTTTGTCTGGATATATGCCCAGGAGTGAGATTGCTGGATCATATGGCAACTCTATTTTTAGTTTTTTGAGGAACCTCCATACTGTTTTCCATAGTGGCTGCACCAACTTACATTCCCACCAACTCTGTAGGAGGGTTCCGTTTTTTCCACACCCTCTCCAGCATTTGTTATTTGTAGACTTTTTAATGATGGCCATTCTGACTGGTGTGAGGCGGTATCTCATTGTAGTTTTGATTTGCATTTCTCTAATAATTAGTGATGTTGAGCATCTTTCCATGTGCCTGTTGACAAGGTATGTCTTCTTTGGAGAAATGTCTATTGAGGTCTTCAGCCCATTTTTTGATTGGATTGTTTGTTTTTTTGTTGTTGAGTTGTATGAGCTGTTTGTAGTATATTTTGGAGATTAAGCCTTGTCAGTCACATCCTTTGCAAATATTTTCTCCCATTCTGTAGGCTGTCTGGTTCTTTGTTTTTCAAATTACTGACTTGTTAGAATTGTTTCTATGTTCTAGGTGTATGTCCTATGTCAAATATATGTATTGCAATTATTTTCTTTTTCTTTGCTTGCCTATTCACTTTTTAAATGGCCTTTTTGATGTGTATAACTTTTTAGTTTTGATGAAGTCCAATTCATCAATTATTTTCTGTTTATTGCTTTCTGGGTTTTGTCTAAAAAATCTTTGCCTACCCTAAGGTCATGAAGATTTCCCATGTTTTCTTCTAGTAGCTATATAATTTTAGTTTTTACATTTAGGTTTATGATCCATCTTTAATTAATTATTATATACAGTTGTGAGGTATGAGCCAATATTAATTTTTTCCATATATATAGCCAGGTGTTCCACTATCATTTGTTGAAAAAACTTTCCTTTGTCCATTTTCTTGCTTTGATGCTGTGGTCAAAAATCAAGTAAGCAGGGCTTCCCTGGTGGTGCAGTGGTTAAGAATCCACCTGCCAATGCAGGAGACACGGCTTTGAGCCCTGGTCCGGGAAGATCCCACATGCCGCAGAGCAACTAAGCCCGTGTGCCGCAACTGAGCCTGCGCTCTAGAGCCCACGAGCCACAACTACTGAGCCCGCACACCTAGAACCTGTGCTCCGCAACGAGAGAAGCCACCACAATGAGAAGGCTTTGCACCACAACAAAGAGTAGCCCCTGCTCGCCGCTACAAGAGAAAGCCCACACACAGCAACAAAGACCCAACACAGCCAAAAATAAATAAATTAAATACATAAATTAAAAAAAAAATCAAGTAAGCATACTAGTGTGGGTCTATTTCTGCATTCTCTTGTAGGAAGAGGCAATATACTATGTGCCCTGAGTATTGCTGCACATTCTTGCCGGTATGCTAAGAGTGTAAGGCCCTAACTTCTCTTGGCCCGATACTTATCTGTCCATATCCTTGTTAGTTATAAATCTGGCCCAAGCAGCATTATCTTAATACTAAAACCAGACAAAAGATATTATAGGAAAACTACAGACCAATATCTCTTGTGAATATACAGGCAAAAATCCTCAACAAAATAACAGCAAATCAAGTCCAACAATGTATAAAAAGAATTATACATCACAGCCAGGTAGGGTTTATGTTAGGTATGCAAAGCTGGTTCAACATTTGAAAATCAATTAATGTAATCCATAATGTCAACAGGCATTCATTTATCAACAGGCATATCACATTTTTCAATATGTGATTGAAAAATCACATTATCATATCAATAGGTGTAGAAAAAGCACTTGATAAAATTCAGCACCAATGCATTATTAAAAAACTCTTAGTAGATTAAGAATAGAGCGAAATTCCTTCAACTTGCAAGAGAACTTCTACAAAAAACCTACAGCTAACATCATACTCAATGGTGAGAAACGTGAAACTTTCCTGTTAAGATCAGGAGCAAGACAAGATCAGGATGTTCCTTCTCACCACTGTTTTCAACATCATATTGGAAGTCCTAGCTAATGCAATAAGACAAGAAAAGGAAATAAATCTGGTCTAATACAAACTCATGTGTTAGCACAACTGAGAGCAAAGCCTAAAACAATGCATTTGCACATTAAATTCCTCTGTTTTTATTTATAAAGGTAAAATGAGAAATGTCATTTAATATAATTTCTCTATTCCTAAAACGTGTACAATACAATCTTAATTGTTAAGTAACCCCTTGACACTGATAAGACTATAAGTTAAACAGATGAAAATTAATTTGAAAAAATACTGTTTACCTGATTGAAGCTGTTCAAGTTTATCTTTTTTGTGTGAAGCCAAGTCTCCTATAAAGCAGATACCACCTTTAGCTAGCAAAGCACTGCCACCTTGAATGCTAACTGCTCCAGTTCCATACTTATTCTTGGATAGAGTAGGAAAAATTTCAGTAGAGACTGGATGACGTATACCACGGGGCACAAGGTTTATACTAAAATTCAAAAGCCTAAGGGAAAAAATAAATTATTCATTACTTATTCATTATTCATTACAAATATTACTTATTTAATATTTGATTTTCAGAAGTCATAATGTATAATAGCTATACAATTAGATTTAATTTGATTCAATGTCTATTGAGCACTAGTGTTATGGATAAAAACATATATGTAGGACTTCCCTGGAGGTGCAGTGGTTAAGAATCCTCCTGCCAATGCAGGGGACACGGGTTCGAGCCCTGATCCGGGAGGATCCCACATGCCACGGAGCAACTAAGCCTGTGTGCCACAACTACTGATCCTGTGCTCTAGAGCCTGTGAGCCACAACTACTGAGCCCGCATGCCACAACTACTGAAGCCCACACGCCTAGAGCCTGTGCTCCACGACAAGAGAAGCCACCGCAATGAGAAGCCCATGCACCGCAATGAAGAGTAGCCCTCGCTCACTGCAACGAAGAGTAGCCCTTGCTTGCTGCAACTAGAGAAAGCCCACACGCAGCAACGAAGACCCAATGCAGCAAAAAATAATTAATTAATTAAAAAAAAAAGAATTTGTCTTTGCTATGTATTGTCTCAGGTTATTAACAATATATATATATGAGATTTGGTCCTTAACTTGGAAAGCTCACAGCCTAGAGAGATGTAAACAAAAAACTAAAACACGATGTGATAAGTACTAAAATAATGTCATGAGGACATCCATAAAAGATCATTATTTCCTCCTGGATGGAAGTCAGAGAAAGCTATAGAGAAATGACATTTGAACGGGGACTTCCTTTTTTTATGAATTGCTTTCTTTCGTTTATTCAAAATTTTTGCATTTAGGCTTGCCAATAGTTCATCATGACTACCCCTGTTACCTATGTATCAAGATAACTCTTGATACATCCTTTTGCTTTCTAATCTCTTTGCCAATTGCCTCAACCTCTTCATTTCTCAAATTTAAATTATAAGAAAGGAATATGATTATCTTAGCTTAGTTTTTAAATCCTTGCCACAGAAATCATAGCTTGCTGGTGCAATCTACTATGATGAGTAGAGACATGGTACAAAGAGGGTGAAGCAGTATCTCTTAAATGTGGATAGGTAGATGCTATAAAATGTCTAGTGTATGTGTCATTCCAAAGAAGATAGATGCTAATTTGAAGATATACAATATGGGTGAGTAAGATTTAGAAAGAAAATTTGCAAGCCTATAGAGCAGTGGTTCTCAACCCTAGCTCACATTAAAATTACCTGGGGAATCAACAGGCACATGAAAAGACGGTCAAATCACTACTCATCAGGGGAATGCAAATCAACACCATGATGAGATATCACATCACACCTGTCAGAATGGCTGTTATCAAAAAGACAAAAAAAAGCAACAAAAAACAACCCAAGCGTTGGCAAGAATGTGGAGAAAAGGGACTACTTATACACTGTTGGTGGGAATGTAAATTGTTGCAGCCACTGTGGAAAACAGTAAGGAGGTTCCTCAAAAAACTAAAAATAGAGTTACCATATGATCCAGCAATCCCACTCCTGGGTATTAATCCAAAGAAAACAAAAACACTAATTAGAAAAGATATATGCTCCCCTATGTTCATTGCAGCATTATTTACAATAGCCAAGATATGGAAACAAGCTAAGTGTCTATGAATAGATGAATTGATAAAGAAGATGTGGTATATATATAATGGAATATTATTCAGCAATAAAAAGTATGAAATCTTGACATTTTTGACAACATGGATGGGCCTAGAGGGTATTATGCTAAGTAAAGTAAGTCAGATAGAAAAAGATAATTGTTATATACGATTTCACTTATATGTGGAATCTAAAAAAAAAAAAGAACAAACAAAACAAGACAGAATAGATATAGAAAACAAACTTGTTGTTGCCAGAGGGGAGGGGGATTGGGAAAGTGAAATAAGTAAAAGGGATTAAGAGGTACAAACTTCTAGTTATAAAATAAATGTCACGAGGATGTAAGGTACAGCATAGAGAATATGGTCAATAATATTGTAATAACTTTGTATGGTGACAGATGGTAACTAGACTTATTGTGGTGACCATTTTGAAATGTATATAAATATTGAATCACTATGATGTACACGAACATGATATTGCATGTCAATTATACTTTTTAACAAAAAAAAAATTGCCTGGGGTTTTTTAAAAATTCTAATGCCAAGCCCCATCCCAAACGATGTAAATTAGAATCTCTAGGGGTGAGCCACAGTCATAATTTTTTTTTAATAAATTTATTTATTTTTGGCTGTGTTGGGTCTTCGTTGCTGCGCATGGGCTTTCTCTAGTTGCGGTGAGTGGGGTCCACGCTTCGTTGTGGTGCGTGGGCTTCTCATTGTCATGGCTTCTCTTGTTGCGAACCGCGGGCTCAGTAGTTGTGGCTCGCAGGCTCTAGAGCGCAGGCTCAGTAGTTGTGGCACACGGGCTTTGTTGCTCCGCGGCACGTGGGATCTTCCCAGACCAGGGATCAAAGCCGTGTCCCCTGCATTGGCAGGCGGATTCTTAACCACTGCGCCACCAGGGAAGCCCCATAAATTTTTTTTTAATATTATCCCAGATGATTCTAACATGCAGTCAGGCTGAGAACCTAGTTATATAGAACAATGGGCCTCAAACTTGGCTAATCATTGGAATCAGCTGAGGAATTTTTTGAACAGTATACTGATACAAGGTCACAGAGTAAAAGATCCAAATACAAAAATCAATTGTATCTCTATATACTCACAGCAAATATTTGAAAAATAAAATTAATAAAACACTACCATTTTTCATAGCATCAAAAATACCAAATACTTAGAAATCAACTTAAATTATGTGCATGACCTTTACAAAACATTGCTGAAAGAAATTAAGATTTAAATAAATGGAGATATATACCAGATTCACAGATTGGAAGACTCAACATTGTTAAGATGTAAATTCTTCCCAAATTGATTTATAAGTTAAATGCAGTTCCATCAAAATCCTTAAAGGCTCTTTTGGGGTGATGGGGATGGAGGCTGGTATTAACATATAGATTCTAAACTTTTTTTTTTTTTTTACGGTACGCGTTGTGGCCTCTCCCATTGCAGAGCACAGGCTCCGGACGCGCAGGCTCAGCGGCCATGGCTCATGGGCCCAGCCGCTCCGCGGCATGTGGGATCTTCCCAGACCGGGGCACGAACCTGTGTCCCCTGCATCGGCACGCAGACTCTCAACCACTGCGCCACCAGGGGAGCGATTCTAAACTTTATAAGAAAATGTAAATGACCTAAAATAGTGCAAACAAATCTTAAAAATGAAGAATAAAGTTGCACTACCTGATTCAAAACTTAATATAGAGCTACAATAATCAAGAATGTGAGGCATAATTATAGACATAAAGGTCAAAATAACAGAAAAGAACGTTTAAATAGATATATACCCAGTTCAATTTTACACCTAAAATTGTTTATAACCAGTTTATAACCACTGTTTATAACCAGTTCAACTAATTTGCAACATTGGTAGCAAAGCAATTCAATGGGGAAAGGAAAGTCTTTTAAACAAATGGTATGGAAAAATTAGATAAATGCATAGGAAAAATATTAATCTTGGCTCCTACCTTGTATCACATACAAAAATTGACTTGTAATAGAAAACAGACCAATGTAAAAACAAATACTTCTAGAAGAAAACATAAAAGAATATTTTCATGACCTTGGGGTAGACAAAGATTTCTTAAACAGAACCCAGAAAACACTAAACATAAAAGAAAATAATAACCTAAACTAAAAGGACTGCTCATCAAAGATATCTTTAAGAAAATAACTCAAGCTTTAGACTGGGAGAAAAATTTCATGATACATATGTGACAATGGATGTGCATCTGGAAGAGCCCCATTTAAAAGTGAACAAAGGACTTGACACTTCAGAAAAGGAGATACATGAGTAACTAATAAGCACATGAAAAAGAGCTTGAATCAGTAGTCATCAAGGAAATGCAACTTAGAACTGTAGTGAGACACCATTTCACATATACTAGAATGGCTAAATTGAGAAAGACTGACCACACTGGATGTTGGTGAGGATAGAAACAACTGGAACCTTAACTCATTGTTAGGAATGTAAAATTGTAAAACCACTTTAAAAAACTGTTTGGCAGTTTCTTATAAAGTTATATAAACCTACCTTATGACACAATAATTCCACTCCTAGGTATTTACCCAAGATAATAAAAACCTAAGTCTACAAAAAGACTTAAATACAAGAGATGTTTATAGCAGCCTTACTTATATAGTCAAAACATGCAAAACCCAGGGCTTCCCTGGTGGCGCAGTGGTTAAGAATCCACCTGCCAATGCAGGGGACATGGGTTCAAGCCCTGGTCCAGGAAGATCCCACATGCCTTGGAGCAACTAAGCCCGTGCGCCACAACTACTGAGCCTGGACTCTGGAGCCTGCGAGCCACAACTACTGAGCCCATGGGCACAACTACTGGAGCCCATGCTCTGCAACAAGAGAGGCCACTGCAATGAGAAGCCCACACACCGCAACTAAGAGTAGCCCCTGCTCGCTGCAACTAGAGAGAGCCCACGCGCAGCAATGAAGACCCAAAACGCAGCAAAAAACCCCCACAAATCCATTCATTGATTCATTCATCAAATAGCAATTGATCATCTTCTGTGTGCCATGCCCTGTCCTAGGACTTTGCTTTAATAATGAAAAAAAAAACAAAACAAAACATGCAAAACCCAAATGTCTATCACGAGGAGAACAGATAAACAAATTCTGGTATATTCATATAATGGAACACTACTCATCAATAAAAACAATGAACTTCTGATACACACAACAGGGCCAATCTCAAAAACATGTTAAGCGGGGCTTCCCTGGTGGCACAGTGGTTGAGAGTCCACCTGCCGATGCAGGGGACGCCGGTTCGTGCCCTGGTCCGGGAAGATCCCACATGCCGCGGAGCGGCTGGGCCCGTGAGCCATGGCCACTGAGCCTGCGCGTCCGGAGCCTGTGCTCCGCAACGGGAGAGGCCACAACAGTGAGAGGCCCGCGTATCACAAAACAAAAAACAAAAAACATGTTAAGCGAAAGAAGCTAGACCCAAAAGAGTGTGCACTGTATGATCCTAGTTATACGAAGTTCAAAAACAGGAAGATTAACCTATGGTGATAGAAATCACCCGTGGAGATAGGAACTAATTGGAAGAGAGAATGAAGGACCTTTCCAAGGTAAAGGAAAATGGAAATGTTCCATATCTTATTGAGGTGATGGCTATAGGAGTGTATGTCATCTGTCAAGACTCATCGAATTGTATACCTAAGATCTGATTACTTCACTTTATTTATGTAAATTTTACCTAAAAAACAAAACAAAACACCAAATCTCTCATACAGCCCCAAATACCACAGGAAAAGATTAATGACAAACAGAAAAAGAGACAAAGGCTTTAATTTACAAGAGGTATCACAAATCAGTAAGAAATAAACAACTTAATTTAAAAAATGGACAATGGTCAAGGAGTTCATAGAAAAATAATAAAAAGTGTTTAACAAATTCTAAATGATGCTAAAACTTACTTCTAGTTAAAGAAATGCAAATTAAAATAAAATACCACTTTCCATCCATCAAATGGCAAAATTTTAAAGTTTGATAATACCCAGTGTTGGTGAGGCTGTTAGGAAACAAATATTCTCATGCTCATTAGTGTAAGATTAAATTGGTGCAATCTGTAGCAGTTAGTACTATACTTACATTGTGATTTAATTTTAATTTTAGCAAAACATCATCTGTCCAATTAAGTTAGAGCTAATTTGAATTTTATTTTTTTAATTTAAAATTCATTCTATAAATTTGTTTTTGCTTTATATTTGCATACATGATTTTAATATATGAAGCTTATTCCTAGCTTTTTGCACATTTAAGTAACTTTTTAAAAAGGGTACTTGCTAGTGGGGAGCCCCAATATGCTGAGTAGAGGCTTACTCCAAGGTTAGAGTGACACCCCCAAAACAGTAATTTTGGCACTTTTAACAGCCTTATTTGGGCACAGTGAATCAATACTATTGAATGGAATCTTGAAGAAAAAGAAGAAAACAGCTTGTTAGCTCTAGCGGGGAGATTATTTTGAAGTGAAAACAAAGTACAAAAGCAGAACACTGATCTAGGGAATGGAGGACAAGGAAGCCTGCAAAGGAGCCATTTATTTAAAAAGGTCTGAGTGGGGAAACAAGTTGAAACTTTGAGTGGTTAGATTCTCAAAATGTTGAAAGCAAATATCCCATTTCTCAATTCATGTTTTAAAAAGTTTTGAACTTCATTGATAAAAGTTTATTTAAATATTTATACGGCTCAGATAAATTCCAAATATTTGTCTTGTAATAATGCTCATGGAAAAGATGTATGCAAATCTGTGACCAATTCATAATGTCATATATTTTACCTGTCTACGAGTAGAATATCACTTGTTATAATTAAAAGATCCAGGCAATCTTCCAGTTCCTTGTTACGGTCACTTGTCTGTACTAGACTCATCAACAAACAGAGCTTGAGCAAATTGTAAGTCCCAGGAGGAACAATTTGTGATGCAAAGACATTGGCAAGTATTGCTGTAAACTTCCAGTACGAGCTGGAAGTCAAAGAGAGGAGACACCTGAAATTGTCGCTAATTCCTGAAGGAACTGAAAGTAAATATTACATATATGTTAAAAAGAGTTTTTTAAAACAAGAAAATGATATTATAGACATCTAATTCCATTTATCTAAAATATTATCAAATTGCGGTTCTTTTAATGATGCCACATTCAAATTATTACAATGATATTAAATTATGATCAGAGGTCACTCTGGTCTATCATTTCAATCCCAAGGAATGCAGTAAGAGGAAGCAGTCAACCTTTGTGCCCACATAGACTGGCTGTGGGTTGCAAGCAAATCTCTCATTTTTTTCCTTTTAAGACCTATGTGAGCAAAGCCAGATCATGGGGCTCTTGTGCTGCAGTGTTTGCTTCTACATATCTATGTTTGAAATATTATCACCTTTAGTGAGGTCTAAAAAGCAGAATGGGAAATATTTGATTATTGCTATTAAAAGGGGAGATTTATACTCTACTACTTCAACATATACTGTAACATTCTAGACCTTCTCCACTACCTTATTCTGTCCAACTCCTGAAAGAGATGAGTGTTTTAATCCAGTTAGTCAGTTTGGGAGAAACAGCTGCGCACATGTAACCCAGTCCCTTTCTCCTTCCTCTTAGGCTGTCATCACAGGGCAATGATTTCTTCTACTCATCGATGCCCATGGACCAAGGGAGGCCTACATTAGTGTAGCTCTTGCCACATTTGGGTGGTTAAATCTGCCTAATTCTGGAGGTCAGCAGGAGAAAGTACACTTCACCTACATATATATCATGTTCTGCCACCAAATCAGTAAATCTTAAAGCACTTCACAGCAGAAAATATTTTAAATATCTTTAAAATGCCTATTGTTCATTAGTAGTTTCTTTCTTCAATATTTTTATTCTTTTAAGAAGTTTTTCTCAGGAATTCCCTGGTTGTCCAGTGGTTAGGACTCTGTGCTTCCAATGCAGGGGGCATGGGCCCGATCCCTGGTCGGGGAACTAAGATCCCCACAAACCACACATCGCAGCCAAAAAATAAATAAATAAATAAAGCTTTCTCCTCAAAATAAGCAGAGATATCTAGAATCCATTGCATTTAAATTCAACTTGGGCCTCTGTTATTGCAGATGGTTATCTAGGGAATAGAAAAAAAAATCTAACTTCATTATTTAAGATTTAAATAGCCTGTCCTGTATTTAGATATTTGTGTGCCAAGTTAAGAGTAGGTCTGCTCTCCGCTTTTGTTTACTTAATTCTTAATTAGGTTGCAAGGAAATTATCAGTAATAAGGGTGATATTTTGGGGACCAACTGCCTTTCTCTTTTGTCTTATTTCTCGATTGGTTCAAAACTCAGCTGAGGAAAAGGATGCCATTTTATTTGGCTCTTTTTCTCAGACCACAACAGTTACTTAGTTAGAAAACAAAGGGCTGGATAGAAAAACCTTTTAACTAATCTCTAACTCTTGGCATCTTAAAACATTTTTCTTGTTGGTAATTATTAAAAAAAAAAAAAAATCTAGGGGCTTCCCTGGTGGCGCACTGGTTGAGAGTCCGTCTGTCGATGCAGGGGACACAGGTTCGTGCCCTGGTCCGGGAAGATCCCACATGCCGTGGAGCGGCTGGGCCCGTGAGCCATGGCCACTGAGCCTGCGCGTCTGGAGCCTGTGCTCCACAACGGGAGAGGCCACAGCAGTGAGAGGCCTGCGTACCACCAAAAAAAAAAAAAAAAAAAAAATCTAAATAAGGTTTAGCCAAAAGAAAGGAGTCCTTCCTGTGGGCAAGGTTTCACATTATCTTGCTTTATTTCCTTTGCAGCATTTATTATCTAAAATTGTCTTATTAATTAGTTTACAGATTTATTGACTGTCTACCATATGATTTAAGAGTAGGAACCCTGACTGTCCTCATCACAACTGTATCCCTAGTGCTTTGAAGAGTGTCCAGCACATAGGCAACCAATACTTATTTCCTGAACAAATGGATTTAAATTTAAATATTTGTTAATATATGATACTAACATTTTTCTTACCTTTTGGATTGAAAAAAGTGATACTATTTGCCTCTATACAGAGAGCAGTTTGTGATGTTTTTACACAGGTTGGAATTCCAATAATCTTATACTCATTTCCTATATTCATTTCATTCACTAATTCATCTAAAATTGTTAAACACAAAAGAAAATAACTATTTACTAAACGAAACTTTTACATGATCATATGGTTCAAAGATCTAAAACCAGTAACAATTCAGTAGTTCAATTAGTTGCTAAGTATTTACTTTTGTTTAGTATAATATGCATATTGAGTGGCATTAATACCAATACTGTCAAAGTGACTATACTAACCAAGGCAATCTACAGATTCCATGCAATGCCTATAAAATTACCAGTGGCATTTTTCACAGAACTAGAACAAAAAAATCTTAAAATTTGTATGGAGACACAGAAGACCCCAAATAGCCAAAGCAATCTTGAGAAAGAAAAACAGAGCTGGGGGAATCAGGCTTCCTGACTTCAGACTATACTACAAAGCTCTAGTCATCAAAACAGTATGGTACTGGCACAAAAATAGAAATATAGCTCAATGGAACAGGATAGAAAGCCCAGAAATAAACCCATGCACCTATGGTCACTTAATATATGACAAAGGAGATAAGACTATACACTGGAGGAAAGACAGTCTCTTCAGTAAATGATGCTGGAAAAACTGGACAGCTACATATACATAAATGAAATTAGAACATTCTTTAACACCATACACAAAAATAAACTCAGAACGGATTAAAGACCTAAATGTGAGACTGGACACTATAAAACTCTTAGAGGAGAACATAGGCAGAACACTCTCTGGCATAAATCACAGCAATATCTTTTTCGATCCATCTCCCAGAGTAATGGAAATAAAAACAAAAATAAACAAATGGGACCTAATTAAACTCAAAAGCTTTTGCACAGCAAAAGAAACCATAAACAAAATGAAAAGACAACCCACAGAATGGGAGAAAATATTTGCAAATGATGTGACTGACAAGGGATTAGCCTCCAAAATTTACAAACAGCTCATGCAGCTTAATATCATCAAAACAAACAACCCAATCAAAAAATGTGCAGAAGACCTAAATAGACCTTTCTTCAAAGAAGACATACAGATGGCCAAGAAGCACATGAAAAGATGTTCAACATTGCTAATTATTAGAGAAATGCAAATCAAAACTACAATGAGATACCACCTCACACCAGTCTGAATGCCTATCAACAAAAAAATCCACAAACAACAAATGCTGGAGAGGGTGTGGAGAGAACGGACCCCTCCTACACTGCTGGTGGGAATGTAAATTGATACAACCACTATGGAGAACAGTATGGAGGTTCCCTAAAAAACTAATAATAGGACTACCATATGATCCTGCAATCCCACTCCTGGGCATATATCTGGAGAGAAACATGGTCCGAAAGGATGCATGCACTCCAATGTTCATTGCAGCACTGTTTACAATAGCCAAGACACGGAAGCAACCTAAATGTCCATCGACAGAGGAATGGATAAAGAAGATGTGGTACATATATACAATGGAATATTACTCAGTCATTAAAAAGAGTGAAATAATGCCATTTGCAGCAACATGGATGGACCTGGAGATTGTCATACTGAATGAAGTAAGTCTGACAGAGAAAGGGAACTATCATATGATATTGCTTATATGTGGAATCTAAAAAGAAATGATACTAATGAATTTATTTACAAAACAGAAACAGACTCACAGACTTAGAGAACGAACTTATGGCTACCAGGGGGGACATGGGGGGAGAAGGGATAGTTAGGGAGTGTGGGACTGACATCTACACACTGCTGTATTTAAAATGGATAACCAACAAGGACCTACTGTATAACACAGGGAACTCTGCTTAATACTATGTAACAACCTAAATGGGAAAAGAATTTGAAAAAGAATAGATACATGTGTATGTATAGCAGAATCACTTTGCTGTACACCTGCAACTATCACAACATTGTTAATCAACTATACTCCAATATAAAATTAAAAATTAAAAACAAATAAAACCAGCAACAATTTAGTAGTTCAGTTAGTTGCTAAGTAGTTACTTTTGTTTAGTATACTATGCATATTGAGTGGCATTAATAATATAAATTGGGAAAATTTTGTTGCTGATAAATTTTGATACTTATAGGTGATGAATTAACTTCAAGAAGCATGTGACATAGCAACTAGATAGTCTCCTATAACAGTCAAAAGGCAAAATAAGATCATTGTGTTTAAAATGAAACATCTTTCCATTAAATGACAAGAGATGTTAATAAAAATGACCTTATAAGTAATAATTTTATTTGGGAAGAAAATCATTTTAAAAAGTATTATTCACAGTCTATAATATAGGCAAGTCACTTTTATACACATTATCTAATTGTAAACTATAAGACAGATATTGTTATCCCCACTTTATATATGAAGAAACTGAGAGGTTAAGTGATTTGCACCAGGCTAAGTAGTTAAGTAGCAGAACTGAAATTCCCATCTGGGTCTGCCCATGTCTAAAGTCTACCCAGCACAGGGAACTCTACTTAATGCACTGTGGGAAGGAAATCCAAAAACGAGGGGATACATGTATATGTATAGCTGATTCATTTTGCTGTACAGTAGAAACTAACACAACATTGTAAAGCAACTATGCTCCAACAAAAATTAATTTAAAAAAAAGAAAAACAAATACCGTCAATGAAAATGTATCCATTTGTAATACAAATAAACTCTTTTGAATCAAAATAAATAAATAAATAAAGTCTACCCAAAAGACAATTTACTAGGTTCCTCTCTCACCTCTACAGACTGAGCAAAGCTTTTGCACAAGTTCAAAATTTATTCTAAAAAACATACGCTAAAAATCTTGAGCCTCCATTATACAGTTAGAATTTGGATGGTTGTGAAACTATGAAAGAAAGGCTTACAAGGAGGAGCAAGGATTAACTTCCCTCTGTGATCAAACACTGATCTCCATTTCTTTCCTCCTCTCTGTTTCTCTCTCTATCTCTCTGTCTCTCTGTCTGTTTTAGAGCCGGAGAGCATATTGATATACCCTGTAGAACTAGATGGGAAGAATCAGCCCCAAGATTTGAGAAAATAAAAACCCCAAACCAAATAAACAAGCATTCCCCCTGTCCCACCCCCCAAAAAACCCATGAAGGATACAGTATGAATTACAAGGAGAAAATTAAAGCAAATCATTTTTCAACTGTTCCTTGGAATCATGGATGTGTCCTGAAGTCAAGAAAGGGTCAAGAGGAAGGCTAGGAGGCTGGGAAGTCTGGGTGCCTCTGCTGAGAACCCCCAAAGGCCTGCTTTTATTAATTTAACTTTTAAAAATGTATTTGGGTTCTATTAAGAGTTTATTAGAAGAAAGGGTTTTCTACTAAAATATAAGTTGGATAGTCACTTAAATTTCTATATTGTAATGTATGGTTTGTATATAATAGAATTAAGTAGTTAAAATCATAGACTTTGAAGCTAGAATGCCTGAGTTTGAATCATGGCTGTGCCATGTACTAGCTGTGTAACCTTGGAAAAGTTACTTAACTTCTCTGTGTGTCCATTTCTACACTGTAAAATGGAGATAACAATAGAACCTACTTGAAAGAGTTGCTGTGACTAAATGAGTTAATATATGTAAAAGTGCCTGGCACATAGTAATTGATATTAAAAATTACCTATTATCATCTGGGCTTACATGCCTGACTTGGCCTTGCCAGGCCATGGTGAAAGACTTCTTGTTTGAGTCTCTGCTTTCTAACCCTTGAGTTTCCTACACATGGTTGACATTCAAGATCTCTCCTTACGAAAAGTTTAATTCTTCCAATTTTAGCCCAAGAAAAGAGACTGAACCCCATCCTCATTTTCACAGTTCTGGCTTCTCAACTATGACTCACTCTTCCATGGGTGATTGATACTGATAATGATTTCCTCCTTTATGGCAGAATCTGTCTACTCACAGGTCTTTACCCATGCAGTTCTCAACAGTTAATCATATGTCAATGCTCATTCATTGATTTAACAAACATTTATTGAGTTTTTACTATGTGCAGTAAAAAACCCAAGTCCCTACCCTCCTGAAGCTTATAGTTTAAAACAATAACTCCAATATTTATATAAGACATACACATACAATAATGGGAGATTATTACTGTAAATAATTGTGACCCTGAGACTTAGCATAGTGCTTGAGACATAGCAGGTGCTAATATCTTAAGTGAATGTTGTATGACTGAATGAATAATTGCTACATTAGCTAAATATGACTCTTTAAAATACTCAAGAAAGAGAAGACCTATTATTTTCAAGCTTTTGAAGTACCATTTATAATATATAAGCATAAACAAGTCAATTATATAGTTTATATATTTTAGTGCAAATAGAACTTACCTCTGAGGAAGACTGTGAGAGATTGAAACCTAAATGGCTGGTTGTTAGAATATCCTTGAAAAGCACGAAGTGCCTTTGTGGTAATTATTTCAACTATCTGTTTATCTTAAGGCAAAGAGTAAAAAAGAATCAGTTATTAGAATATATATTCAATTTAATTTCCACATTAAAATATCAGACATTATTTTAAAAATTGTAATTATAAAACATAAATGCATTTTTTACCACCAAGTACTCTAAATTTTCTGTCTTCTTGAAGTGAAGATGAACATAGATTACATAAAAAGTCATTTCTTATTGTTGCAGACTCTGTAGCACCAGGTACATGCACTCTTATATACTGAAATCCTGAAAGAAAACAGTTAAGCTAAATTTGCCTTCAGATTTAGCTTTCCATTTTCAACCCTTTAAAATGAATCTAATTCAACATACAATTAAATCAGTTTTGCATGTGGGTTCATAGCAGTTCAATTAACATTTATTGCATGGCTATTTCTTGCCAGGCACTGGTGATATGGATACTTAAGCACACAATTTCAATAGGTGGCAATAAGAAACAGATAATTTCAATATGCAGTATTCATATACAAAGTGTTCAGAGAGAAGAGAGGAGAGGCATCCAACCCAATAAGAGGTGGGGATGAATGGAAAAGATGTCCTGGAAGTTAAGCCAAAGGGTTGAGAGAGGACATTACATGGAGAGGGAACAGCATGAACAGTCATGAAACAGCGTGTGAGAAAAACAAGTACTTCAGCAACACAAGAGCATCTGTTAAATTATAGGGGAGAGGTGTGGAAGAAAGAACGAATTTCAAGATTATGCAAAGCAGACTTGTAAACATTAGGAGACACCTAATTTTACTCCATTCTTTCTATGCTGTGAATGTTTTTTAACTAATTGTAAACATGATTTAAGATTAGACGATAAATTGCTTTGATTTTACATTTTAATATTTACCTTTTGAAAGAGGGCATGCTTCATCTGAACAAAGAAATCTTGCACCTTGTGTATACTTGGTTACAGTTGTCATTGCAATCACAATTCCTTGCATCATATAAAATCTTTGAGATGTATAATCAAGCGGAAACTCACAAAGATCAAGACTATAACTTGGCAGAGGAGGTAAATGTGTTAACTTCAGCAGTATATTAATCTAATAAGAACACAAAAATAGTATTAATAAAAATTGCAGATCCAATTGGACTTACATTACAATATAGTAAGTATATTTGTAGGTTAAATCAAACAGATAATTTGTTAGTAGTATTAGGAAACAATCTTTTGAGCATTAAGAGAAAAGTGATTTAAATATAAAATTAAAGATGCAAAATCCTTATAATCTGATATTTTAATTGAAAATATCATTATGAACTCATTTTTCTTTAAAAATACACATTTCTTGCTATATTCACTGGAAAGACTTATTTATAAAACAATGACAACTCAATAGCAACAAACACTTCTAGTGCCCAGATCTCTAAATATAATTTCTCATGAAAAGGAACCAGAGCTCCTTAGGGGAAATGGCTGATTCCATGGGGCAGAAAATGCACCAGATGGACCTCCTTGTACATCTCCTTGTGATAGAAACCAGGGGGGCTTAGAAACTAATGAAATGTGTCAAAAGGACATAAGAACAAACTTTAAGGAGCTCCCAATGACCAAAGTTAGATAATATAGACATCAAAAAGAATGACAAAGATTCATTGAAACCTATCAGATATATTTAAAAATTCATGTAATTCCTCATAATTTAAAAAAGGAAAAACAAACAAAAAATATTGGTCATCATTGGAGGCTGTTATATTTCAACTCATCACTATGAAAATTTATAGATTGGAAAGAATCAAACATTCCTTCTACTTTTCCTGTACAAATTGTATTGCAGGGTAACCAAATAGTTGATGAGAGGAAAAACCTCTCTTACAGGATAGTTTCAGCCAGTAAATATAGAAAGTTTGCTAAAATTAGGAAAATCACAATTTTGAAACTCCTAATGAAATAATGGAATCTAGGCAGTGACTATCAATAGCTGCGAAAACCATTAGGTGACAGTTGATGGGAGACTGTATATTGGAGGAATCAGACTGACATCATCTGCACCCACTGCTCAACTGTGGCATTGCTAAAAGTGGGATAACAAATAGGACAGTTCTCCTAATGTAGGGCAGTATGAAACACATGACACTATGATATATTCTCATCAAAATGAGTTGAATTTGAATCTAAGCAAGTCTTTAGAGCCAACTTTTTTTTTCCAGAAATTTGGTGTCTAGGGGTATAAGTTAAACACTACAAGAACATAATCAGACAAGTCCAGATGAGACATTTTACAGGACAATTAACTAGCTTCTTCGAAAATTCAATGGCATAAAAAAGGAGGGGGAGGAAATGGCTCTAGATTAAAAGAGACTTAGGGAGATGTAAGAACCAGTTATAATGTGTGTACCTTGTTTTAGTCCTGACTTGAACACATCAATTGTGAGACAGCCTTGAGACCCCGACTGGGTAAATTTCAATATGGACTGGATATTAGATGATACCAAGTAATTATTATTTTTTTTGTAAATGGTAATAATGGCATTGTGGTTATATAACAAAAATGTCCACAATTTTTAGAGGTTGATACATACCGAAGTATGTAGGGGTAAAATACAGAATGTATTTTAAAGATTTGCTTTAAAACATTTCAGAAAAAAAGTGACGATGCCAGTATGGCAAAATATTGCAAACGATTAAATCTGCGTGATAGATATATGGAGGTTCACTGTATTATTCTCTTTATTTGGGGGTATGTTTGAAATGTTTTATTATAAAAATGTTTAATGTTATAAGTGATAAAACAGGAAGTAAAGATGCATATGTAAGATAATTTATTAAACTTTGAAAATATGTTTAAACAAAAAATATATATGAATATAAAAATATTTATTTACAAGGTATCTTGAAAGTATTGTGCCTTAGTTTTCTTTGTTAAATTTAACTAAAACTTACTTGAGTTTCAGTCTGTAATTGTTCAATTAATGAGAGAGTCTTAACAGCAATAAAACAGACCTGTGATTTCAAACAAAAAATCAAAGAAGTTAGCAAAAATTCCATGTGGCATAAAATTATCTCTTTCTTTAACTTACTGATTGAAAAACTTGAGCAGCTTTTAAAGGCTGGTGTAAAATATGATTTCCAAGTTCAGCATCCAACTCAATAATATCAGAGGGATTTATTAAAATACTGAATCGATAGACAGCATAACTTTGTTTTGAATCTGTAAAAATACACAAGTATAAAAATGAGGACAGTTATACGTAGGACTTTAAAGTTTCTAAAATAAAGTCAACTTTGCTGAACATACCACTGTAGGATTTGCAACTGTCTATGAACTTTTGGAGGCCTCCACTTCTGTCAAGATAGATAAGGGCTGCCTCTTTCATTTTTAGATTTGACATTTTCTCCTAGTTAATGATTCTTCTCTTTTACTGAATGATTAAACCACAGCTGCTGGTGAAGACTACAGAGAGTGAAATTCATAGAAAAGACAGGAACACCTAGAAATAAAATAAAAGTTACATTTAAGGATCTATGATAAAACTGTTTAAACTATTAAATGTAAAATTGAGGGTGAAATAAAATGAGGTAAAATTTCCAACTTAAAAAATTCCTGGGAGTTCCCTGGTGTCCTAGTGGTTACGATTCCAGGCTTTCACTGCCATGGCCTGTGTTCAATCCCTGGTCCGGGAACTGAGATCTGGTAAGCCGTGCAGTGCACAAAAAAAAAAATCCTACTCAAAGAGAAACAAAACTGGTTTCTCTTGCCAAATGATATTTTTATCAACACTAGGTTATGAGCCTCTCCATAAGATTTCAAATTTAAGAACAGGAGCCTCAAATGTCTCTCTACAGAGTAGGTATACCAAAAATGCTTGTTGAAACTAATATTGGATAATGAGGTCCCCTTGCAGGCGTTGTTTAAAAAAATGAAAGTAGTAAAAGCTGTTTCACAAATTCAATATAAGTAACAAAGTATAGCTAGCCTAAGAAGTCTGAAAACCTGGATCTAGATCCCGCATTTGCTAGTTGCTATGGGTAAATCACCCAACCTCTCTTGGTTCATCTGTAGGAAATTAAGGGGTTGTATTAGATGATAAGGCCTCTTCTGGCTTTAAATTTTCTATCAGTGACCAACATAAAACACTAAACCATAGTAATGAGAGTGGAATACGTAAAATTCATTTAAAGACAGCAAACACCAATTGGAAACAATATATGCCAAACATTGTATTAGGGTCTAGGGATAAAATTGAATCCTGCCTTCAATGGCTGCCAATTTAGAGGAGTCAGAAATAATGACTATCACATGTATTCATTATCAAGTATTTATTGAGCATTTACTATTTATTGGGTATCAGACTGTCCTAGGCACTGGGGATACAAAGATCAGTAAAATATAGTCCCTACTGTTCAGAGAGGACAGTGAGGGAAAATAGATATGTAAAAAATTATAATTCTGTACAACTTACGTGCTATTAAAGAAATATTAATGTACTAGAGAGCACAGAAGGAACAACATACACGAAACAGCTCACAAAATTTGGGGTCATCCTCGTGTAGGGGTCATAATATTTTCTATTGTTTTAGGACATTTTGATTTAATACAGTGGGGACATAGACATGAAGTGATAAATTCTACTTTAAAGGTGACATTTGATAGGTAAGATGTCACTAATTGAAGGAGAGGTGAAGAGAGGAAGAGAAAGTTTTCCAAGGAGACAGGTAATCCCCCTTCCCCTAATTTTCAGACCCACACTGTTGAATCCATACCCCTGCTCCTTGGAGTTCAGGTCACTTTCCAAAGAAAAGTAATCGAGACTGTCCTTCTCCCTGTTATATGGCGGGGGGTGGGGAGGGGTGGAGGGACGCACGGGGGGAGGGAGCGGGGAGAGAAACTTCGGAGTTTATTTCTCTGTGGCCCTAAGTTCAACCATCTTAAAGTGTGTGCTGTGTTCAGAACGTTCCATCTGCGCTTCATGAGAACATAAGGTTTCCGGGGCCGAATGAAGGGAGGCTGCTAAAAAGGAAATGGCTGGGTGGAGCTCAACCAGATTGAAAATTTTTGAAGTCCACGATGATTATACAGACAAAGGGAAACCATCAAAGTTTTTAACAGGTGAGTAATATGGTCAGATTTTTATTTTGTAAATCAGTACTTGCCGCCAGTGCGGAAAGTGGGTTGGAATAGAGGAAGAAGTGTCAATAATCAGTTTCTAAGTATTGAAAATAGTCCTGGGAGATGGATGGCCCAATCTAGGGCATTAGGGGTGAAATGGAATGGAGGGGCTGGATTCCGGACATTTTTTTTTAAAAGATTTCACCCTGGACATGGTATCCGGTCTGTGAGGGTGGGTGGATGATGCCGCTCTAATGGAAATATGGAAGCCAGGAGAAGACGAGGGAAATAATAAGGTAAAGCTCCTTTGAAATATGCTGACTCTGACGGGCTCCTGGGACATCCAGACAGAAGCACTGGGGCGACATAAACCAGGGCCTGGCGTTCAGGAACTTAAAAAAGGCTAGAGAGAACGCTGCTCTGGGCATCACCTGGGTAAAGCGGGCGTCGTCCTGGGAGGGGATGCATTTCCAAGGTATGGGAAAGTGGAGGAAAAGACATGGACGCCTTTGGAAAAGCACCCAATAAGCGAACCGGGATAAAATTCTACAGGTCTTCCCACAGCCTAAAGAACCCAAGTGTTGGTTCCCTTGAAACAGACGCGGGGGCGTGTCTTCTCTGAGGGCCGCGGCAGCAGGAAACCACCTCACAACCAAAGTGGATGGAAAGCGAATCCGGCCTCACACCCTGGGCTCCAGGACCTGTCCCACCCTTAGAAGCAACCTCCAGCACTGCGGACCCCAGCCCAGCAGTGTGTGACCCCCCCCCCCCCGCCCCCCGACTCTTACACCCACCGAGCTTCGCCCGTCGCGCGCCACCTCGAGCCCGAGCCCGGGAACCAGCAGGCCCACGCGCGCATGCGCGCACCCCCCAGCCGTTGTCTGCGTGGAGCCTTCCGGGACCGCCCCTTCCGGTCACCAAGGCAACTACCCTGACATGCCCTCCACCCTCTTTATTAATAGAGTCGCTCGTGCTTCCTCCCTGCAGGGCAAAGGATAGAGAGAAAGATAGAGACCCTCGGTTTTCGTTGTTATCGCAGGCCAAGGGTGTCCCTGTTTGTTTAAAAAAAACTTACTAAAAACTCTCCTGGTGGGAATGCCAAACGGTGGAGACAATTTGGAAAACTTTCCCTGATAAAGAACCACAGAGTTCTTTATATGACCCAACAATTGCATGTCACATATTACATATTATACATAGATAATATGAGAGGGAATATAGAACATATGTTGACACAAGTACTTATATGTGAATTTTTAGAGTATTGATGTTTATAGTATTATAATAGCCAAAAAGTGGAAACAACTGATAATTAGGTAAATAAAATGTGGTATATCCATACAACGTAATGTTATTTGGCCATAAAAAGGAATGAGGTCCTAATAATGTGCTACCACATGGATGACCCTTGGAAATACTATGTAAAGCAAAAGATTTAGCTAGATAGGAAAGGCCAAATATTGTATGATTCCGCTTATGTGCAATGTCCCAAATAGACAAATCTGAGAGAGAGAAAATAAATTAGTGGTTGCCTGGGGCTTAAGGGGTGGAGAGTGACTGCTATTGGGTATGTTTTGTTTTTTTTTCTTTTTAAAATTAAAAAAATTTTTTCTTTAATATACATAAAACTTACCACTTTAGGTTAAGAATCCGCCTGTCGGGCTTCCCTGGTGGTGCAGTGGTTGAGAGTCCGCCTGCCGATTCAGGGGACACGGGTTCGTGTCCCGGTCCGCGAAGATCCCATATGCCACGGAGCGGCTGGGCCCGTGAGCCATGGCCGCTGAGCCTGCGCGTCCGGAGCCTGTGCTCCGCAACGGAAGAGGTCACAACAGTGAGAGGCCCACGTACCACAAAAAAAAAAAAAAAAGAATCCTTCTGTCAATGCAGGGGACACGGGTTCGACCCCTGGTCCGGTTAGATCCCACATGCCGTGAAGCAGCTAGGCCCGAGCGCCACAACTACTGAGTACGCTCGCTAGAGCCTGCAAGCCACAACTACTGAGCCTGCGTGCCTAGAGCCCGTGCTCTGCAACAAGAGAAGCCACCGCAATAAGAGGCCCACGCACCACAACGAAGAGTGCCCCCATGGGGGCTTCTCTAGTGGTGCAGTGGTTGAGAGTCTGCCTGCCGATGCAGGGGACACGGGTTCGTGCCCCGGTCCGGGAAGATCCCACATGCCGCGGAGCGGCTGGGCCCGTGAGCCATGGCAGCTGAGCCTGCGCGTCCGGAGCCTGCGCGTCCGGAGCCTGTGCTCCGCAACGGGAGAGGCCACAACAGTGAGAGGCCCACATACCGCAAAAAAAAAAAAAAAAAAAGAGTAGCCCCTGCTCGACCCAACTAGAGAAAGCCTGCACATAGCAATGAAGACACAAAGCAGCCAAAAATAAAATAAATAAAATGAATAGATAAATACAAGAAAAATTAATTTAAAAAAAAAACTTACCACTTTAACTTTTTTTTTTTTTTTTTTTTTTTGTGGTACGCGGGCCTCTCACCGCCGCGGCCCCTCCCGTTGCGGAGCACAGGCTCTGGACGCGCAGGCCCAGCGGCCATGGCCCACGGGCCCAGCTACTCCGTCGCAGGCGGGATCCTCCCGGACCGGGGAACGAACCCGCGTCCCCATCGGCAGGCGGACTCCCAACCCCTGCGCCACCAGGGAAGCCCCACTTTAACCATTTTTAAGTGTACAGTTCAGCGATGTTAAGTACATCCACATTGTGGAACCTCACCACGATCCACCTCCAGAACTTTTTCATCTTCCCAAATGGAAACTTGGTCCCCGTTAAACAATAACTCCCCATTTCCAGGCTCCCCACTCTCCCACCTGCCCCTGACAACCAGCATGCTATGGTCTGTCTCTGTGAATTTGACTACTCTAGGTACCTCATGGAAGTGGCATCATACAGTACTTGTCCTTTGTGACTTACTTATTTCACTTGACAAAATGTTTCAAGGTTCATCCATGTCATAACACGTCAGTACTTCCTCTTAAAGGCCGAATAATTTTCCATTTTATGTATATACCACATTTTGTTTATCCACCCACACACGGTTTCTTTTCAAGGTGATGAAAACGTTCAAAATTGATTGTGGTGATAGTTGCACAACTCTGAAGAAACCAAAAGCCAGTGGATTTGACACTTCAAATGGGTTAATTCTAAGGTATGTGAATTAAATATCAATAAAGCTGTTAGCAAAAAACCAAAACTTGTGCTGAGTCCTCCCCCGTTAGTATTTCTTGGTGCAGTTATGCATGGGGGTGGGGCATCAAGAGGTGGAAGGTTGGACCACATGCCATGGAAAAGTAATTGAAGCCACCCCTTCAGTATTTAACAGGGTTGACAAAACACCACAGAATTTGTTTCTCTGGGGGGAATATAAGCTATATGAGTGACGAGGTGAGGAAAATATTTTGCTGAAGTAGAAATCAATTTGCAACAGCAAAGGGCTGTTAAAACTGTCTTGTACTACAATTCTGTGGTCATGAACACTATTGATATTTTAGATGAGAAGAACTAGGCTATGGTCTGCTGATGGATCTTGTGTTTTATGGTAGAATCAATTCTTCAAAAAGGCATTCATATATAGTTTAAAGTTTTGCAGGGGAACCCGTGTCCCCTGAATTGGCAGGCGGGTTCTTAACCACTGCTCCACAAGGGAAGTCCCGCCAATCTGTTTTTAATAAGGAAAGCAGCCGCTCCAGTCCTCCTTGGAAACCCTGAGGAGTCTTCTTTTTTCTCCCCTACCAATCAAATAAGAAGCACTGAAATTTTGATTCTAGATATCACTATCATTTTCAGAGAGTTTGCAATGTGCAGTAGTTGACTGAATACTTAAAAATTTAAGTGCAAAAAAAAATTTAAGTGCTTTTCTTATGTCTAACATATTTTAAAGTATTAAAACATAAAAACCAATTAGAAGATTCTACTGGACTTGGTTGATTTAAAACTACATTATTACTTTGGCATGGAAATGAATTGTTATGGTTAACTGATTAACCAAAACATTGATACACTGCTGTAAATACTCAGCATTTTATTATTACAGAATATCACTGAACATCACAAATTTTCAGTGGCACGTTGAGAATTAGAAGCCCCCCCAATAGGTTAAAATTTTAAATTTTAAAGTAGATATCCCATGTGTAAAACTAGTAACTTATGCAAGAAGCAACATTTATTTTTAGGTACACTCATATAGGGCATTTGTTAGGCAGATTCATAAAGATGAATACTTCATAAGTGATAGGTTCATTTTAATTTTTTAACTTGGGGGTGGTGGTGTGGAAGAGGACTGTTTTATGCAAATCAAAGTCCTTTCCCTTTCCATTCTCATCCCCTCTCCCATTTTTCTTTTTCAGCAGCTACACAGGACCTGCTCTCATGCTTTTCTTTATTTTTTTAGAGCAGTTTTTAGGTTCACAGCAAAACTGAGTAGAAGTTACAGAGTCCCCTCTGCCTTCCCTTCTTTTTCTAGTTTCCTAAGGTAGAAACTTACTGATTTTAGATCTTTCTTCCTTTCTAATATATGCATTCAATGCTATAAATCTCCCCCTAAGCACTACTTTCTTTGTATCCACAAATTTTGATATTTTGTTTTCATTCATTTAGTTCAAAGCATTTTAAAATTTCTCTTGATATTTCTTCTTTGATCCATGTATTATTATTTTTAAGTATGTTGTTTAATCTTCATGTATATAACTGGGACTTTCCAGTTATTTTTTGTTATTGATTTCTAGTTTAATTCCATTGTGGTTTTAGAGCAGACATTATATGATTTCTACACTTTTAAATTTGGTAAACTGTGTTTTTTATGGCCCAGAATTTGATCTATCTTGGTGAGTGTTCCATGTGAACTTGAGAAGAATGTGTTATCTGCTGTTTTTGGATGAAGCAGTCTACAGAAGTCACTTCTATCCAGTTGATTGATGGTGTTGTTGAGTTCAACTATGTCCTCGCTGATTTTCTGCCTGCTGGATCTGTCCATTTCTGAGAGACGGGTGTTGAAGCATGCCTAATGTAGCTTTATATACCCTGTTGTTCGGTGCATACATATTAAAGATAGTTATATCTTGGAGAATTGACTCCTTTATCATTATGTTTGTTTTATCTATCTGCGCCAGGTCTTAGTTGCAACATGTGGGATCTTCGTCGTGGCATGCGGGATCTTTGCTGTGGCATGCGGGATCTAGTTCCCTGACCAGGGATCGAACCTGGGCCTCCTGCATTGGGAGTGCAGAGTCTTAACCACTGGACCACCAGGGAAGTCCCTAATGTCCTTCTTCATTCCTGATAACCTTCCTTTCACTGAAGTCTACTCTGTCTGAAATCAATATAGTTACTCCTCCTTTCTTTTGATTAATATAAGCATGCTATATTATTTTCTCCATTTACTTTTAATCTGTATGTCTTTATATTTAAAGTGGATTTCTTATAGACAACATGTCGTTGGGGCTTGTTTTTTGATCCACTCTGAAAAATCTGTCTTTTAATTGGTGCATTTAGACCACTGATGTTCAGATATTATTATTGATTATTGATATAGTTGGATTAATATCTACCATATTTGTTACTGTTTTCCATTTGTTGCCTTTTTACTCATTCCTATTTTTGTCCTCTTCTTTTTCTGCCTTTTGTGATTTTAATTCATTCCATTTTCTCTCCTTTCTCAGCTGTCAGTTATTTTTTTTCTCCTTTTTCAAATTGATTGTCCTAGACTGTAAATATACATTTACAACTAATCAAGGCCCACTTTCAAACGACACTGCTATAGTGAAGTACCTTAGTGTGAATACCTTATAATAACAAAATAATCTTACTTCCTCTTCCTCATTCCTTGTATCGTGGTCATTTGTTTTACTTACGTAAAAGCATAAGCAAGCATATTTATATGATATATATGTAAGCATACATAATCAAATACACTGTTATTATTTCAGTTCTTAGATCAATTAAGAATAAGAAAAAATAAGTTTTTATATTACCTTCACTTATTTCCTCTTGGATTCCTTCTTCCTTTCTTTATGTAGATCTGAGTTTCTGAATTATATTATTTTCCTTCTCTCTAAAGAACTTCTTTTAAACTCTCTTGGAAGGCAGGTCTACTGGCAACAAATTACCTCAATTTTTGTTTGTCTGAGAAAGTCTTTATTTCTCCTTCACCAAGTTGGTGGGTTTTTTTTTCCTCTCTCTCTCATCACTGTAAATATTTCAGTCCACTCTCTTCTTGCTTGCATGGTTTCTGAGAAGTCAGATGTAATTCACATCTTTGTTTCCTCTGGCCTCTTTCAGGATTTTTCGTCTCTGATTTTCTGTAGTTTGAGAATGTATGCCTAGCTATAGTTTTGTTTTGTTTTGTTGTCTTTGCATTTATCTTGCTTGGTGTTCTCTGAGCTTCCTGGATCTGGGGTTTGGTGTCTGAAATTTGGAGAAATTCTGTCATTATTACTTCAAATATTTCTTGTTCTTTTTTCTCTCTCTCTCCTTCTGGTATTCTCATTACATGTATATTACATCTTTTGTAGTTGTCCCACAAACTGAGTGTCTTTCTCAGTTTTCTTCTTCTCCCCCCCGACCCCTGTATTAGGTGGGTTAGGATGGCTAGAACGAACTGGAGTTGGGTATTTCCTTTCCCCCACCTCAGTTAGGCTCTGATAAAACCCTGCCGGTCCGGCTCTGATTAACTAGTTTCTCCTGAGGGCAGGACTGTTGTTAAGAACACAGTGCTCTGGCATATTTGAAAATGGTTCATTTTCCCTCCTCCTGCTGGAAGCACAAAGGAATTTTTCTTTAATATTTGTGAGAAGTTGGTTGAGCCCCAGGAGGTAAATCTCATAAAATTGTGGGGATCCCTGTGACTAGGTTCTCCTGGACTTCTGAAGTCTCAAAGTTGTGCACACTTAGTCCCCAGGAATTTGTCAATACAGCTCAGGTCTTCCTACCCCTGCACTGGCTCCTGTGGTGGCTGCCTCTGTTCCAGTAAAGCCACAGATCCCTGTATTTGCCCGTTGGTCTCTCCAGTCTTGGGGGCAGCAGTCTGTCCTGTGTCGTCCACTGTCATCTGTATCCAAGAAAGGGTGTTGACGTTTGTTCAGATTTTTTTACCTGGCAACTTCTAAGCTCCTTCCATGTGAAGCTGGAAAACAGAAGTCCCTGTCATGCATTCTTCTGTACTTGCATTGCTTGGGTTATGCTATTTCTACCTCTTCTCCACTTTAACTTTTCCTTTGGACCAAATTCCTGATTCTCTTCTCTGTCATGTGGTACATGGCTAAAATACTTAAGATGACAGGATTATGATTTAACTTTTATTTTTGTCTTACATGTAACTGACTTTATTTTCCCTTTTAATATTTTTCTTTGAGGTTTAATTTGCTGTATATACAGCAAAGTGCACAGCACTCAAGTGTTAAAGTCATAAGAGTTTTTGACAAAACACAAAGCTTTGCTTCTGATATCTAATTGAAGCACATCACTAGGGGCTATCTTACTGAAATAAATTACAGAAGTGTCAGTGTGCAGCATCAATGAATCATTAACAAAGTAAGCTGTCATTGAGGCATAAGAGAAAAATTCAACACAGCAAGGCTATATAAACTACCACCTGGAAAGAACCAAAACTGCAACACACTGAGATCAAATTTGACCTTGAGTGGGTCTGTTTTACTGTATATAAGCTTTCTGGATTCCAAGAGTTAACTAATAAAACATAAAACATTTGAATATTGACAACTCATTGTTGACTTCCCCACAAAGATTTAACTAAAATTGAGTGGAAATCTCTGTTCCCTAATAAGGTGGAAATACTGAAATTTTATTAGAAAAAAAGGATGAATCTGAGATATATTCCTGCAAGAGAATTTACAGCAAAAACTTCAGTTGCACTTAAACACAAGATTAGTAAAAACACCAAATGGGCATGGTTGTTACAGTAAGCAGGGTTATGTAGAGTAATGTAATTCTTTGTTTTACACTATTCCCATAAGAGTCATATGGTGATCCATCATTTTCAGTACAATATGTAAAAATAACTTATTTGTAGGACCCTTTGATTGGCTACTTCATTGCTATAAATACCACTCTGAATGTATACTTCTATATTTGCTTTTTTTTTTTGTATAATATTGCTTTAAACTATTCTCTACTATCTTGATTTTGGGTAAATTATCAAAAAGTTACCATTTTGAGACAGCTATATTTCTTTCTGACTTAAGTACCTCTGTAAAAATGGGCATAATGCAAAGAAATAGTGAAATAAGAAATACTTTTCTGTGGGGGGGGTCCCTTTAAGGAATATGTTTAAAGAATTACAAATGGGTGATTATATAAAATTGCACCAAAAATGCTAAATAAGTGATATAAATCTCCAATTGGAATGCTTTCAGGGAAATTAGAGAGCAAATCCTCTTAATATTAGGTGAGTGAAGGGGAACAAAAGTGGCAGAGAAGAAACCCAGTCTTTTTATAGCAGTAAATCCTTTTGATCATCTAAACAAAGCTATGCAGCACTCCCTGCCCCAAGTCGATTTTATTTACACACAAAACTTGGTGTATCTTTTCAAGGTACTCATGCCACTTGAAACTCATCCATGTACACTCTGGGGTTTCATATAAATGAACAATCTCCTTGGGATATAGAATAATCTGTAAAAACCAACAAAAGTAGAAACTGCTGTTAGAGGCAAGTGGCAGAAAATCCCACTTAAAAAACAGAGCTAACTTCCAAACTACATACATGAGGAAATAAGTTATCAATTTTAACACACTTTATTGAAAATCATGCCAGCACTACTAAAAATGTTGCCACATACCACTCCCACTTTTCATACAGTATGTGATGTATGAAAGAATGAGTCATAAAATATCTGTGTAAAGGTCTGTAATATTATGCCTATGGATAATCACTATAAAAGTTTCAAGTATGCCAAAAGATATTGGTAGAGGTAAATTTTTATAGTGATAAAATTTTATAGTAATAAATATTTCAAATATTTAAATCACTTTTAAAACATTTGCCATTGCTGAAATTATATCCCAACAGTGTTTGTTGGCTCATAAATTGAAAAATTATTTTGGCATAAAAACTTTTGAGCAGAGCACCTGCTGCCAGCACCTACATCAGCTGGCACCTCTCCCCAGGTGTGCCAAATTTTGTAATTTTCAGTGTGTGCTGTGACATGACAATGGTTGGGAAGCCCTACACTGTACCATAGGCAATAAGAGGTATGTGTAACATGAAGAATGTCAGCGCTTCTTCATTTAGATCTTTGAGTTTATTTTGGCAATAACCATGAAATGGTTCAACTATTCAAAGGGCAGACCTTTTTCTAAAAGACTCAGCATGCTCTGAGAAAAAAAATAAACTTGAAACTTGGAAGAGATTTTGTTCCCTGAATATTAAACATGTCGGCCAATGATAATCTAGAAATTTCTATGTATACCCAGATATTTAGTTAAAATTTTATACTTCTCTCCCTTACATATACGAATAATTAGTTTGTAATGACTACTGTAAGCATCACCAATTTTAATTTAAAATAATGGCAGGGGGACTTCCCTGGTAGCGCAGTGGTTAAGAATCCGCCTGCCAATGCAGAGGACACGGGTTTGAGCCCTGGTCTGGGAAGATCCCACATGCTGTGGGGCAACTAAGCCTGTGCGCCACAACTGAGCCTGCACTCTAGAGCCCACGAGCCACAACTACCGAAGCCCGCGTGCCTAGAGCCCATGCTCCACAACAAGAGAAGCCACCACAATGAGAAGCCCGTGCGCCACAACAAAGAGTAGCCTCCACTCACTGGAACTACAGAAAGCCTGCGCGCAGCAACAAAGACCCAACGCAGCCAAAAATAAATAAATAAATATTTAAAAATAAACAAGATAAAATAATGGCAGGCATTAGATGATCATTAATCTTTTTGCTAGTTTTTATTATACTATATAAGATTTGTATTTCCTGTGATCTGAGAAACATCAATATTCTATTTAAAATTTGTTCTTAAAAATATACAATATTGCACTTTAATTTTTGGCAGTTTAATTAAGGAACAGCTGAGTAAAAAAAAATCATACAAGAAACTACAGTTTTTGTTTTATAATAAGCAAAGAGCTTTGTATAAAAGCAGAACTTACAGTAGTGCCAAATAAACCAAATATTTACAGTGTCGCTATTAAAGTCTTACCTCTAAAGGAAGATTCAGTGTATTGGATGCAAACATTACTAATCTAACAAAAGTACACTCTGCCTCCCTGCCTTCTGCTGAACAATTTTACGCTAAAGGGTATTCGTGTGAAAAGTTTTTGTAATTTCTTTCTCAAGAGAAAATACATGGAAAGTATGCTTGTTCCTGAAGCATCAAAACTGCGTCACTAAACTCTTTCACAGTTTCCTACAAGACCTGAAAAATCTCTAAACTAAAAATCAGAATCCCAAGGTAAGCGTGAGTTTTAGTTTTTCTGTAGATATTCTTTTTCACAATTACAAGTATACAAGTTAGTTGGTTTTTAGTATGATTTTAAGGTCAGCTTCCTGTACTTTTTCTAAGATACATAAGATACTGACTATGCATCTGCCTAAATTATTTTTAACTTTTGTTACATTGTAGTAAAACTGTATACATTTATACTGACCCATAATTTGCTATTCTACTTTTTAGTTCCCAATTAGGTAAATACTCTAGACAGTGCAATATTTTTTACTTATCAACCAATTAGGAAGACAGTTTTGAATAGCTATTTGCAAAAACAAATATCAAGATTTCGACCTACTTAACAATATATTAAATATTCAAAAGACCAAAAAGAACATAAATAAAATGTATTGGTAATATAAATACATGACACAGAGATATTCGCTTTTGGCACCGCCTTAAAAAACAAAATCCAGCAGTACTTTATTTCCCTTCAGAGCTTTGGGAATACTTAAAATTTCTAAATTTCTATTAAACTTTTACTTTTCCTCCAGAGGAAAAATAATTCATAAATTTGAACTGGTATTTCAAAAGCATAGGATTTCCTTTTGTTACTTCTTAATTTGATCTGCAGAATGGACAGTTACTCAAAGTGTTAGCTAGCAGCCAATGAGTTAACTATGCTTTTATATTTTAATCCTACCAAGAAATGATAATGTGAAACAGTGATTCATTATGGAAAGATATGGTTTCTTCTTAAACAACCATGTACCAATTGCATAGTTGTGATCTGAGAACTCAAAGTAGAGAGCTACGAAGGCATTAATGTATGTTAACTGAACTGAAACAGACTGTTAAAAAACAGTCTATCTTGGGTAGATGTTAGCATAAACCTAGAGGGAAAAAGAAACAGTCATTAGCAAAAAAGTTTTCTTTAAAAATAGGTTAATGCTAAGAACAGTAGCTTTTAAAATTTCTGTTTAAAAATAAGCTTAATAAACAAGAATACAAATTTTAATTCAAAACTTAGTTCTCTGAAATGCCCTATTTTCTCGCATACAGCAGAAAATACATTTTTCATTGTTTTTAACATTACATGTAAAAATGAGGCACTAGTTAAACATATTTGAATATATTCACACAAACAGGAGTTTCCATGTCATCTGTAGGCTTATATTTGCTCAATGGGTTCTTGATGGCAGACTGCTCACAAAAATAAGTCTTCTGAAGGAGGTGCGTAAGAGAAACCAACAAAGGCGTCGTCGGCCTCCAGTACGCTGGCGTTCACTATGGAATAGTCAGAAGACACACACACGGAATATGGAACTGTTTCTTCTGTAAACGCTGCATCAAAGTTCCTGATATCATCTGGTCCTGCCTAAAACGTCAAAAAGCATACTATTACTCACCTTACCTTACCTTACCTTACCTTTCTTCCCCTTACTTCAGTCCCTCATTAAAGCCCCGTCATGAATTTGTCTATTTATTCCTGGCAAGTCTTCCTACTCCATCAATGTCTTTGAAACATTTCCTGCTTTTCCCTTCCTGACTCTCATTATTCAGGTCCTTCTTACAGTTAGGGTTCTCATTGTTGGGTGGGGAGGAAAGATAAGGGTGAGGAAGGCTAGCGTGACAGGGTCCTCGCCTATGTTAATTTGAATCTTGGTTCCGGCAACTGACCCACTTTCTCTCTACCCATCACCACCTCTAAATTTAGAAAAGGGACTCAGGGAGGTTTTCAGGAGAAAATTTTGCATCTCCACTTCCATAAAATGCCTGACCATCCAGTTTCTCAATTCTGGGGAGGTTGAAGCCTTTTGATGAAGAAATGAAGGGACAGTAAGTAAAATTATGAAAGGTGACTCTCGTGCTACCGAGGTCATTCACTGAGCATTCGGCTGTGACACCCTTAGCTCTAGAGACCTAAAGGGACTGGAACCTGGGAAATGAAGCATAGTGGCTACTTAGGCTTGAAGGTAGCGGTCAATCTTCCTTCACGAATCTGATACAAGCTAATGGACTCTCCCCTTCCAATTTATTTACAGATTAAAACTGGGATACAGATTCAGGTGATTTACTCTTAAAGCCCATCTCTGAAGCTCTAGGTTATCTCTATTCTAAGAGGAAGGGAATCCTTAAAATGTTCAAGTCATCAAGTCTAACCAAGGTAAACAGGTTCAGAGCACATATATAAACCAAGGACACAGTTAGCCTGGTGGTCTGCAAACAGCAGAGCAGAGACCAGGGAAATTTGGGACGCTAGATTCTTCCATATGAGAAATTCCCCAACAGAGCAGAAAGAATGCTAGAAATTATACTCATGTATATATAAAAAAGTCATCAGGGCTTCCCTGGTGGCGCAGTGGTTAAGAATCCGCCTGCCAATGCAAGGGACGCAGGTTTGATCCCTGCTCTGGGAAGATTCTACATGCTGCAGAGCAACTAAGCCCGTGTGCCACAACTACTGAAAGCTTGAGCACCCTAGAGCCCATGTGCTGCAACTACTGAACCCAAACAGCACAACTACTGGAGCCTGTGCACTCTAGGGCCCACGTGCCACAACTACTGAAGCCCGTGTGCCACAACTACTGAAGCCTGCATGCCTAGAGCCCGTGCTCTGCAACAAGAGAAGCCACTGCAATGAGAAGCCCGCTCAATGCAATGAAGAGCAGCCCCTGCTCGCTGCAACTAGAGAAAGCCCGTGCACAGCAACGAAGACCCAACGCAGCCAAAAAAAAAAAGTCATCAAATTCTCATTTATAACCTTAGAAGCAAGGGCAGTGGAACAAGACTAAGGTTTGAATTCTGGCTGTGAAATTTGTTAGCTGTAATTCTTTATATAAACTACCCTATCTCTGTGAGCTTGTTTCCTCTTCTGTAAAATAAGAATACTGCCATCTACCTGTTAAGTTTACTGTGAGGACTGGATGCGTTAATACATAAAATTCCCAAAATTTGACACGTAGAAGGTGCTCAATAGATGATGAAAAATGTTCCTTCACTGGACTTTATAAACATTCTGTGAATGCCCTGATGGCTCCTGGCCAGTATTGAGAGGGATAAAACTGTACAACTTACGTTAAGAGTGAGAGAAGACTGTGTCTTCCTTAAAGCACCTGAGCTCGAATTCTAGGTCTGCAATTTTAACTTTAAACTTCCGGCAAGTTATTTAACCCTTTCTGTGCCTAAGTTAACTCATCTGTATTACGTGGAAAATAACGGTACTATTTCGTAGGATAGCTGCCAGGCTTAAGTAGAAGGATACAAGTACTGAGGGCAGCATAGAAGCTAATTTTTTTATCTTTGTTTGTTACATGAGAAATGGCAACACGTTAGGGTTTTATCTTGCATTCCTTAAATGTCGGTGAGTTAGAACATCTTTTAATATATTTAAAAAACCATCTGCATTTATTTTTCTGTAATTGAATATTTTGTGTCTTTTATCCATGTTTCTACTGGTCGTGGTCTTTCTTCTCAATGACTTATAAGAATGCTTTATGTGTTAGGGAAATTTCTCCCAGTTTCTTCTTTGCAGTGTTTTTTTCATGCAGACATTTCTAAATTTTATGTGGTCAAATTTATCACTTTTTTCCTCTTACAGCTTCTCCGTTGCAGGTCTTGCTTTAAAAAGTTTAATTAGTTGTAGACCAGCAGGGATCCAAACGTGGAGGTGCCTGACTCCTCTGAAGTCAACACTGTTCCCATTTTCAGTGTTGCTTACACGGGGTCCCTAATGCTTTAATGAGCCTGATGACACGTTCATTTGAGGATAACTAAACTCAGTAAGACTTTCAATATAAAGGAGAAAATTCAATAATTCTTAAAGGTCCTGGGTTCCTACTGCAAATTCTAGAAATGAGGACAGAAATTATTGCCAATGGAGTCACCTCTGAAACAGACACTTCTGGATGAGCTACATGAAATAAATCAAGTCTACAAATATCATTACATTTATAGTGTACAATATCACATCTATTAATTAATACCAGCTATCAGCAATGTACTGAAAGTGACCTTGAATGAAATCTGAGTACACTAAATAATACTTTCCTGAAGTGATTTTCTTATCCTGCTCTAATTTTCTAAAAAAAAAAGTGTTTCACGAGCTTCACAGCAACACCAAAAAATTTTAAATAAAAGAAAAACAAATTCAGCTATGATCGTGTAATCTCAAATCAGTCTTGATTTATATTCTCTTCCCATCCTTACCTGTTACTTTTACTGCTGTAATCTTATGTCACAAAAATGATAATTACCATGTTTTCATTTAACATTATAAGGATTTTCCAAGCATCTACTCATTTTATATTTATTATCATTATTATCATTTACTTAACAAGAAAAGGAAATAGAGAGTAAGAAAGCATAGAAAAAAATAATGACTTTGGGATCAGATACAGATCTGAATCTCAGGTCTGCTACTTTTAACCAGCTACGTGACATCTCTGAGTTTTCATTTCTTCATTTATAAAACATGTATAATAAGAATAGTAATAGCAGTAACTTGGTAGCTTATTTGAGGCATAATTTACATGTTGTAATGCATAAAAATTATATACGCCTACATATAGGAAGCTATCATTAGTAACATCATTATTGGCCTTCTGATGATTTATTAATAATCTCCCTATCATTATATATTTATTTCCAAACATTTCAACATTGTTAATCCTTTAAGTAAAATGTTTCCATCAGATTTAACAAGTCAAACATTATTTGACTTTTTTTTATATCAATCTAGAAAAAAATTGTGCGTTAGTGTTACTTAAAATGTCTGTTGGTTTATAGGTATGAAAATGATGCCTCACAGTTACTTTAATTTGCATTTTTTTAAACCTGTTGGGCTTTCTTACACATGCTCTTAAGAAGCACTTCACAATTACTTTTCTGGAAGATATTCTGATCAATCTAATGTAACTATAATCTTATGGGTCATCTTGAAGTTATCAGTTGTACTAGACATCCTGAGTGACATGTTTCATAAGTACTAGGTACTGATTCAATTTGATTCAGGTTAGATTTTGAGATCTATTGCTACAATTACGATGAGCTACAGTTCTATATTTCACTATTTCAGAAAGAAAGATTTGGATGTAAACATACCACATTAGGATTAAACGGTGGTGGAATCTTCTTTTGTACAAGATCAGTCCAGCTGAGTGATTCAAAAAAAGGATGATTCTGAATTTCAAGCTAGAACAGTAAAGAAACAGATTTTTTACTAATGCTGAAGAATATATTAAGTACGCACTGAAGAATTTTATGAAACCGAACCATTTCTACTTTGTCCCTCAGAAGTTCTTTTTAGGGGCTTCCCTGGTGGCACAGGGGTTGAGAGTCCACCTGCCGATGCAGGGGACACGGGTTCGTGTCCCGGTCCTGGAAGATCCCACATGCCACGGAACGGCTGGGCCCGTGAGCCATGGCCGCTTAGCCTGCACGTCCGGAGCCTGTGCTCCGCAACTGAGAGGTCACAACAGTGAGAGGCCCGTGTACCGCAAAAAAAAAGTTCTTTTTAGGTACATGTTTATCTTATTCAATTTGGCCAAATGGTGTAGTGAAAAGACTCCCAGAGCAGACATGGGAGAGTTACTCAGAATGATGGATTTAAGTTACATCCTCTTCACAGTCATTGTTTCCTCACAGGTACAGTGGGGTTAACATTTCTGCCCTAGATATTTCATAGATTGCTTCAAGAATCACTGGAAAATATGGAAAAGAATAAAGCACTACATAGGTACAAAGAATTATTATTACTGAAAGGGGAGGTAAAGATGTTAAATGAGAGTTTTTTACACAGTGGGGCAGGGGTAAAATCAAGGTGACAAGCTCTACTACCAAAAATGATTCCACTCTGGGCTGCTACTGTCAAAAGTCGGCACAGTATTGATGCTAGCTTTTCTTCCTACAAGGAGGCATGAGAGTGTATAAAAAGTAGGATCCAACCTAGTTTGATGGGTTTAAAAAGGCTTCTCAGAGAAAGTGGTATCTGACCAGAGTTCTGGAAGATAAGTAAGAAGTAGGCAGACAAAAAAGAATGAGGGGAGAACATTCCAAGCAGAATACAAAGGGCCTGAGACGGCAAAGAGCTTAGTTTGGTCAAGAAAATGAGAGCCCCATATGGCTGCGGTATAGGAAAGGATTGGGATTGTCACACAAAGAGGATCTCAAGAGGTAAATGGGTTCATCACACTGGGTCTATGCTAGGAATTTTGGATTTTATTCTAGGGTCATGGGACTCCATCAAGGAGTTTTAGGAAGGGTAATGTCACAAATGTGGGGTTTTTTTTGTTTGTTTGCTTTTTAAGATGACTCTGACTAATGGGAGAATGGACTGGGGAGTCATGATGAGAAAAAGGAAAACACCTACTATCGTGGCCAGACAGAAGATGACAATGCGAGGAAAAGAGTGGTAGCAGTGGGAGAAGAGAGAGGTGTCTGGATACGGGAAAGATCTAGGAGGCAAATATACTAGGTTCTGGCTGTTTGTTGAATACAGAAGAAAGGAAGAGAGAAGAGTCAGGAATGACTCTCAGATTTCTGGCCCGAAGAGCACAGAAGGAAGACAGCAAGGGTTCAATTATGAACATGCTGAACTCTCCAGAATCCACGTGGTGGTGTTGAACAGGCAGGTACTCTTTGAGTTAGGGCTCACTAGAGAGGGGTCTAGACTGAAGATATAAATGTCAGATGAAGACACAACCAAAGCCATAGGGACAACTGAGATTGTCCAGGGAGAGAGCAACAGAAGAAACAAGGGTCTGGGGCCAACCATAAGGAACTGCAACACTTAAAAGTCAGGGTGAAGAGGAGGAGCTTACAGAAGAGATTCTGGAGGAGGGCTCAGAAATATAGAGGAAAGCACGAGAGGAGTGTGTGCTCCTGCAGAAGCCCAGGAGAGGGCTGGAAGTTGAAATGCTGCTGAGAATGCAATCTGAGCAACAGAAGTACTCAACAATCCTAGTAGCTGTTGTGGGGTAGACTGAGAAATGAGAAGAGATTGGAAAAGGGAGAATGAATATAGAACCTTTCAACTTGGTTTTCTTTTTCTTTTTCTTTTTTTTGCAGTACGCGGGCCTCTCACTGTTGTGGCCTCTCCCGTTGCGGAGCACAGGCTCCGGACGCGCAGGCTCCGCGGCACGTGGGATCTTCCCAGACCGGGGCACAAACCCGTGTCCCCTGCATCGGCAGGCGGACTGTCAACCACTGCGCCACCAGGGAAGCCCCAACTTGGGTTTTCAAGTCGAAAACTTTCAAACTATTCCCTTGGCTATGAAGGGAGAAAGAGACAGTATTGGAGGATCTAGGACAAAAGAGAGCAGTTATCTGTGCAGAAAAAAGCATGCACAAGGGTTCCTTGCAAGGGGTCAGGATCCAGGAAAGGCAGAAACCGACCTTTTCCACTATACTAGGAAGAAGGAAACAATTGGGGCAGGTGCATGTAGGTCTGCAAATCTGACAGCAGGAAGCTGAGTGAGTTCTGCTCTGCTGATTCTATTTTCCCTATAAAATATCAATAGAAGGCAAGAGCATCTGGTAAAAGTGAAGAAGAAAAGGAATCTGGAAATTTGGAGAGAAGGTCTAAAATAGTTAATACACAGAGTAGGAGCATAAACTGGAGAAGCACTGAGGAGACTAATGACTAGACTTCACAGCACTTCCAATATTCCCAGTTGTGCAACTCTCATCAGCACTGTTCAGCAGCCCAGGGGTGACAGCTGGATTCATCTAGGGTTGCAATTTCTGCCAGTGAATTCAACAAAAGGACCAAGAGACAAGGAGGTATGGAGCATTGGCAAGATTGCCCTGAAAAAATGGACTCTGGAGTCCAAGCTAGAGAGAAAACTGGACAGAGCTACCTGCTGCACTGGGGAGTGCAGGAGGGGAAAAGCAGCAGCAGACGAGTTTATTATTCACAGCTCAAGTTCAAGACTGGTAAAGAGCCCCCAAAAATTCCTGAGAAATTTTAATGAATTTTCATTAAAATTTCAAAGTTCATGTTCCTCAGTAGTTCATGAATTCACTAACATAACACTGGTAACTGCACTAGCAATTAAATTACCCTGATTTGAAGGGAAAAAAAAAAGCAAACCTGCAGATCCCATAATTATTTCAAGGAGGTGTCACATTTAAATTCTCAGGAAAAAAAGTGATTTAATGACAGTTCAAGCAAAAGGTATTACCTCATGCAGTCAGAAAGCACTTACATTCTTGTTAAACAAAATGATCTAAAAGTTTAGGCAATCAAAAAATGCATGCCGCACATTTTTTTTAGAAGGGGGTAGGAAATTCTAATAAATAATAGGGTATGAAAGCTGGATATGGGGGATGAAAAGGACAGGATCAAATTGTTATGAAGATCAAATGAAAAAAATGCTTGTACAGGAGCTTTAAACACTGTACAGTTCTATATAAACACTGGTGAAAATTGTTGGAACAAGCATGCTTCTTTTTCATGGTGCTATTCTTTAAGAGCTGCATTCATCCCATTAAATACCATATAAAATAAGGATTTATCTTCAAATTATAAATAAGCTTAATAAAGAGGATACTGGGAAAGATGTACATACGAAGTCTTCTTTGGCACCGAGTCGGTTTTGCCTGTCTTTTTCTAGGAGTTCTTCCAGAATTGACCAGGCTGTAAGGCTCACTCCTGGCCTCAAACTTAGGGGCTTGTGAAGAATATTGTCATACATTTCAGCAACATCTCGGCAATAAAAAGGAGGCTGGGGGTGGGGGGGGGGAGAGGAGAAAGTTAGTACTAATTGAATTATGCACAGATGGGGTTAAAATAGTTAGATTTGGCCTTGATGTACAAAGAGCAGTCTGGCTGCACAAGTACAGAAAAGCACAGGTCTCTTTGGGTGTATGAAAATCTACAGTGTGGCTTTCCATGTGAAGAGATTTTAAAACCCAGCGTGCTATAGAGCTTAATACATGTTCACTAAATGAATTAGGGTCAGTTTGTTCAGTAACTCCTGCAGAGAGGTGTAAATTGTATATAAGTTGCAATAGGATCTGCTTTAAAGAAAACCACTACCAACCTCATCATTAGGCATAATGATAGAATTACTGGAAATAGAGATTCAACACAGATCAAACAAATAACTTCTTGAGACCTGGGAATAAACTAATTTAAAAAGATTTCTAGTGGAGATGGAGACCTAACCTGTGGCAGTGACAGTGTCCTGCAGAATTAAAATTTTACTCTCACAGCTTGAAGACCTGAGGTACAGCTCCAACATGAGAATTAGCCAGTTAATTTTTGAGTTACAAGTTTAAAGTAAAAATAATTTTTAAAGTTAAGGGAGTTACAAGCTTGTTATTTTTTTCTTTTGTATAGGAAAGAAAAACTTCATTTTTTAACATCTAATTTTATTTTTAAATTGTTAATATAAGTTTACTTAATGAAGTGTGTGTTTCAAATGTTCCCTTTTGAATCAATTACATTCTATATGCAATGATAATATTTTATACTTTCAAAGTCCTCTAAAGAAATACAAAGGATTTGGAAATATCAGGCTGACGAATACCCAACACTTAAAGAAAGTAAGGTATAAAGTGGTTATCAGGTCTTCTAAGTCACCAGCATAAACAGAAAACTAGATCTTTTAACAAGCAGATCATGGTCAAGGGCAAAGAAGAGACAGCATTGGCTGTCATTAGGAATCTATCATTCAAAGTTAGCAACATGAGACAAAAGATGCTCTAAAACATACCTCAGGGACTGAATTTCACTGAGATCACCCCCATTTTCAGGGGAAACACACACACACATATACACATACAGAGCAAAACAAAAAAGCCAAGACCAGCTCAAGTCTCAGCAGACGGTAGATTTAGCTTAGTGGGAGCAGCAGTGTGGGTGATGAGAGCCTGGTCACCACCCTGAGGCTGCTGGCCACTCACGGGCCCACAAAGGGAACCTAAAAACTATTCTGAATGTTTAAAAAAGCCTAAAGAAAAACATACATTATTCCTGCAAGGATATGTAAGCTAATTAAAGTGCCTAAAATTGTTTGCTTTTGGTTGGAATGATATTAACTCAATGTAGTAAAACAATTTGACTTGTTAATCAGAAGCTCTGGCTAACTGTGTCTTTAATTAATAAAAACTGGGGAAACTGATTACACAGCACACATCACTTTTTTCCAATGAAATATTTACGACATGATGTTTATGATAAAGGGAATAAAGGGTTCCCAGTAATAAAAAAAAGCAGAGCACCAGTATACTTATTAAATCCTATAAAAACAAAATACGAGGCAAAATCAAAAGGTATTATTATCTTCTGAGAAATAAAATCTTTTTCTTTTCATCTTTTTGAAATTAGGCAGAATGACTGGAGCAAACTGAATGAAAGTGGGTAATTTTAATGTTACAACTTGGTGTCTATTTCTTAAAAATGTAGTGGGATGAGAACATTTGAAGTAGTGATTAGTATGATAGAGAAACACTTATAAAAAATTAGTAAGAAAATGAAAAGTTTTTCTTTTTTGTGCATATCCCTAATGTGATTTTGGATTCATTTAACCAGGTTACTACTGTTCTGTTAGTGTTATCTAAGTGTCCACGAGATTACTGAAAGAAAGAGAAAACCGAAATCACTTTTAACATACTAGAATCATAATGACAGAGGAGAAATACATACCAATCCATATAGCATTTCATACAGAACAGCACCAAGGCACCACCAATCTACAGTATTGTCATAGGGCTGTTTTCTGATTACTTCAGGTGCTAGGTACTATAAAAAAGATTAAATATTAGAGCAACTCAATAAATAGTTGAAGACAAAATCTAGGAATAATTGAGAAATTTAATAAATTTTAGGTGTAATATCACACTAAATTAAACACGTTATCTAGATTTTCAGTGGGTTGGGTATATTCTATACCAGGGGTTCTTGGGTGGCACTAGTCTTCAGAATCAACTGGGGTAATTTTCAAAATACACATATTCAAGCATTTCTCCCCAGAAACTGTGATGTAGTTAAGACAAATAGAGGCCAACAAATGTACAAACTGTAATACTAAGTAGGTAAAGTAGGTATTTTTTTTGGGGGGGAGCGGGGGGAGTCTTTCTCAAAATTAATTTTAGAAATTCTTATGGCCATTATTCATAATTGATTCTCCTGAAGAAAGAATTTTTAGTGTGGCAATTACAATTCATTTTTTTCTTTTTATTGAAAGAAAAAAGAATAAATTGCATTCTTATTTAAGAATTACAATAGCAATTCTTTAACATGTTATTTAGAAAAGTTGCTTAAGTTATTATATGGCTATTTACATTTCAAATTGTAAAAAATTTAAACATTATCATTTCACACATATAAATGGTGAATTTGAATTTTAGATTCCAAAATACATATTTCCTCTTCCCACATGAAATATATATAAGGAAATACATTCTTAAGCTTTTTTATGTGATCCAAAGAAATAGCAACATATATAAAAAGGGTTTAATAATTTCTGATCATATTTAGGTTTAGATGACCAAAAAAACTTCTATTTCCCTTCTAAATATTACAGGACTTAAAGATTTTGTTAACTATTAAATGAATATACATCCATGAAAAATGTTTCTTCATACATAAACCAAAATAGAATTATTACAAATATATACAAGACTTAGGGTTAGATTAGCGAGAAAAAGGAAGAAAAAATACATTTCAAAGTATAGTTGTACTTATAGATACTTTAAGTTTCTCATCTTGATTAGAAATCTGATGTGAGCTATTTTATCACACATTTTTAACGTATTTGCAATTACTCCACAATCTTAATTACCCTTAATTAATTGCAATTAAGATCACAATTAATATTTTAAAATTAGAACACTTTAAACGTATGTATGTGTGAAGTTAGAATAACAAGGCTTTCACATAAATTTTAAGGATTATTATTACTGTCTCAAATAGAAAGATACATTTTCTGCTAGTTAAAATGATTAGAGAATAGGATGTTCTGGTTAATAAATTCTGATTTGTAATTTTTTCCCCCATATCCACTGTTTTATTTTCTTCCATTAAACAATTTTTATTATAAAATATTTTAACCATACAAAAAGTATAAAAATATAACAGAAACCAGTAGTGCTACCACCCAAATACAGGCAATGTTAACATTTTGCCATATTTGCTTTAGCTTATTTCTTTTAAAAAACAGCTTTATTACGATATTCACATACCATGCCATTCACCCACTTAAAGTATACAATTCAATGGCTGTTAATATATTCACAGAGTTGTCCCAACATTACCTCAATTAATTTTTGGACATTTTCATCACTGATTCATGATTTTTTTGTTGTTTTAAGAATCAGAAATGTAATCAAATGTTTGAAGAAATCTAAGGTAAACTTTTAACATTAAAAACAAGTAAGCATAATTCATCTTTGTTGGGTTATCTGTGGTATCTCAAAATCACAGTTAAAAAAATATCAACTATCAATAAACTTTAAATGTTCAGAAGGGATGATTATCAGATATTTCCAGCTGGCTGGAAGCTGAAAATATTTTTACTCTACTTTTCTGATTTCAAATTTTATATATACAAATTTTATATATAAATTTTATATATACAATTTGTGATTCATTTTAGCATTTTATACATGAGTACATGAATGAGACATATTTCTTACCTCTGGTGTCCCACAAAATGTTGTTGTGGTGTCAGAAATAGCAATTCCTTCTTTACAAAGCCCAAAATCTGTTAAGACAACATGTCCCTGACAAATACAGGGGCAGTAAGATAAAAGAATGCATGGACATAAATTGACACTTATTAAAACCATTGGATTTTGAAATAATCATAGATTAAAAGGAAATTGCAAAAACAGTACAGAGTTCCATGTCCCCTTCCCCCATCTTCCCCCAATGCTGACATCTTATATAACTGTAGTAGTGTCAAAATCAGGAAACTGACTTTGGTATAATACTGATAACTAGACTGCCAACTTTATTCAGTTTTTGCTATTTTACATGCACGCATTTGTGTGTGTGTATGTGTAGCCCTATGCAATAGAAACGTATAGATTCGTGTAACTACCACCACGATCAGACAGAGAACGTCCATCATCCCAAAGGAACAAAGGAACTCTCTCTCATGCTACTCCTTTATCTTTGAACTCCCCTATTCCCTCAGTCCCTGTCCCCTTGCAACCACTAATCTGTTCTCCATCTCCATAGTTTTGACATTTCAAGAATGTTATCTAATGGAATCGTGCAGTGTGGAACCTTTGAGGTGGACTCTATGCCACTAAGCATAACAACAACAAAAATCATAACTAGTAAATGGAACGTAATGAAACTTAAAACCTTTTGCACAGCAAAGGAAACCATAAACAAGACGAAAAGACAACCCTAGAATGGGAGAAAATATTTGCAAACGAAGCAACTGATAAAGGATTAACCTCCAAAATATACAAGCACCTCATGCAGCTCAATGTCAAAAAGCAAACAACCCAATCCAAAAATGGGCAGAAGACCTAAATAGACGTTTCTCCAAAGAAGATATACAGATTGCCAACAAACACATGAAAGGATGCTCAACGTCACTAATCATTAGAGAAATGCAAATCAAAAACTATAATGAGGTATCACCTCACACTGGTCAGAATAGCCATCATCAAAAAGCCTACAAACAATAAATGCTGGAGAGGGTGTGGAGAAAAGGGAACCCTCTTGCACTGTTGTTGGGAAGGTAAATTGATACAGCCACTATGGAGAACAGTATGGAGGTTCCTTAAAAAACTAAAAATAGAACTACCATACGACCCAGCAATCCCACTACTGGGCATATACCCTGAGAAACCATAATTCATAAAGAGTCATGTACCACAATGTTCACTGCAGCACTATTTACAATAGCTAGGACATGGAGGCAACCTAAGTGTCCATTGACAGATGAATGGATAAAGAAGATGTGGCACATATATACAATGGAATATTAGTCAGCCATAAAAAGAAATGAAATTCAGTTATTTGTAGTGAGGTGGATGGACCTAGAGTCTGTCATAGAGTGAAGTAAGTCCGAAAGAGAAAAACAAATACCATATGCTAACACATATATATGGAATCTAAAAAGAAAAAAAAACAAAAAAAAGGTTCTGACGAACCTAGGGGCAGGACAGGAATAAAGACGCAGATGTAGACACCAGACTTGAGGACACGGCGAGGGGGAAGGGTAAGCTGGGACAAAGTGAGAGAGTGGCATGGACATATACACACTACCAAATGTAGAATAGATGGCTGGTGGGAAGCAGCTGCATAGCACAGGGAGATCAGCTTGGTGCTTTGTGACCACCTAGAGGGGTGGGATAGGGAGGGTGGGAGGGAGACGCAAGACAGAGGGGATATGGGGATATGTGTATATGTATAGCTGATTTATTTTGTTATACAGCAGAAGCTAACGCACCATTGTAGAGCAGTTATACTCCAATAAAGATGTTGAAAAAAAAAAATCATGCACTAGTAGATTTTTAAAAGACAATACTTACTACTGAATCCAAAAGAATATTTTCTGGTTTCAAGTCTCTATCGAATTAAAAGGAAAGAAAAGGAAACCTGAATATGAACTGAAATAAAATAATAAAAAGACATTTTAGAAGTGAAATTTTAAAAACTTGCCTGTACACTATTTTGATGGAGTGCAAATAACCCAATGCACTGGCAATTTCAGCAGCATAAAACCTAGCTCTGTGTTCAGGAAAGGACCGTTCTCTTTGCAAGTGAAAAAACAGCTGTAAAATTGGAAAAAAAAAAAAAAAAAGAATATTAAGATCATTCACACATAAAGTGAAACAAATATATTCTAAAAATACAAAAACAGGATTTATTTTTGTTACTTTGAACGTGAGATAAAAATGAACCAAAGCACAGAACCGTGACTCCCCCTTGCCTATGTATCCCCTCCACCTGGCAATCATGCTCTCTTCAACCACAAATCTTTCCCTATCTGTGCTTACTGCTCGCTCATCTCCCATGTACCCCTCAATCCTCAGTGTGGCAGTATCCTCATACCACTCCAGGCAACCTCCCTGGAAAAAATTATTAATGGAGACCAATGATTTTGATACTGCCATGTAATTATCTTACTGGGCCTTTTTTGACTGTTCTTTCATTTGAAAAAACCAAACACTATTTAGAGATCATAAACTAGTGGCTGGAAGATCAAATCTAACCCACAGATATAATTTGTTTGAACCAAAGAATGTTTTCAGAAAAATCTAAAATAATTGGTGACATTTAAAAACTGGGAAATTTTATTTTTTGGTTAAAATTCATAGTTTTGGTTTCTTCTGGGGAAAAAAAAAGGGTGGGGGGAGCTCTGCACCATTAAGCCTAAATTCAATATGGTAGCAACTGGCTGGAGATCATTGGCAGCTGGACTCTCCAGTTCATTTCTTACACTTCCTCCCTAATTTTCAATGTATTTTTCACAACCTGTTCTCTAGTCATCAGGTTACCTGCCTAGGCAAAGTTTGCTCTAGGTCCTTACTCTAAGTCTTTGGGCTTCTAAAACAACAATCTCTCGTTGGGGGCTTTCTTCTACCTTGGACAGTTCCATCTCCGCTCCTTTCTGGGCCCTTATGCTGCAGGGATTGACAAATTGTCTGTCCTAGGTTTCTCCACTGTTATTCTTTCTCTGGATACCTTCCCAGGCAACTTAATCCATTCCAATGATTTTAACCACCACTCTATGTTGATGTCTCTCGTGTGGACAGCCCTCTGCTTGGAGCTTCTACTGCAAAAATCTGCTGCCTGCTGCTCTTTCTTGAATATTTAACAAGCCAACAAATTCAATTTGTCTAACCCAGAGCCCCTGGTATTCTCTTACAGACTTACTGCCACTGCTGTATTGTCTCATTTAATGATATCACTTTCTACCCAGCCCTCTAAACCATGGGAGGCAGCAAGGTAAAGTGGAAATAGATTTTCAAACTGAAAAGCTAGCTGATCAGCCTTGGGTTCAAACCTTTTTGTGTGTTAATTCATTTAACTTCTTTGATTTTCAAAGATTGTCCCCAATTTTTTCTTAGCCTCTTCTGAAAGGTGATGGTGAAGATCAGTTACAATAGATCCTGACAGAGTAGATAAATGGGGCTGACCTGGGATTCACCTCTACTGCTCCTTTACCCTTAGTCCCTATATCCAAAAAATGAATAAATTCTTCTGTTTTTATCTCTTATTTATTTATGGGACACTCCCCCCTTTTAACCATTACCACTGCTTTTATTAGCTGCAGCTTACTCTACTGTAATACTTTATTTATTGACCTTCTGATCACATCTGTCTAATACACTACTACTGATGAAAATTACCCCAAATGAAAATCTGATCATTCACTAATAACAGCTAACAACCACTGCTTACTAAATCAAAGGTACTATGCTAAAGACTATATGCTTGTATTATTCAATCCACCCACCTATTTTGAAGTAGGAATTGATGAGGAAGCTGAGACTCAGAAAGGCTTGTTTACATGCCCAGTATCATAAAACTTATTTGTTTATACTCTACCTGACTCCAAAACAGATCTGAAGTAGTATACAAAAATGAATATCACATGTCAAGGTTAAAATGCAAATATGAACATTGGGGGGCAAATAACAGTAATAATAGGAAACACATAATGAAATCACACTCCTCTTGCCTCTGTCCTTTCTCATCCTTATTCCTCTTCTACCTGTTGCCCCATTCAACCCCTGCACCTTAACATTCTCTTTTCTTCCCCCATTTATCTTAGTCAACTCTATCTTTTAGAAGACAAGCCTACTTCCTTCCACCTTTGCCATCCAGTTTAGGAGTAGTCACTGTGTAATAAGGGCTCAGAAGCAAAGTCCTAAAACAGCATTAACAAACCACAGACAAGCAGGAAACGTGCAGCCAGTATCCCACCTGCAGTTAGATTTCTGCACGATATTTCAAGGACATAGGTGGTACTTAAGAATGGGCTTTGCAGTTGGGATGTCCAGGTTAAATCCGGGGCCTGACAAGTACTAGAGCACGGTGATACTGAGAAAGTTACTTCACCTCTCTGAGCCTTAATTTCCTTACCTATAAAATGAGCATAAGAGTGTTTATCTCAAAGAGTTGTGATGATAAACTGATATAACACATGTAAAATAATTACAAAGTGCCAGGCCCTCAATAAATTCTTGTTATATGTTAGCACTCACCACATACAAATAAAACCACACCTTCAAGGTGGGAACGATGTGGGGTCATCCACATTCCTGAATCAGGGTGCATGGGGGATTCATAATCCCGCTTCTGAGGAGTCTTAAGGCATATTTGCCATAGATGTAAGAGGTTGAATAATGATTCTTTTTATGACCATCCCCAAAATGATCTAGGTATGTCTGATCTTTCAGGTTTGCAGAATAGAAATCGGTCTTCTGTGTAGTTCCTTTATTCTACAGATAAGTGTACTATAGTAAGGTTGAAATACACTTCTCTTCTCTCTTTGCTCTGGGATTAAGGGATGGAAGATCCTTTTGTAAAGATATAATAACATTTACCAGTTAAAATAATTTTTAGAGATATTTACAGGTCAGAGATCAAACAAATTAGAAAAGTATGAGGATTAAGAAGCAGAGGAACAGGGGGTGGTCAGCTGCCTCGATCCTGGAATCAGACTGAGCTCAATTCCTGGCTCCATACTTACTAACCCACATGGCTTGATCAAGTTACTTAGCTTCTCTGTACCTCAGTTTCTTTGTCTTATGCAACACAACTGCTGTGAAGATAAAATAGTATGTATAAAGAGCCAGAGTGCTGGGCACATAAGGATGCTCAATACATGTTAACTACTACTGGAATTATTATCTTAACAGCAGCATTTCCCAAAATGTATTTCAATATCCCTCTGATTCAGAGTTTTGGGGAATACTGTTAATAGACTTGGTTCAAACAAAAAACGGGACTATGTGGTAAAAAAATTTTTTTTAAATAAATCCAGGCTTTCAGGCATAATTTCTCAAAGTCTTTAACATACTGAAACATTGTAACTACCACGAAGCACACTGTTAATCACCAAGAGGATATAACAGGAAACATTTTCCAAACTGGCTTCACCACAGAACCCTTTATTACAGGATCATCTCATCTGATTAATAGTTTGCACATTTTGGAAAATGACAGGCTAGAGTAATATTTATATGCAACTATTGAAACGATAATTACCAAAAATTACAAATCAAGTTTCATTCTAATGTTTCAGTATATGTTCTTGCTATATAGCTCAGCGACAAAACTACCCATGAAGTCTGTAGCTTCGTATCAAGGTTCTTTTATGAACCTTCCCACCTACGCCATAAGCTGCTTAGGAAAAGAGCTTTATGTCTCACTTCTCTACATTCTGCATTGTGCTGATTAGCCAGTGCTTTAAATACTGCTGCTACTCAACATATAGCTGTTTATGCTGGGCTTTGCTTCCAACACTGATAAGAGAAACTTGAACTCGATTTTTTTCCTAAACATTATCAATACTAGAAAACTAATTATAAAACTCACCTCCCCTCCATTAATAAAATCCAGAACAAAATAAAGCTTTTCAGTTGTTTGGAAAGAATAATGTAATCCAACCAAAAATGGATGTTTCACATTTTTCAAGAGCACATTACGTTCAGCCATAATGTGTTTTTGCTGTTAAAAAAAAAAAAAAAGGTAAAAAATCAGCTTGTATTAGACACCAGAAAACAATTCTGTTAACTGAGAAAACAGGTTTAGGAGAAACAAAGCTATTTTATTTTACCTCTTTTCTGTTGAGAACTATCTTCTTCTGTAACACTTTGACAGCATAAAATTTTCCATCCAGTTTCCGTTTTGCAAGAAGAACCTGTTATAGTTAAAGATTGTACCTACTATTAGAAATTTCAATGTTTTGATAGGAACAATTCACTTATCAATAAGTCAATATTTAAATTTTTAAAAAATAAAGTCCACAAAGGACCTAGATAATGTGGTGTTTTTATTTTGAAAATTGAAAATTACTGAATTTATTTCTCCAATTCCACTTTTCCTTAGATATTTTAATAAAACCAAAAAGTGTTGATGATTTAAATGGCCAGGCATCATTTCTTTGTCACTTAATGTGCTAATGTTTGAGGTTTTTACTAAATTTAAGTGTCAAAATCTATACTGCTTGAGAACTCTGTGTGTGTGTGTGTGTGTGTGTGTGTGTGTGTGTGTGTGTGTGTGCGTGCGCACATGCATGCTAGCCCTGAGTCCTGAAGTGTCTTTAGAAAATACTGAGGCTATAAATTTCATGTCTACATAAAAAAAGGAGAGGAAAACGGTTTCTAGGTGATCAAAATGTATTTTTGTTTTAACATTTGGGTTTCTCTTACAGGTTTCAAATTTAGAAGCACTCAGAGCAAGAAGCACCATGTATAGCTGAGATTCTATAATGGGCTGGGGTGCATGCAGACACTTCACGGATTTGAAGAAACTTAGAAGATCTTGCCCCAGAAAAAAAGGCAGACATAGTCAAAGGTTTACAAACAAATTTTAAGGGATTCAAGACACCCTACAAGTTGTGTAACTATTAGATGATATATTCTAAAACGTTTTGAGATGATCTGCCACTAGTGACAATGCTGGGTATTAGTTTTGAGTACATCTGTGGTCTTCCTCACTAAAACCTGTAACCACAGTCTAATCATGAGAAAAACACCAGGCAAATTCCAAAAGAGATACACAATATACCTAACCAGTGCTTCTCAAAACCATCAAGGCCCTCAAAAACAAGCAAAGTCTGAGAAATTGTCATAGCCAAGAGGAGCCTAAGGAGACATGACAACTAAATGTAATGTGGTGTCCTGAATGGGACAAAAAAAGGACATTAGGTAAAAACCAAGGAAATCTGCATAAATGATGGGCTTTAGTTCATAATAATGGATCAATATTGGCTCACTGGCTGGAACAAATGTACCATACTAACATGTTACTAAATAGAGCAAACTGATGGCTTGGAAATTCTCTGAACTTTCTCTTTACTCTATTTTTTTTTTTTTTGTAAATCTAAAAAGGTTCTAAAAAGTAAAGTCTATCAATTAAAATGTTTGTTACTCATAAAAAAGGAGTCAAAACATCTTCAGGGTGAAAATGTCCTGAGTTCAATTGCTGGCGTCTTTCTCATTTCTCAGGCTTTTGTTCTTTACAATATTTGACTCTGTTGAATGTTCCTTCCTTCTTACATTTTTTCTTTTCTCGACAGCTCCCCACCCCCCTGAACTTCACTTTTCTACTTTGATTGGTTCATCTTTAAGTATATTCTAAGAAAATAATTCAAAGAATGTGGCCATTGGGAGGTACACTGAAGGGTAGACATTTTTTCAGCAGATTGGTAGATGTGGAAAATAGGTGGTTAAGAAACAGATGAGCAAATGGAAAGTGGAACCAAGACCACCCTTTGTAGAAAAGCTTAGAATAAATATGAGATTTCCATTATTTATTTTACTTTATCATGTATATTTTTCTATTTTTCAAATACATTGTGAATCTGTAGTTCTGCTTGCTTTTCCTTCTTTTCTGTATTCTGCTTTTCTTTGTTTTATTGTACTTTGTTGGTTTCCAACCATTTTGCAAGATTTAAAATTTTTATTAAACATAACACGTATATAGAAAAACTCGTAAACATTACAGCTCGATAAATTATTCCAAAATGGACACATTATGTAACCACTTCCAGGTTAAAACAAAACCAAACACTGTCAGTAGCCTGAAGCCTCCCATTTGCCCCATTCCAGAAACTATCCATCCCTGTTCTTCCTCAAAGGTAACCACTATTTCCATTTGCAATACACAGGTTAGGTTTTGCCTGTTTTTGAATTTTATGTAATTAGAATCACACAAAGTGGTCTCTGCTTGACTTTTTTCACTCTAAATTATGTAATGTGCGTTCACGTGTGGCATGCAGCACAGTCTTCATATTTTCATCACTGTGCAGAGTACTGCATTCCACAGACATACCACACACAATTTATCCACTCTCTCACTGACATTTAGATTATGAACAACGATGCTTACGAACATTCTGGCACACGCCTTTCCTAGCACATATGTGCTTGAATTACTGGTGGCTACATAGCTTGGAGGAGAACCAATGTGTCACAGGTAATGCATATATTCAACTTCAGTATTTAACACCAGTTTTCACAGCATAAAAAATGAAACACACAGGAACAAATCGAATTAAAGATGTGTCAAAACTCTACACAGAACAGTATAAAACATTATTGAGAAAAGTTAAAGATGAATTAAATTAACAAAGGGATATGCCATGGTCACAGACTGGAAGACTTGATATTGTTAAGATGACAATTCTCCCCAAATTGATCTAAAGATTCAATGCGATCCCAATCAAAATCCAACCGAATCTTATGGAACTTGACATGCTAATTCTGAAATTTAATATTGATATGCAAAGAGCTAAGAATAGTCTCTTGAAGAGGAACAAGGAGGGGAAGACTTGTTCTGTTGGAAATCAAGCTACATTTTCAAGACAATGTGGTACTCATGCAAGGATACACAAATAGATTAATGAAACAAAATATAAAATCTAGAAACAGAAATATAAAACAAAATCTAGAAACAGATCCACGCATATAGACACTGGATATATGATGAAGTTTACCATGCAGAGCAGTAGGGAAAGAACAGCCTTTTCAATAAACTGCGTGGGATCAGTTGAACATCCATAGGGAAAAAAATGAACTCGACCCTACACCTCACATTATAAGCAAGAACCAATTTCTAGTAGACTCTAGATCTAAACATGAAGTTTCCAAAAGATTAATGCTTTTTAACAACAGACTATCTCTAACGTTCCAACAGACTGTGAGCATTTTGAGAGCGAGATCTATTTCGAACTTTCTATTGCTTACATTATTAGCACAATGCCCAGCATGTAGCAGGTGGCAAATATACATTTGCTGAATTAATGAACACACATGGGTGTAATTTTATGGTCGCAGTTTCTGGTCTCTAGGGAACTCAGAAAAAAAAACTACATCTAGATATACTGAAAGCTATGAATACAGCACACTATAATTAAACACGTACATATTTATTTTTACTACAGATTGAAGTATAATGCAAAAAAGAACTTAAATGTATTTGATGATTCTGACAACTCCATCTATGATGCCTCTGCCCTTAGGGATTCTTCTTGCTTGGTACGGTCACACTGTCAAGCTACGTGCTTCATCTGACATTCACTGCATGAAGGGAGACAGCGTCCTCAAACCTCCCTTTCCTTCTCCAACTGCTATTTACACAGCTGCTCACTGTTGTCTTTCTGGCCTCAACTTAAATAGCACCTCTTCAAAGAAGCCATCCTTGACCAATTCATCTAAATAGGGATTTTCCTCCCTCTGACTATTTTCCTCTGTCTCTTGACTCTAGTCTTCATTTCCTTCGTAGCTCCATTGCTACATGTAATTATTTACTTGACTGCATAACTTTTAATTGACTATTTCCCCCACTAGGTTGTGAGCATCACAAAGGTATTAACCATGTTATTTTTGTTCAGTACTATCTAACTAGGCCCCAGAACAGTGCCTGCCACATAGGAGCTCAACAAAATACTTATTCAACAAATAAATTTTGGGTTAGAATTTGAGTAGATGCTTAGTATCCTGAATTATTCTGTCAGTACTCTGAAGGTAGAGAAAGCATCTTAATTCCATAGGCTGCATACCAACAAGCCCCGTGGTCTTGCATGTATAAAGCATACATTCCTTAAGTACTTACTTACTGAATGAAAAAATAAAAACACTCTTACCTTGCCAAAGCTGCCTTTTCCAATAACTTTTAAGAAATCAAAGTCTGTTGGTTTAGCACTGAAATAAATGAACAATGACAAGAATTAGCCTCCTAGAAATGGAAAGATGTTAACTTTTCAACATTTTTTAGCGCCTCACTCTTTAATAGGCAAATCTTGGGTACACTTCAGCATGATAACTCCAGCTTGCACAGTGGTAGTATCTCATCTTTAATATAAAATAGGTAATAATGAACAGTAATAATATCTACTTTCTGATTAGATAAGACATTTTATAATTTTATTTAAGCCTTGTTAAGTTTGGCTTAAGAAGGACTTCAATAATAGTCTCTTTGGGAGAAAAAGATCTTTCTTTCTATCTATCTATCTATCTATCTATCTATCTATCTATCATTTCTCTATCGTTTTGAACTCAGGGTAGCAAACCACTTTTATTAACCATAAACCTCACCAATGCTCTTAATAAGGAAACTGAGTAACTATATAAATTAGTGACACATTGCAAGGACTAAGTAGTCTGGTAATTATTCTGAAAAGGAAGTTACTAGCTGGAATACCTAGTAAAATCACTAAGAAGATTTTCTGACGGAGAAAAAAGTCATCACAGTGTTTTGCATACATATCACTTGTATGTTAAAGATTAAAGAACTCTCTACTTATTCTCATAGATGGTAATGTAGGAAAGCCAGCAGTCCAGAAGGCAGAAGGTTATTTATTTGCACCTCAGGTAAAAACAGCATTGGCTGTATACAGGCAAAAGCACGTGGCTGCAGAAAGATGAACTTAAGTAGCCACAAGAGCTGTTTTCTTTAACGTGGTATGAATTCCTAAGTTGTACTAGGGAGAGTGAAATGACTCCATCTAGATTTTAAACGTCCTTCAATTCATTACTGAAAGAAATAGTCAATTCAAACATAAGCGTAACACCAGGTCTGGGTTAAATAATAACAGGTCAAGATTAGGGAGATAAATACTTAACTAAGCTTAGATGTTTTTCTTCTTCAACAACCTGCTCTTTGGACTAGTTATTCTGTTCTTTAATGATATGCTGAAATACTGAAATAATTTTTTGAACGAACATATAGTGAAAAAACATGCAAATCCCTCAAGCAGTAAACAGGCCAACCGAGGCCATACCCAAGGCCCACTGTTAACTGTTGGTGATGAACCCTAATTGAAAGCAAACTTCCATTTTGTGCTGCCTGACAAGCTCAATGCAATAATGATAAAACCAAATTTCCTCTTCCAGTTACCATCTCGTTTCTTTGCTGTCCTTTGCAGCAAACCCATCAAGTAAGTTGTCTAAAATCACTGTCGATACCTCCTATACCTCCTATGTTCCCTCCTATATTTCTCTCCTGAACCCTTTCCGGTCAATCTTCTCCCCACCGCACCACTGAAACTGCTCACAGAGGTCACCAATGACCTATCAGGGGTCCATTCTCAATCTTCATCTTACCTGCCCCATCAGCAACATCAACAGAGTTATTTACTCCCTTTCTTCACCTGCTTTTGTGACACCACATTCCTGGTTTTCCTACCTTACTAATTATTCTTTCTTAGTCTCCTTTACCATTTCTCCTGTCTATACTCACTCTCTAAGTGGACCAAAAGGGTAAGGGGAAGCACAGTGTCCTGTGATAAAAGATAGAATACTTCAGAATTAATCCAATAAGCCTATAAGGATAATTACAAGTAAGGATAGCAACAATACATTCCTCTTCCAGCCCACAGCAGTTATCACTCATCTGTCAGGGCACTCCTCAAACTGAGCCAAGAAGTAGCCTTGGACTCCTTTGTATTCCAGTGAACTGCTGGAGTTGACACTTAAGATGAAGTCCACATTTGTCACTCCTCAAAATGTTTCCCCTCTGCTCAAGTAAATCTGGGACTATGGGAGAAACTGGATAAAGAAAATTTAATAGCCTTTCATATGCTAATTTCCATCAAGACTCCTCTGGAACAAGCTGACTAACAACTAGGGTTGGAGTTGTGACACTGAGCACCAAGAGAATATCAATTTGGCCTCCACGGATGCTTTTGCCAGAGTATTTTCCCAGGTACCTCCCAGGACTTATGGTCCCCACACACACACACCAGGAAAGTAACAGTGGCAAAACAGCCGAACCCAATTCAACAATCTGTGGATTAAAAACTCCTCAGAGCTCTACTAAAACAAGGAGAAGCTAGAGCAGTAAATTAGGCAAGCGTACGACAGTATTATATTCACTGTAACTATAGTTCTATTTCACAGGCTTCCAGTTAAACTGGTATAATTATGTACATCTGCACATTTGCAAAAAATCTTCCTCAAATCCAGTGAGATTGTTTGAAACAAATTAAACCTACTGAGGATTTCCAGATGGTCCCAGGTTAATGTTCTGTGAGGTAGAATGTAGCTGTTGGGATGGAAAAAAAATAATAATTTAACATTCTTACTGGAGCGTCTTAAGTTATCGGTTAATGGATATTTTTTAAATAAAATACACATAACCATACCACAGATATTTGTCATATTAAAGAAACCTAAAGCCCTAATGCTTAATAAATGTACAGACTTTTGGAAAGATACACAATCAATATAAACATAATCATTTTAATGATAAATGTCAAAAGCAGTTGTAAGGAAAAATGTAAGGCAGAAATCAAAGTCAAAGTTGGCAAATGAATGAAGTAAACTGAGGAAAGCTCTTTGGAAGAGCTGGGCATTGAAACCACAATTGAAGAGGAATCATTTTTTTTTTTTTTTTTTGCGGTACGTGGGCCTCTCACTGCTGTGGCCTCTCCCGTTGCGGAGCACAGGCTCCGGACGCGCAGGCTCAGCGGCCATGGCTCACGGGCCCAGCCGCTCCGCGGCATGTGGGATCCTCCCAGATGGGGGCACGAACCCGTGTCCCCTGCATCGGCAGGCGGACTCTCAACCACCGCACCACCAGGGAAGCCCGAGGAATCATTTTTTACATTAAAAAAAATTGGTTAAAAATAGCTTTTGTTTTTAAATTTTCAAATATTTTTAATAAGCTATTATTAAAGATAGGAAATGATAGTATGATGATGATTAAGACTGCAAATGCTGGATTAAAGTTTTAATTTGAGAGGAAGTAAACTTATTTCTAAAGCAAATACATAAAACCAGGAGTGCTTTTCTTCCTAATTCCACCATTGTGATAGTATCAAATTTTTAGATAGGCTTTTCTCTTTACAACAGTTAACAAAGTAAATTTAATCCCTGTTATTAACATAGAAGCAAATCTTTACTCACCTAGTATACCATAAAGCAATTTAACTAATTAAAATTCTAGCTCACTAATAATCAACTAGAAATTTAACTCAAAATCCCAAAAGATTAATCTAGTGATCCTTCTACAGTGAGCACTTCTCACAAAAGCCAAGTGTAAGTGAATTCTTCTGCACATAAATTCACTATGAAATTCTTTATACATTCAGAGAATTAAATCAGAGATGTCTCAAATATGTACACTTTTACTAGAGCTCTATATAATTATACTTCATATAAGCTACAGATATGAAGTAAGCTTTTAAAAATATCTCTTTAAGTTCATCAGAATCAACAAATTTTACCTAAGCAATTTCTTATTAGAGACATATGTCATATATATTCCCACTTAAATTCATTTGTAACTTATAGACAATCTCCAGAATACAAGTTTTTTTTTTTTAAATAAAGGGCAAAAGATCTAAAGTATATTTCGTATGAAGTAACAACACTGGCACCAACGTTTTAGTGACAAATCAAATATATTTCTTACTGACACCTTTACATGAAAAATCTTCATTTAATACAATTTTAATCCACAAAAGACAGAAATAAAAGGAATCATAACAGTCTAGCTCAAGACAAAAAAAATATATAAACACTCCAGTTCATTAGATGAGATTTGTCCTGTTGTAGCATAGTTTTAACATGAAGTAATCTCCCCCTGCTCCCCAGTTTTTCTGAGATATTATATAACTGACATATAGAACTGTATAAGTTTAAGATGTATAGCATAATGATTTGACTTATATATATCATGATTATGTTTAAATATTATAGTATTCTATACAATCTGATAATGTAATCAAACTAAGTTGTAATTTCAATACACTTATTCTTTTAATGAATGTGCAGAGAACTGTATCATTTTTCTATTCAATGAACTTTTCTATAAGATGAAGAAAGTGAAGTAAATAAGTGTGGATTAAACAATAACAAGGATAACCGGTCCCCTGCATTACATTAAAATGTAATAAGATTTTATTACTTGGCAACAGTTTTTCTAATGGAGCACATTTCTGAAATAATGAAAATTTCTGAGGTATGTAATTAGATAACTTTTTACTCTACCTATTATTATACCGCGGGCCTCTCACTGTTGTGGCCTCTCCCGTTGCGGAGCACAGGCTCCGGACGCGCAGGCTCAGCGGCCATAGCTCACACGCCCAGCCGCTCCGCGGCATGTACGATCTTCCCGGACCGGGGCATGAACCCGTGTCCCCTTCATCGGCAGGCGGACTCAACCCCTGCGCCACCAGGGAAGCCCCTCTACCTATTATTTTTAAAGATTACATCTAATCACTAAACTGAAGTTGAGGTATATTTCTTAACAGAATGAACACTATCAAGAGAATAAGTTTCTTGACTTTTCTTGGCCTCTGTTTTTTTCTCTATAAGTAAGAAGGTCCAGATGCCTTCCAAGGTATTTTCCAGCTATTAAATTCATTTCATTATCCACTCAGAAGTCCTTAATAAATAGTTACAACTGGGGCTTCCCTGGTGGCGCAGTGGTTGAGAGTCCGCCTGCCAATGCAGGGGACACGGGTTCGTGCCCCAGTCCAGGAAGATCCCACATGCCGCGGAGCGGCTGGGCCCGTGAGCCATGGCCGCTGAGCCTGCGCGTCCGGAGCCTGTGCTCTGCAACAGGAGAGGCCACAACAGTGAGAGGCCCGTGTACAGCAAAAAAAAAAAAAGTTACAACTGGGGTGCGGGGAGTGAAGGAACTGGATGAAAGCAGTCAAATGGTACAAACTTCCAGTTATAAGAAAATAAGTACTAGGGATGTAATGTACAACATGATAGATATAATTACACTGTGTATGTTATATATGAAAGTTGTTAAGAGAATAAATCCTAAGAGTTCTCATCACAGGAAAAACATTTTTTTCTATTTAATTTTGTATCTATATGAGATGATATCAATAGATATTCACTAAACTTACTGTGGTGATTACTGCATGATGTATGTAAGTCAGATCATAATGCTGTACACCCTAAACTTATACCAGTGATGTATGTCAATTATATCTCATTAAAACTGGAAGAAAAAATAAATAAAACTGATGCAGTTCCTAGAAATTTTAATTTAAAAAATAATAAAATAGTTATAACTGTAAGATGAAATATAGCTTTCTTTTTTTTGAAAAGGTTTTTTTTAATCAGTATTTTAAAACAGGAAAAGATCCTAGTCTAAGTTCCAGATTTTATGGATGAAACGAGAAACAAAATTTAGATTGAGAGTCAACAGTGGGAGAAGAGGAGCCAGAACCCAGGAATTTCTCTTAGTCTGGTTCTTTCTTCAAAAACCATTCTCCTACAGCAAGGCAAGACATTCTTTACATGATCTAAACCTACATACTCTCTACGTGATTAACAAACAAAACATGGAAAATCACGGTTACATAAATTTTACTCTTTAAAATATTTATTGAATAGTATTAAGATGTTTTTAAAAATCCATAACCTTACCAACAGACGATTTACAAATATTTATAGTACTTTCATATAGTCTTTGCATAACTTCGAAAAACTGTGATCACACTGTGTAAGTTTGCATAAAAAGTTTTAAACCCTGATTTCATTTAATGGTATGTCAAAACTTTAAATATTATCATCTTTAGAAATATTTTTAAATGTACAATATATAGGGACAACCACTATTTGACTGATGACTATTCAAACTGATTCTAACTTTTCATTATAAATCACACTAAAATGAACATCTTTGTTCTTTTCTGTGAAGGGTTATTTCATTTGCATCAACTCCTAAGTGACATGAATTACTTTCATGCTTGATACATGTTGCCAAATTGCTTTCCAAAAGAGTTGCATAAATTTTAACACCAGTAATGCCCAAGGATGCCCATTTTACCTTACCCTTATTAGTTCTGGCGTATTTTATTTACTTTACATTTTTGTTAATTTGCCAGATTAAAAAACCTCTCATTTAAAACTTTCATTTGCTACTGGCATCAAGGTTGAATATTTTCCCATATATCTGTTTACTAAGAGTATTTCTTCATGTCCCTTTTCCTTTTATCTACTAGGGTCCTAAATATCATTCTTTTCAAAAATCCATATGTATGAGCTTTTTTTACATAGACATTATTCCTTCTTATACTTTGTTACATGTTTTCCCAGCTTGTGGTTTCTCTTTTGATCGACTGCACAGATATAAAATTAAAATATCCTTTTATTGTCCTAAGAGTAACCATGTCACAGACATAAGAGTTAAATCTGTTCTCTTAACTGAGAATCCTCTTAGAGCATCAGAGAAAGAAAACTACTACTTTCCAGTAGTCACATCTATTTTTCAAATGAAGATTTTTAGCTGTGGGACAGTAATGTTTCAACTCATGACATTACCTTTTAAATCACAAAAACAGAATCATGACAAAATTAAAAGACATTATAAAGACAAAAACGTACATCTCTGATTTTCATGTATATATTTAACAATAGTATTAGTCAATTTTAAATTATAAAGGTATTATCATATTTATATAATACTTGTAATTATACTTTTAATTGCTACATAATAATCCTGAGTTAAGTTATTGTAATTTACCTTTCTAACATAACTTTCTAAAGTAAATGTTGAAAATATCTTCATAAGAAGGCACAAGCTTACGATATTTATCACAATTAATTAAAAAAACAAGAATATCCTATTCTTTATTCTTTTCGGAAAACGTATTGATTATGTACATATAACTACAGCAATAAAAGTTAGTTGATACCAACCAGCCCATGTATACTGATTGCTCTACATCTCAAGACCTGACAATGCAGAGGAAGAGGTATGTAATATTCTGGTTGAAAAGGCCTTTCCTGCTGGCCAAAATTCAAAACAACAGTTGCAATGGTGATAATCATGATGAAGATATATGATGATCAAAAAGTGAGATGTAAAGCAAAGAAAGCAGAACACAAAACTTTATATATTGTATAATTAAAGTTAGGTAATTTAAAAAATTTCCACATATTAGAGAAGATAAGAAAGAAAATCACTAAAACGTTAAAAATTACTAGGTCTGGTTGCTGATAATATGGGTAATACTTCTAAATTATTCTCAAATTTTTCTTTAATTAACATGTATTACTTTTTATTATAAAAAGTACTCATTTTATCAATTTTATAAGAAATAGTGATAAGTAAGAGGTATACACATTTGTTTTTATGTACTCTACAGAGTAGAAAATCTACAATGGATGAAATTACTTTGTTTTAAGTAAATGGGGTCCTAAAGTTGCCAATAATTTCATCTCTGGGGAATGGTATTTTTTTCTGTTAAAAAATACAATTCCTCTTACTACCTTCTGAGTACTTCTTTCATCCTCATCTTCAGATGGATCTGACTGATGTTTTGGACTGTCCATTTGAAGGAATGCTCTGACATCTGGACTAAAAACAAAAATTAACTTTATTATGACTTTGCATTTCTACAGCTTTTCTCCCTTTTAACATGAAAATAAAAGTAACTATAGCAGCATTTACAGTAAGAAAGTCAAACAAAATCCATTAATAATCATTATTATAAAAGGAATAAGCAAATTAAGTTTAAAAATAGGGAATCCAATAAACAAATGGGCAAAGGTATCAACAGTCAGTTCACAGAATAGAAAACCCAAATGGTAAGGAAATTTATGAAGATGCCTAACTTCACTAATAATCACACACAAAAAAATTAAAACAACAATGAGAAATTACTTTATGTCCACTAGCCAGCAAAATTTAGAAAGACACATAATACCAAAAGTTGGTAGGGATACAGGGAAAGGAACACCCTCATGTATTGCTGGTGAGAATGTAAAATGAGGCAACTTTTCTGAAAAGCAATTTGGCAATATTTGGTTAAACTGAGTATGCATTTTCCCTGAGGCCAGAAATTTCAGTTCTAAGAATAAACCACACACACAAAAAAATTATGTACAGGTTCAGTGAAAGACATGTAACTAGGATACTCACTGCAATATTCTCTATAGCTCTGAATCAGAAGCAAAACAGCCATCTACCACTAGGGAAATGAGTAAGCAAGCTATGGTAACTGCCTGCAGAGAACAGCAGTCAGCGATCAGAAACAAGGAACCACAGCACACCACCATTTACGTGTATATATAAACACTCACAGACACAAAGCAAGTCGATAAATAGATAACCAAAGACATATAACAAACATGTTGAAGTGGGCATCACCAGTGGGGATGAAGAAATGGGTATGAAGAGGAAAAAAATGGACTAAAATAAAAGAGGGGCCTTGCATGGACTAATGACAATCCTGAGGAATGAGTAAATCTCTGTATCTGCGGTACCTCCTCCCAAATTGTTCTTTTTTTTTTCTTTTTTAGAAGTTGAGATGTGTTAATCCCCAAATCCGAATTTATCCTTCCCCTGCCCCCTGCCCTGCTGCTATCCCCTTTGGTAACCATAAGTTTGTTTTCTATGTCTGTGAGTCTATTTCTGTTTTCCAAATAATTTTATTTGTATCATTTTATTTAGATTCCACATATAAATTATATCATGATATTTGTCTTTCTCAGTCTGACTTACTTCACTTAATATGATAATGTCTAGGTCCATCCATGTTGCTGCAAGTGGCATTATTTCATCCTTTTTTATGGACAAATAATATTCTATTATATATACCTCACATCTTCTTTATCCATTCATCTGTCCATGGACATTTAGGTTGCTTCCATGTCTTGGTATTGTAAATAGTGCCGCTATGAACACTGGGGTGCATGCATCTTTTTGAATTAGAGTTTTCTCCAGATATATGCCCAGGATTGGGACTGCAAGATCATATGGTAGCTCTATTTTTAAGATACCTCCATACTATTTGGGATTAACATATACACACCACTATATATAAAATAAACAACAAGGACCTACTGTATAGCACAAGGAACTATATAGTCAATATCCTGTAATAACCTATAATGGGAAAGAATCTGAAAAAGAATATATATATGTGTAAGTGAACCACTTTGCTGTATACCTGAAACTAATACAACAGTGTAAATTAACTATACTTCAATTTTAAAAAATGGTTAAAAAAAACGAGATATAATTGACATATAACACTATATCAGTTCCAGGTGTACGACACAATGCTTCTATACTTGTATACATTGCGAAACGATGACCACAGTAAGTCTAGTTAACATCCATCACCACACAGTTACACACTTTTTGTGTGTGATGAGAACTTTTAATCTACTCTCTTAGCTACATTCAAATACGCTACCACAGTCCCCATGCTGCACATTACAACTGATGACTTATTTTATAACTGGAAGTTTATACCTTTTGACCACCTTCACCCATTTCGCCTACCCCCCAACCTCTGGCAACCACCAATCTGTTCTTTGTATCAATGATTATGAATCTGGGTTTAAGATTTCACATATAAGTGAGTTCATGCAGTACTTGTCTTCCTCTGACTTATTTCACTTAGCACAATGCCGTAAATGTCCATCCACGTCACAAATGGCAAGATTTCCAAAATTGTTCTTAATAATTAAATACAAATAATATACATTCATTGTAAGAAATTCAGGAAGATGAATAGTTTTTAAAAAGGGGAGGGGCTTGTGGGAATGTAAAATGGTACAGCCAGTGTAGAAAACAGGTGGTTCTTTGAAAAGCTATACACAGTTACTGTATGGCCCAGCAATTCCACTCTTCAGTATATATCCGAAAGAAATAAAAACATATGGGCACACAAAAGCTCACACACACACACATTCATAGCAGCATTATTTATAATAGTCAAAAAGTGGATGAATGGACAAACAAAATGTGGCATATCCACATAATGGAATATTATTCAACTATGAAAACAAATGAAGTACTGATACATGCTACAATATGAATGAACTTCAAAAACTTTATGCTAAATGAACAAAGGAAGATTTAAAACTGTATGATTCCATTTGTATGAAATCCCCATAACAGGCAAATCCATAAAAATAGAAAGTAGATTAGTGGTTGCCAAGGGTTGAGGGAAAGGGGAAATTAGAAAATATAGTTTCTTTTTGGGTTGATGTTAATATTAGCTTAGACTTGGGTGATAGAATAAGATAGTGATGTGGTTGTACAGCATTGCAAGTATACTAAAAACCACTGAATTGTACACTTCAAAAATAGATAAAATGGTGAATTTTATGTTATGTGCATTTTATTTCAAAAAAAAAATTAAAGGTGGAACTCTTCATTCTTAACACCCCTACTATATTTGTTTTTTCTCTGCACAGTTAAGATCATGCTATATTTTAAATATTTTATTTTACTGTTTTTCACCTAAAAATACAATGTATTCAATACATCCAAAGGTCTTTGCCATGTGGTTAAAAATTCTTTGTTAGCAATCACTTTTGATAGATGTATGATGCTGTATTAGGACACACTAAAAGTTACTCAGTGGTTCTTTCACTTTAGGATATATATATGTACTTTTTACATATATATATATAATATATATATATATATATAATATATATATGGCTTCCAACTTTTGACTGTACAGCTTTCACTACTATAAATAATGCTGCAAGTGACAATCACTGTGCACAACACTGGAACTGCATTTACGATTTTCACTACAGATTTTTAAAAAGAAAAGTATTTGCTCTGAACTATAAACCATTTTTAGGCTTTAAGTAGTTTGTTAAGCTAATTTTCAGAGAGGCTGTACCAATTTCTACTCTCCTAGCAATACATGAACATCCTGAAGACTTTCTCCAGCCTTGATTAAATGTTAGTTTACATTAGCATCTCTCATAGTCTGGTAAGTGAAAAATAGTATTTTAAAGAGACGGAACTCAATTATATTAGTAATTAGTGAAATGCAAATTAAAGCAACAATAAGATACCACTACCCACTCACCAGAATGGCTAAAATTGAAAAGACTAATGATACTAAGTGTTGGTGAGGTGACCCATGTGATCTCGTACACCAATGGTGGAAGTGGAAATTGGTACAATCACTTTGGGAAACTATTTAGCATTATCCACTAAGATTAAACATATACATATTCTATAACCAAAAATTCTACTCAAAGATACATCAGAAATGCTTGCACATGTGCAGCAAAAGATATGTTAATGTCAACATTACTCATTAGAGCCAGAAAACAGAAATAACTCAAATGTTGATCAGAATTGTGGTATATTCATGCAATGGGGTATTATACAGCAATGGAAATGAACAAACTACTGTAGAGCTATATGCAATAACACTGGTGACTCTCAATTGTTGAAAACAAGCCAGATATAGACCATGTAATATATGATTCTATTTATATAAAGTTCAGAAACAGGGCACATTAATCTATGCTGCTAAAAATCAGGAGAGTAATGACCTTTGGGAAGGAACAGACATTGAGAAGAGGCATGTGAGGGGCTGCAGGGGTGCTGGCAATGTTCTATTCCTTGGCCTGGGGTGGAGAGGGGGGATACTCAGATGTATTCATTTTCTCATAATTCATTAAGCTGTACAATCATGATTTGTGTTCTTTTCTATATGTGTTATAATGCAATGAAGCTAAAATAAGGTGTTTTGCTTCATCTGCATTTCTTTTTTTTTTTTTTTTTTGCGGTACGCCGGCCTCTCACTGTTGTGGCCACTCCCGTTGCGGAGCACAGGCTTCAGACGCACGGGCCCAGCGGCCATGGCTCACGGGCCCAGCCGCTCCGCGGTATGTGGGATCCTCCCGGACCGGGGCACGAACCCATGTCCCCTGCATTGGCAGGCGGACTCTCAACCACTGCGCCACCAGGGAAGCCCTGCATTTCTTAAATAGTAAAGAAATGTTCAGCTTCTCTGGTAATTAATCAGCCATTTGCATCTCCTCTTTTGTAAACTGTTAATGTGTTTTGTCTTTTTTTTTTGGTGCCTTAGTAATGTATTATCTGCATGAGCTCTTTTAATAAGTATATTTATCTACTGTCCTTTATCATGGGAAACTTTTTATATTTTTGGTTTTTAATTTCACTTGTAATTTTTGGAGGTCAAAAGTTTTTATTAATCAAATGTGTCATTATTTTACTTTGTAATACATCATTCACTACCAATATCCTCAGAAAAGCCTCTTCTATCCAAAGGTCAGAGAAATAATAATATTTTGTTTGAGTTTTTAAATGATTTTAAGTTCAATTTTAATAAGTTATCTTAAAAATAACCTTCTCTCTATTGAAGTAAAGCTATTTTTGAAGCACATATCCCACACATAATAAGAATAGACACAAAGATGGTGTTCAAGATACACTTGCTGATTGGCTTCTCCTCTAACTCTCTTAAATCTGTACTATTTTATAAACAGTTTGATGTTCAAATGAAGAGTGTGAAAATTAACAAAGTTCCATTAACAGATGAGATCCAGAAAATGTGAAATATCACTTTTTATTAAAAAGAAAATGTCAGTTAAACATTAAGTTGAAAAAAAAACCTCTTGGTTATTTACCTTGGGGTGCTGAAAAATGTCCTCTACCTTAAACAGAATAGTGGTAGTTACAAGGTGCATATGTATGTAAAAATCTATTGGGTAGTATACTTAAAAATTGTGTATTTTATTGATGTTAAAATAATCAAATTGGTTTTAGTTGAATTTCAATACCAAATATAACATCTTTATAATACTACACTTCTAGATCCAAAATGAATACTTAGAATTTAACATATACTGTCAGAGGTTCTGAGTAACACTGTTCAAAATACCAGGAGAAATAATAAACACCACCGCCATTTATTCCACACTTATTCTATGTGAGGCTCTGTCAAAGAATGAGACATATTCAAGCTCTCAATGTACGAATTTCAAACAAGCCAGTAATATGCCAATTCGAAGTAATCTCAAGTGCATATAACAAGAGTTAAACATTAGAAGGGTAGATCTAAGCTGAAGATAACACAGAATTTGTCCTAGGGAAAAGACATAATGTTTAAAAATAATTATACAAAGAGCCAAGTAATAACAGGCTCTCTGCTAAGGAACACACCAGACACAGGAACCCTGAGTTCAAGGATCCTGCCCAATTCTGTGCTCCTCCACCACCTGCTGGGGGCTCTGAGTGGAAAGTAGGCTGCTCCCCTTTGCGGGGGCTGATCCCAGAGCTACAGCAGGTGCTGGACCTCCCCGTGACCCTCGTCCTATCTGTGAGCATCAGGGGAAATGAAACCCAGAGCACTGGGCAGAAGACCTTGGTCACAGGAAGTCCAGCTCCAGTATTTTACTAATTTAGTAAATTAAATTAAGTTAAAAAAGGTCAGAGCACCTGCTCAGAAGATAGAAGCTCTCTATAAACTATAAAGAACTATAAAATGGTAATAATCGTTCTGAGGACAATTGCTAAAAATACAGTCCTTCAATGTTGTGATTCTGAAAAGACTGTTAAAAAGTGTCATGACTGCATCAATGTCCACAGGCAGCCTTTACATCTACCCAGACAGGTGAGCTGCAGAAACGTTCCCCAGATATTCTCCTTGGTCCTCTTTATTCTTCTTAGAATGTTAATACTTTATACATACTAAACAATATAAGTAACATACATGCACATAACAAATCACAATAAACATAATGAACACCAATGAACCAATTACCAGACTCAAAATGAAAATACATCTCAAACCATGGATCTACCTACACCTTCCTAGGTATTTCTGATATGACCCACCCTTCTGCCTTCACAGGAGCTGCTGGCCTACCAGACACACATAGGGCTGGGAAAGCGCCCTCGTGTTAAGTGGCTGCCTGGAAGGTTGTGCTGAGAAGGCCTGAAGGCCTTGTCTGGGATGAGAGAACACTGACCCAGGTCACACAAGAAGTGGTAGCAAGTGTGCCTGGCCCTCGCCAACTCCTTCAGCTTCATCTCCTTTCTGTAAACTTACTCTGTATTCCAGTCATCGTGAAATGTTAATACGTGAGCATCCTGAACAATTGCAGGCTCTTTGTAGACTCTGTTACAAGCACTGCTCCCTTGGCCTAGAATGCTCTCCCTAGCTTTTTTCTTGAATGACTGCACATCCTTTAAGTTCCAGGAAGCCTTCCTTGACACCCACCCACCCCAAGAAGAGTTGGCCACATTTTTCTCTGTTGTCTTCCAGACTTTTTTCATAAAACTTTCTTTGCTTTAATTGCTTGTTTCTACACCTGTTTCTCCCACGTACCTGGAAGCCTATGCCTCTGGAAGGTAAGGATAACACTAATTTCTCTTTTTATTCCCAATGCACACAGAGGTACATACGAAATGCTTTCTCAATGCACGAATAAATATAACATCAAATAATTAGCAAAATGTTTTAACTGTGCAAATTCCTTTCAAGTTTAATCTACAAAAATAATACAAGTACAATAGGAAGAAAGAAAATAACTAGGGCCTTGAGTTGATGGAGAGAAAAGAAGATTAAGAATACCAGAGGAAAAATTCTTGAGGAAGATTTCACAAAAATATACAGCACAATAATATTCCACAGAATGTATAAAACCTGGATCAGTAGCTTATTCAATAGTCTTAGGTTGGGTTTCAGTGCCTCCTTAGAACACAATGAAAATTACTTACTGGTTGTAAAGTTCTGGATGCCTAACTAAGTTCTGAATGAATTCATTCAGTCCCGCTCTTCTCTGTTTAATAAAATCTGTTAGGAGAGACAATACTATTATGATTATTTATATCAGACTGTAATTATCATCAATACAGTTATACAAGAATAGACAAGCACAAGATAGTGAATTTTGATTAAGAAGTTATTTCTTAATTCATGTTTCTTGATATACAATAAGGAATACTTACAAATATATATTTCTTAAATCTGTAAATACAATTATTATAAAATTAAAATAAAGCAGGTAGGACTTCCCTGGTGGCACAGTGGTTAAGAATCCTCCTGCCAATTCAGGGGACATGGGTTCGAGCCCTGGTACGGGAAGATACCACATGCCACGGGGCAACTAAGCCCGTGCGCCACAACTACTGAGCTTGCACTCTAGAGCCCGCGAGCCACAACTACTGAGCCCGTGTGCCACAGCTACTGAAGCCTGTGCACACAGAGCCCGTGCTCTGCAACAAGAGAAGCCACCGCAATGAGAAGCCCGTGAACCGCAACAAAGAGTAGCCCCGGCTCACTGCAACTACGCGGGCAGCAACGAAGACCCAACGTAGCCAAAAATAAGTAAATAAATTTATTATAAATAAATAAATAAATAAAATAAAGCAGGTAACATATTCCCCAAAAGAAAATGCTCCAAAAAATGCCTATTTTAGGTTCTAAACAGACTCACTACAAAACATGGAGACACTTTGCTTTGTCCAACTCCTCATGTACTACCAGGTAATAAATAAGAATTAACACTATGACACTGGTGGCTGAAATCATGCTAACTTAAAAACAAAAAACAAACGAAACCAAGAAATACTGAAATCCTTGCAACTGGAAATGGTGATTAATTGGCTGAGTATTACCAAAACTCTGCTGCTAAAAATAGGTTTTTATTTTGTATAAATCGATTTCTCTTCAAATAGCAGAAGTTAAAATTGAGAAATAAAAGTGATTTTCTATGTAAGTCATTGAAGGCTAGCATCATGCCTGTAAAAATTTTTTTCTAACTTAGCCCTTAACACAGTGTCTTGGAATGTACTTAACTGATGTTTGTGAATGAATTAAAAAAATACCAAACAGAATGATTACACATTCTAGCATTCACAGTCTCCAAATTTCATATGCCCCATCCCTTATTTAACTCAATTGTTTTGTTACTTTGTAATTTTATTTTTCAGTAGTAAAGATAATCTTGTTTTGTTTTTAAAACTACCAAAAAAATGTAATTTATATATTGATTCCAAGATCCTATCAGCAAAAGGTTTGATATTAAACTATTTAGAATATAGAAGTATAGCTAATTCTGTGTATACTCTACAGAAAGATCCTTAAATTCAAAATGAAATTTTAACTTAGAAAAGTATAGGCAGAAATAACCCTTAAAATCTGCCTCAAGTATGTAAAACTTATCTTACAGAGGTTGGTAACCACCAACATAAAGTGGAAAAAAAAAAGAGAAGAAAATGACACGCATGGACTTAGAAGCTGCAGCATAAGAACTCAGAAAGATGTATGGAAAAACTCTATATGGTAGCTGTCAAACACGAGGTTAAATTAAAAGGACAATTTCTTTCTTCACGCTCTAACTGTCCCATCTTTGGCCAGTGAAAGCCCCATCAATTGGGCCCCTGTGGCCTTTTGATAAAACGTCAGTATTCTTGTATAGCTTCTTTGTTTTCAGGCCAAGATATCCTAGGACCATCTTGTACATTTCTTGCCCAGCACCTGGAACTGCCATGGAAGTGTGGTTCCTTTAAGGGGGAAATGGTATTTAGAGATTACAACCTGGATGCTAAGGGTGTTTGCTGCTACTTATTTGTTATTGTTTTCAGGCATTTCCAGTGGAGAGCACTGGGAAATATGTATTGTTTTAGAAAGAGAAAAATAAATCATGATTTCATACTGTATTCCCAAGTTTAAAATTACAGGAATTTTTACTTAAAATCTTTGATTTTATATTTGTATCTCTTTCCTCTTCTGCTTAAAATTTTGGTTCTCATGACATTAACATAATTACAAAATAACTCTATATTATCAATGAGACTATTGAATGCAGGATAAAATTTCTTTGTACACTTTTTTTTTTTGCCATGAGGAATATAAAGCTGAGTTTCCATGTTTTAAAGTCATTTAAAGTAATTATTCTCCATGTGTTTCACCACCAATCAGAATACAGTTATATTTTTTCCTTGTTTATTTTCAGTTGTTAGAGACTTCAATATTGTTGCATTTGTTTTTGTTTTTAAATTGTTTAAAATATGCAAAGCTGTGCACAAGATTCATCCAGGGAGGTCTAACATCCACCTCTGTTGTCTCCAGTTGGCCTCTCCCTCCTTAAGGTCATCAGTTTTTAGTTTTTGGTTTATTCTTCCATTATTTCCTTTTGAATCTTCACATCCTTTCCTACACAAAAAATATACACTGTCCACATCCACACCTTGTTTTTTCCACTTAAACAGGTATTCTGGAGATCACTCCACAGTAATGCACAATGAGCTTTTTCGTTCCTTTTTACAGCTGTATCATATTGCAATACTGGAAGGATGTTTCAGTTGTTTCCAGTTTTTGCTATGAAAAACAGCATCACAATAAACAGTCTTGTACACACATACATCATTTCCGATGCAGTTTATCTTTAGAATAGATTCCTAGAAATGTGATTTCTTGGTCAAAGGGAAATGTATATATAGTTTTGCTAAATATTACCAAATTTCATAAGGTTTGTATTCCCACCAGCAAAATATGAGAATGTCTGTTTGGCCAAAGCCTAATAAAATGAACATCCTACCAATCTTTGGTTTGTTGAGTATGACTTAGATTTGATCTCCCCAATGAAAGGCTTTCCAAAAATCTATAACATATAGTCTACTTCACTGTTGCCAAGTCATATACAACATGCTCAGGATGGATTTCAAAATGTTCTTCAATAAAAATCAATTTTTAGTATCAAATAATTAATCTACCAAACATAAATACCACAGGGCACTGTCTGGTATTTTGCCTTGAACCATGAAGTAGCAATGCTGCAGGTCTTTATCTCTCTGCCTCCTTCCCTGGATAAAATGATTCTGATTTTAGGGTTTAACTAAGGGGTCCACAGAACTCTAACCCAAGTTCAAGCCTCATGTTAATCACTAACATGTAGTTTGAATCCTCTTAAATGTCTTTCTGTCACTTCAAATTAATTAATTCTCTCATTCACCCAGGCCTGACACTTGAGTTATCTCTGATTCTCTTCTCTGTATGTCTCCTTTACCTAAGCAATCACCAAGATTTCTTACAGATTTTTCATTAAAAGATTTCCTACACATGGCTCAATTTTTAGCCCCATTTCCTCCTGAGTTGCAGCTCTCATCACCTAATTTGAGGACTACTGGAATATTCCCTTAACCAGACTCCCAGTCTCTATCTCGTGTTCCCTCTGCTGTGCCTACTATACACTATACACTGTTGGTTTCACATCATGTTGCCACTTCGCTCAAATATCTCTAAGGCCCCCATGTTGCCCTCACGATGTTTTTCAACCTATGCTCCACAGACATACTTCACTGCTACACCAACAAAGCAGCTCCGTTTTTATTTGTTCTACACATTACATTTTTCTGCATCAGATTTCACTAGGAAAAAAGTGTTCTACAGCTAACAACAAAACAAGAGAACAAGAATACAAAAGCCACTGGCCGATAGAATCAATCCATGGAATGTGTAACTGGCTTTGCTGTGCCAACTCAATCGTCTCTTTATTAATGGATTCATGTATTCAAGTAACATTTATTGAGAATCTAATATTTATTAGGCACTATAATTAAATTAAAAAGATACAGTATCTACCTTCATAAAATCTACAGCCCGATAAGACAAACTGGCAATAATAATAAAGTGTGCTAAATTCTCCCAAGAGAATAAAAGTCTACATAAAATAGAGGAAGTGAAAAAGAACAGGCGAAACGAGAAGCCTCTCCATCCTGAGGTTCAGAAAGTGTAAAAGAATAAAGAGTCTCCAGCTGAGAGGGTTACAGGGGATTCCAGCACCCTCGCGGGGCGGGGTGGGGGGAAACTCAGTTTTAATTACAGCAAGAACGTGAAAGAAATAAGAAGACAGAGGATAAAGGAGTTTGTTCATCGCAGGCAGAACTGCACAAGGTATAGTGAAAAGGTCTGGGAGGAAAAGGAATGGTATAAGGTTAGGTGGTAGAGAGGAAGCAAGATAAGCCAATTGAGAGCTCCTACATAAGGAATCACAGGTCTGATGGGTTACAAGGTTACAAGCAAATTAGTTTAGGAGGTAAGATGGTGGGGAGGGAGGAAACTCGATAGCATGTCAGGATCCACCTGTGGCATAAACAGATGACTTTACAGCATAGAATTTCTGGTGGATAGAGACTTCCATCTCTCTATAGGTCGCCATTTGTGTACTGGGTTAATTTCTTCTAGATTCTAGTAAAAAAAAAAAAAAAAAGTTTGAAGTTGAGGCTTCACATATATACAGCCTCCAGATTTCTGAGATCCTATGTGTCATCAGGCTCCCCAAGGGTGAACAACAGGACATTTTCTTGGTACCCCATTCAGAGGCCTGCAGGGTGCCGTGTACAGAGTACACATTTAGTAAATGTTTCATGGTTAGAAAAGTACTGCCCATTATCCTTAATAATCAATAGATTTATCTGAAGCCAGACTGCTTGAATTTAACTTCCAAATCTGACTTTTACTAGCTGTATGCGACCCTGGGCAAATCAGTCAACCTGTGCCTCAGTTTCCTTACCTATAAAATGGTGATGATAATAATACCCACCTCAAAGGGTTGTTGTGAGGACTGAATGAATTAAAACATATAAAGTGTTTAAAAACAACGGCTGGTACACAGTAAGCACCTTCCTGAGGCATTATTTTCATAGAGCATGAGATCCATTAGCTTTGTAACGTTATACTACTATACACTGCAATGAATATGTTAACTACTTTTTCAAACTTCAACCATCACTTATGGCTGGTCTATGAAGTTATTGCTTACCTGGATCAAAATTATCACCAAATATTCTCTTGGCAGGAATCTTCAGGGCCATAGCAGGAAATTGTTTCCTTAACTAGAATTGAAAACATAACATTACATGAACTTAATTTTACAGGTCTTCCAGGTATACATGTACCAAAACAAAATACAATCTGATTTTCAAAAAAATCCGCCATAAGACATACCTTTAAGTATATCATGATCAAATGTACAATATTAAATTATACCAATAAAATACCATTAGTCTGACTAATCCCATTTTGTCCCAATAAAACACTTAGTATCTTTGTGACCTGGAATAAGTTACTTAACATCTCTGAGCTTCAGTTTTCTTGTTGGAAAATGGGGATAATCTTCGCACTTACCTTAGTGATTTGTCGTGAGGCTTAAAGAAAATCATCTATGTTAAGTGCTTAGACTAGAACCTGGAGTATAGGTTTTGAATACGTTACTCACTGTTTTGTTACCTCAGGAGATGTGATGTTTGTGTTCTCTCTAAGTGAACACACTGACAATTGTTTTCTGAGAAAGCTGATGAATTTTGCTTTCAATACCCTCTGCTCTAGCCTTCTCCTATTAATAATTGTTTCTCAGATTTGCTTATCCCCAGAGAAAGAAAAACTTCATCCTGAAGAAATTAAATTTGGGCAGTAAAGCCATAAAAATGGGTAAATGCTTATTTTTACTGTAAGCTTGATGTCAAAAAACCACACATACACAGTCTTACCAATCCTTGCATTCCTCTAGTAAATTTAGATGTTTTAGAAACAACAACCAAACATACACTATGTATACACAAACACACACACATTATATATATACCTCCACTGACAGGAAATACAAATAGGAGAATGTATTAATCACTCTACACCATGAGCATGCTCTCAGCAAAATTCAGAATGAAAAATCTGCAGACAAATGACCCTGTTTCTTTCAACAAAAAATTGTAAAAAAAAAAAAAAAAAAAAAGGAAAGAGAGGTGGAGGGGAAAACAGTGATTAAAAGACAGGTCATAAAATCAACTATATTTCAACAAAATATTTTTTAAAAAGTTAAACAAAAAAATAAACTTATAACAATGTTAAAAAAAAAGACACTTCAGGGCTTCCCTGGTGGCGCAGTGGTTGAGAGTCTGCCTGCCGATGCAGGGGACACAGGTTCGTGTCCCGGTCCGGGAAGATCCCACATGCCGCAGAGCGGCTGGGCCCATGAGCCATGGCCGCTGAGCCTGCACGTCCGGAGCCTGTGCTCCGCAACGGGAGAGGCCACAACAGTGAGAGGCCCGCGTGCCAAAAAAACAAAACAAAACAAAACAAAACAAAAGACACTTCATAGACTTATCAACCAGTTCATATGACATTAAGTATTTGACATTAAGGCATTATTGTTAATTATTTTTAGATGTGATAATGATATTGTATGTATATTTTTTAAAGAATCTTTATCTTTTTAAAGATGTATACAGAAATATTTACAAATGGAAAGACATGATGTCTGAAATTTGCTTCATAATTCAGTGGGCTGGCTAGGGACAGAGATGAAACAAGAATGGCCGTGTACGGTAATTGCTGGAGATGGATGGCACATTACATTATCTTCTCTATTTATACTAGTCTCTCTACTTCTGTATGTGTTCAACAAGCTTTTAATAAAAAGCTTCCAAATGTAAACTACAGTCATAAATACACATTTAAACTGACAGTTAACATTTTACAGATTGGAAATTTCACTTTTTTCTTTATTCTGAAAGGAGCATAGGGAAAGAATTTGTGTTTTCAAACTTGGAGAAATCCAGTCCAAGTTTAACTTCACTTCTGTAGTTTCAGAGAACACAACTGATACCATTCCCCTGTTTTTTTCTTAGCTCCTCACCACAAAAGGCAGAATTGGAAGGAGTTACATAAAAAGAGAGGAAGACACAGAAAATGGGAAAATAAGAAAAAGATGAAAAAAGGAAGAGAAATACAGGAAAAATGAGGGAGATGGATGGTAAAGACTCAACTAACATTAGGGAGAATTTTCTGCAAAAAGCTTAACATGGGTTGCTTGATGGAAAGAGAATTAAAGTGATCATGTGGGAGGAGTGCCCCCAATAAACTTTCCTACTTTACCTTTATAACTAAAGATACTCAAATATTAACACCTAACTTTCATGACTTAAGGAAACACAGGAAGTTGTGCAGCGAGACAACATCTGATTCATTCTGGCCCATTTAGGAAGTAATTTACCTCTTAACTGAGATATGCTTACCTTCCCCCATATTTAAAATATTTTACAAATGATAACCCATAGACATATATCCATCTAACACTATTTTTAAAATCAAGAGACAGGGATAAGAAAACTGAAAAAGTTAACTTTTAAAATATGAAACAGTTTTTTCTGGAGGATGCCTAATAATCTACTATTTTAAAAATAACAACATGAGGAGATTGCTGTTTATTGTTAGAGCAGAAGAAATTTAAATTTGTGATTTGAGGCCCAATTGCTTTTTTTTCTTAACTGAAGCAAAGCTTGGAACCCAGAGCTGTCTCAATAACCTGGGGTCTCTAATGACCAACAAAGGCAGTGTCCTCTGGCCTCCTACGTATGCATAACCTTAAAGGCAATGTTCTCCACAAACACTGGTCCCTGTGTAAGATCTGGCCTGATGTGTTAAAATGACCATGGTGCTCTAGCTTCCTATGGTAGAAACTGTAACTGTAAACACTGGATGAAAAATAATATCTGAACTATGAATATATAAAACAGGTTTTAGTTTTTTAAATAACTGATGATCTCAGGTAACTGTCAGGCTTTTGAAAGTCAATATTCACTTCAGCTGTGTTAGCTACTTAAAATCTGGAACCTTAGACTAATTTCTAACAGAGAATGAAACCATAGAAGGTAGGTAGGCTTATGACAGACTTTCAGACCTAAAGCTTATTGGGCAATTTAACCACAAAGAGCATGATGATTAACAATTATTAGAAAGGTAGGTAGAAAGGATTTATTTCTAATCTCCTATGACACTGAAATGTATTTTAAGCTGTATATTTAGTTTTCATATCTTCAATAGTTTATCTGAAACTTCTCAACAGTCCTCTCTCCACCCTTTTTGGTAAGAATTCCAAAGTCAGGATGTTTTGAAGAACCCCTTACCCTTTTCTGCTTATCTGATATATATAAGTATTATTTAATTATCAAATAAATCTCATTTTCCAGTTTTCTCAGGTGTTTTGTTTTAAATAAAAATCTTGTAGACTGACTGTTACTTACAGTGTTGTAAAGCTTATCGAACTCCGCATATCTTCTGAAGACAAACCACTCACTCCTGCCCACTGAAACCAGAACTTTATAAACCTGTGGAAATAAAAAATAACAATAAAATTTGATCACAAAAAAAAGCACATTAGCTATTTACATATGCAAATAACCTTTCATACTCATGAAACTGATATTAGACATTACTATTTATATGTGATTCTCCAAGATACAGAAGTATACCAACTGAAACACTTATTTTATCTTGTTGAAAAGTGTTTTATTTTTAAAATGTTATGAAATATTTCCATAGTTTTCAGAGAATAACACAATGAATACCCATGTACTCATTATTTAGATACTCTGAATTCTGACATTTGGCCATTCTTGTTTCAGATTTTCTTCCCCCAAAATAAAACATTATAGTTTCAACGGATGCCATTCTGCTCTCTTCTTCCCCAGCAGTAACCACTACCACGAAATGATAAAGTATTTTCAAAAGGAATGCCTGGAACACAGTAAACACTAAATTATTAGTTCTCTTCCTTTCAGGGCATCTTTTACACAGTATTTTTCAAACTAAGAATTTATCCTCAGATTTCCTACTACCATCTTAACCTGTGTTTAATATTTTCATATATACATAATTTCACATAACCACAGTCAACAACCCTATGAGGAAATAAGCAGAATAAATATTACAACCCCCATTACAGATGAGGAAATGATGGCCCCCCAAAGTTAAGTAACTTGCCCAAGTCCACAGACTTGTGAGACTAAAATCTAAATCTTCTAACCCTCCATGCACTAGAACAAGTATCAAATCAACAGTTATAATACAGAATTAACTCTCATAATTCGTCCCACAGATACTCTCAGAATATAATTCAACATACCAATGTACAGAAAACAATTTGGAACCCCAAAGATCTTTTATAATTTCTAAAGAGAAAAATAACAAGGATCCAGGTATATGAGGAAAGGTTCACTGATGTATGGCTTGGGTTATCAATCTCACTATTTTACAGTGAAGATTAGGGGAAAGAGATATTTACAATACAATTGTCCACAGTCTGTTAGATAACAGAGTAAACCAGGTTTATTTTAGAAGACGGGCATACAAATATGTATAAACTATCCTTTCCCACAAAAGACTGGAAAGCTACACTCACCAGTTCATAGATAGATAATACTGTGAAGAAAGATCTCCCTGATACTGCATATGATTATAATGTAGGAATTCTGCAGTATTGTTGAAGATATGGTCACATTAACAGGCCCCTAGTACGAGGGGCCCCAGAACGTAAAGCCATATCCCCCTGTGAGAAAGGGATCAGGTCTCACCTGGAAAGTGAAGCAAAGTCATTGTATCAGTTACCTGGATAAGTGATGAATCACTTAAGCAGAGAGAAAAAGAGCATCCAGGCACCCTATGTGAGCTACAGGAGTAAGAGGATTTTCTGGTGTTAACTAAGAGGACATCAAATTGTCCTAAAGGAAGCTACTGGGTGTAAGGTATCAGAATCGTTTATAAGATGACACTGCTCCCATGGGAGAGAGTGCAGAAGTAGAGGAAAAAGAACCTAGTCTGGGTGCTGACAAAAGTTGAGCCATGTTTTTAGGAGGAGACTACAGATTTATCTCCTACAGCATTCAGGATCAGATAGGCCTGGAAGCAGGCCTGCTACCAAAGGATCAGATACTTAGGTTTATATGATTACGAGATTCTTGAACAAACAGCACTGTTTGTGCTGACTTCCCAGTGGGATAAGTTGGCTTCCCATAGATACTCAAGTACAGCCAAGATAAGAACCCAAACCTAGGTTCCAGGCCAAAGCAGTTCTGCTGCAACTCTATTTACAGGAGCTTAAGATAAAGCCCTGTGAAGTTATTAATTGGCAGGATGATTTATGAACAAGGGCTTATTAAGTTCTAATAAAATACCAACAGGCAAAAACAAAACCTCTTCAAATTTTAAAAAACACTCTCATTTGCAAAAATGCACAAAATTTCACAGAAACAGTACAATAATAACAGTACAATAAGTCTTAAGTTTTTTAAAAATATATTTCCTTATTGCCTGTCTTGCCCCACCAGAATGTAAGTTCTTTGAGAGCAAGGGCTGTATCATTCTTGCTACCCATTGTATTCCCAGTGCCTAGAACAGCCCTGCCATAAGACAAGAAACTCAAGGACAATTTGTTGAGTGGATAAATGAAAGTATAATTTAGACTTGGTTTAAGTCAAGACATCCTAGAACACAGTGCATTTCTCTGTAAAGTCGTTTAAAAGACACACGAAAACTAGAGTATAAAAATATTATTGAGGGGCTTCCCTGGTGGTGCAGTGTTTGAGAGTCCGCCTGCCGATGCAGGGGACACGGGTTCGTGCCCCGGTCCGGGAAGATCCCTCGTGCCGCGGAGCGGCTGGGCCCGTGAGCCATGGCCGCTGGGCCTGCGTGTCCAGAGCCTGTGCTCCGCAACAGGAGAGGCCACAGTGGTGAGAGGCCCGCGTACCGCAAAAAAATATATATATATATTATTGAATAGTTAACGCAGTGTCTATTTTTGTTCCCCAATAATACACAGACATGCTGAAGCTGGACAAAGTCTGTGCTGGGCGGGGTCGGGTCTATCTGTGTTGAGTAGAACCAAGTTTCCTGAGGACCGGGGACTGTACTGCAGTGATCAGCAACTAACATGTGAACTTAATCCTACATTTCATTCAACTTCAATTCAACAAATACTGTTCTAGGTATTGGTGAAACAATAGTGAGGGAAGTTCTTGCTTCAAAGAACAAATTCAGGGAAAGCACACATAAATAAACCCAAAGCATGTCAGGTGGTGATAACTGCTATTAGAAAACTACACAGGGTAAGCAGGACAGAGTGTGAAAGGGGCAGAGTGTGAAGATGCTGTTTTATATAGGGTGGTCAGAAAAACCCTCTCTAACAACAAGGCAACATCTGAGCATCTGAAGGAAGGAAGTGAACAAGGGGATCTGGATAGAGCCTTGGAGAACTCAGGGGACACCTCTGGGGACAGCCGGTAAGAGTGACACTATAGGCCTCCTCGACCTTTTCACAGAAGACGCGGAAATACCTCTACCACAAAAAAACAAAAGGACACCTGAGATAACCCATCGCCTGTATTTGCTATGTATGAACTTCCATCAAACTTGGCAGGAGGTTATGCCCTTGAAGGAGAGAATGGTCCAAAGGTAAAAGTAAGGAGAGGGAAGGAAGGAAAACTTCACACACTCCACTATCTTATGCTAAGTATACCGACCTCTTGTTTACCATCAATATGATGTTTCTAAAACTGGCTTATACGAATGTGGAAGAAATGCTGAAGATATCGCTGCAACATCTGAGGAGAGGCAAATGGCCAGACACACACTGCAATCTCTCTGCTCTGGGCTTCTATGCAGGGTGTGGAGGTATGCTTATTAAGGAAGGGAGAACAGAAGAAAGAAGGGCTGTTTCCAGCTCCTTGTCTGAGGCTCTGGGAGAAAACCACCATTGGGGGGCCCCACCCCACCGAGTTAAGAAGGCAGAGTGGGGTGGTCCAAGGGTTTAGTTTAACTCCTCAGCTTTCCTCAACTCCCATGTGACATGGACCTGAGCTGAAAGTCACTTGTCATGGCACTCAGCTGGCAGGGGCCAGGTGACCCCCTGGTCAGAGACCAGGGTAGACCACCTGAGTCAGGAGAAGGTGGAGGGCACGCAGAGCTTCAGTGGGGTCTACAGCCATCACGAGCCAAGGGGAAGCTGAGTCAGCAGTCAGTCACCACGACCCTTGCCAAGCCAACAAAGGGCAGATCACAAATCAGTTCATCAACTGCAGATGCCAGCAGTGGATGCCAACAAAATGCCCAGGACTGGCAGGTCAACCACAGCTGGATGTCTGCCAGACCAGTCACTCTACACCTGGAATGGCAAAGATCTAGACGATGACAAGAATGCCAAGCCTTCAGCAGGCTACCATGAGGTCAGTCATCAACTGAACAAACACTGTGAAAGGGGACACCTCTCCTGCCACAAACCATGATGCTAAGTTGGAGAAGGAGTGTGTGTTCAAATAAGAGAAAGAGAGCACAATGAAGACAGGCTGGGCATTTTTACTTAAAAGAACTGCTTAGGGCTTCCACGGTGGCGCAGTGGTTGAGAGTCTGCCTGCCGATGCAGGGGACACGGGTTCGTGCCCCGGTCCGGGAAGATCCCACATGCCGCGGAGCGGCTGGGCCCGTGAGCCATGGCCGCTGAGCCTGCGCGTCCGGAGCATGTGCTCTGCAGCGGGAGAGGCCACAACAGTGAGAGGCCCACGTACCGCAAAAAAAAAAAAAAGAACTGCTTAAATTTTAGCTCAAACTGTTGAACAGAATTGGGTTAAATGAATTTCTTCACACTGCTCAGTGGGTGGGGCCTTACAAGGAAGGCCAGATCAGTTACAGACACGATAAATGACATTTTTTTCAGGGAGAGGAGGACAGATCTCTGTATATACTAACAAGACTACTGGAACTAAATGCAATACGTTTCATTACACTAATTAGAAAAGTGACTATTCTCCAAATAGCAGTCACTGATACACTGACTCAGCCAAATATTCATTGTGCTTATTCTTTATAAAGTCCTACAGTAGATACCATGGTGATAAAAAGTAAAATTAGAAATGGACTTTACCTTTATGGTGAAAAAATGAGTTAGAATACTCATTTAAAAATATTTTTAAAATGGAGATAGAAAATGACAAATGTCTTAAGAAAGATACTGTGGAAATTTCAAGACAGTGGTTCTTCACATGGGATCAATGACTTTTGGAGTCCACTGATCCCCTGAGATGTGATGTGTCACAGAACCACACGTATGCACATTTTCTGGTGAGATGGTCTATCAGACAGTTTCACAAGTTTCTCCAAAGGGAGAGGTAAACAGGCAAAACTCTGCACTAAAAAAGGAAATTGTATTCCATTATAGTACACAGAGAAGACTGTGGAGGATATATCATTTGAAAGATAAGTAAAATCTGCAAAGTCTGGGGAGGCCATTCTAGGTTAAGGAAGAACAGCAGAATTGGAAATATTCTCTACGTTCCATTTTGTTCCATATGCTTTACATTACATACTTACAGTAAACCTCTTCTTTTTCTCTCTGTGTTCATCAGAGCTGGGAATGCTTACACTTGGACAGCTTTCCTTGTAGTCCATGGTATAATCCCTTTGAGTTTACTGCCTCAAAAGGACACCAAAAAGTGAGTCCGAAGAAATAGTCAGCAGAGGACAAACACAATTAGCTAATCCAAAACATAAAACCTCTTGAGGTAATGTTCAAATTCCATCATGCAACCTTAACCAACAGAAAAAAAAAAAAAAATTAGCAAAATGATTTTAAAATACCGTGATTTGCCATTCCTTGCTCACAGAACCCATTTTATGCTTATTCTGCCAGGAATTTACCTTTGATCCTAAGTCTCAGCCCAGGTGAGAAACACAGTTTCTGTTATGTCCCTGTCAATAGCTAAGTCACAATCAAACATTTACGTCCCATCTACCTTCTTTTCTACTAAGAAACTCCTGGAGTTTATACACCACGGCTCATGTGGACTAAGGGCTAACTCTCAACCAAAAGGACTCTAGTTTGATGGATTTAAGAGCAGGGTTTTTCAAAGGATGGTTTTCAAGCTTCTAGCATCAAGATGAACAGGTGAAGTTTGCTTCAGATTAGGAACCTGTATGGTAAGCTAATTATTTACCCCCCATTTTACAAGTGAGGCAACTGTCACACAGACAGGTTAAATGATTTGAAGCCAAGCTGTCTGGCTCCAGGGTCCTGACTCTTACCCACTGTGCTAGGCTGCATTTTAACAACTATGGATAATTCTTAGGCACTGGACCCCTGGTCAGAGATATTACAGTAGATCTTCATACAAAACAAATACAATTATGCTAATATTATCATCCCACCCACGGACAAAGGGCTCAAGATGTCACACTGATGTCACCTTTGCTACACACAGTAGCCCACAGTCTCCACTGACACCAAATAATACTTTTTAAAGGGTTAGTCTGCCAGGTTCCCTCGGTGATTAATTTCAGGAAGTCACTGTGACTGATCTAACAGTTGCAAATAAATTATATTCAAGTAACGATTTCAAATATCTATCAGCAGACATCAAATAATCAGGTATAATGAAATTTAATTGATTACAAAGGTGGTTCCTTTGAGATGATTCAAAGCCTACTTTGTTGGATTTGCTGCTGGAAATGCAGTCAGGAAGGATTTATATGCAGTTAAATTGGTTGTTAGAAAACATGGTCCCCTCCTAAGCTTAGGGTGCAGCATTTGTTACAAGTTAGAGTACCCTAAAACCCCAGAAGAGCAGCTTCCCCCCCACCTCCACTAGACCAGGGCACCATCTTGACAAGAGCCTTGTCCTCCAGGCACAGTGCTCTTCTGCTAAGCAATCAGAGCAAGTGGAACCACAGCTCTTCAAAGGCAGGTGAGCCCTGTCCAGGAGCCCCAGGACCCACACCAGCGCATTCTGCTCCATCTGCAGCAGACATGATGAGAGGGTGAAGGTTATGGTGCTACACTAGCCACACCTGTCCCTTGAGAATGTGGATCCAGGGGCTGGCAGGGCCTGCTGGTACTACATTTACGTACGCGCTTGAAAGCCTACTGTGCCTTACCGTGCGTGGTCCGGAGGAGCAGAACTAAAGGAGAACATCACGCCTCAGGCCTTCCCTACGGAATGGACATTAAGATATGACATTAAGTGGCATCAGGAACAGACGACAGAGAAAGACCTGGGGGGGAAGGATAAGTTGTCCACACAAGGTGCCCAGGGGACATCTCAGCCTACGTGGACAGCAGGTGGTTAAGTGTAGAGCCCAGCACTCAAGGGGCACACTCAAATCTGGGCCAGAAATACCAATCTGGCAAGAGTGCTAAATGGTCCCCATTTGCCCTTCCAGATCCAACACCACGCTTCTCCCCCGCCACGGCCCAGAAGGCGGGCCTCTGTGGACCTCACACTGAGGCAGCCTGCCTCCTGCCCTTGCCCTCTGGCTTCTGGTTGGGTTCATCCAATGCGAAGCACTAGCAGGAGATGGAAGGGTAGGAGGTATTTAGTTCTCCTCCTCCCTTTCTAACAGGCAGCGGTTTCTCCACCCAAGGCCACAGTCCCCACCAGGTGACCCCTCTCCCACAGCTACAGTTAAAGGCCTGGGAGTAGTACGGCTTCCAAACACTGTTAGAAGGGGTGCTTCACCACGCCCTGCTGCTGCTGCTTCTGTCACCTCTGCCCACAACAGCTTAGTAAATAGTCCCTTTGTTCGAGTCCCTTCAATTACTCAAGTGTGTCACGACTGACGCGGTAACTGCTACCAAGAATGACCCCAGGAAACAGACCCTCAAAAATGGGAGGCATGTTTGATGCATCCTGATAACCTTCCTATAGAGGGAGGGGAGGGGAAACTGATAATCTGGCACATAGTGATACCAAGATCACTCAAACTCCCTGTCCCAGGATGAAGTATAGGTGGTGAACAAGGTGCTGTAAGTCCAAGTAGATGATGAAAATGTTGATTTCAAAGATTGTGACATGGGCTGCGGCTGCTTCTGATGGTCTTTGAGAATGTGCACCAAGCAAACGACAAATTGAAAGTTATGAATTCCCAAAGAGATGAGTGGAAAATCTATGGCTGTTATAAAGGAGTCCTTTTTTTTCTAATAGCTGCTAATCTGACAGGGTTAAGGATCAAGCCACAGTTTGATGATAAGGCTGCAGAACCAATTAAACATGCAACCCTGCAAAGTCAAATGATCCTAAATCATGGATGCAGGCACTGGGGCAGATACAAATGAGGCTAAGAATGTTGAACTCCACATTCAGCTGAACATGTCTGCTGAAAGCAGCAATTTACAGCCCTCCGAGAAGACGCAGCCTCCTAACCCACCTCCCATAAAACCCTTTCAAGTAGTTTCACAAGGGGATGCCACTTCTCTTCACCACCTACTCCCACTAACCCCTCATGGCCTCCTAATGGGAATTAGGTGCCAAAAGAGCCCCGAAAGAAGTTCAAAGCCTACTGAGAGGAGCCTAACATTCACAGGATGTTAGACCAAGGAGGACTGAGTGTAAGATTGCTGTGCCCCAAACACACAGCCACAGATGTATCCCACCAAGCTTTCTCCAGACCTTACCTAAGAGGTACCAGCAGCCATTCACAAGGGTGACTGTGCACTGGGGAAAGAGAAATGTGTACTCTTTCCAAGGGTTACCGTACACTAGCTCTGAACTGACACTAATCCCAGGAGACCTAAAACGTGGTCCACCAGTCAGAGCACCCATCTCACTCCAGAGAGGAGGTGAGAGATAAAGTCAACCCTGGTGTCTCATGGTGGGTCCAAGGGGAGCACAGGCCCATCCTGTGGTTATTTCCCTAGTCCTAGAATTTTAGTGGAAATAGATATACTTAGTAACTGGCCAAATCTCTGCATTGATTCCCTGTTCTGTCATAAAAGCCATTAGGGAAGACAGGGCCATGAAGAAGGCCTTGGAACTCTACCCCGTTTCCCCACAAAGAAAGCAAACCAATAACTATACCCCATCCCTGGAGAAGCTCACAAACCAGTACCACCATCAAACATTTGAAGGATGCAGGGGTGTTGGTTCCTGTTACATCCCCGTTTGGCATGCCTGTTTACCTAGACCAAAGGCAAAAGACCTTAGAGCGTGACTACGGATCACTACAAATTTAACCAGATGGTGATGCCAATCACGCCTGCAATTCCAGATGGGATATTTTTGCTGGAGAAAATAAGCATAACCCCTGACATCTGGTAAGCAGCTACTGACCTGGCAGAGGGTAAGGGGAACGTAAAATAAGTACTAGAAAAAAAAAGGAATGATTACCAACTTGAGCCAAAAGATTAGCTACAGACGCAGAGACTACAGCAGCTTTGTTTCAGTTTTTTTCTGTTACGTTACACAAAGAACACTAGCAGTGCCTCCATGGGGGAGCACGCATGAACTGGCTGCAGTGACTAGAGGACCTTGCGTTTCCCCTGAGTTAGGAACAGGAGCCTTACGCCCAAAGGGTGAGTGAGTACTAACGGACAGAAAGAGGAAGACTGCACTGGATATTCTCTATTTTCCTTTTCAGATCCATCTCCACCCTGCTCCACACCCCAGGGCACCAACCTCTAAAGCCTGCACCCCACAGGCTCCCTTGCCCTCTAGCTGCTGGTTGATTTCATCCAGAGAGGCACTGGCAGGACATGGGGTGGAAAGAAAGGGATCAGGAAACAGAATTCCTCACCCTGCTCCCTCCTGGGTAGGCTGCTGCTTGGCACTTGCTGCGTTCCTCTCTGTAAGGCCAAAGCTTCTGTCAGGAGATCCTTTCTCCTTTCTCCTATGACTACAAATTGTACAGATGTACAGTTCTCTACCTCGGGTCCTTGGACACGTTTAAATTATCTGAGCCTCAGTTTCCTAATCTAGGAAGTGAAGCTAGCAACACTTCATATGGTTGTTTTAAGGATTCGAGATGAGTGTAAAAAACCCAGCACTGCACAGGCAGTCAATAAATTGAATCAAATACATTATCAACTTGTTTCAAATTTGTTTTTATTCCTTCATTCAACAAACACTTATTAAAGCTTTCACTATGCATTAAGCAACAGAAAAACAAAGATAAAATTCTGCTTGCAAGGAACTTACCTAATGCGGTTGAATGATAAGCAATATAGAACTCTGAATAGTTGGCTAAGTATGATTTTAGATGTATGCATGGTACACTCTGAGAGCACAGAAAAGGGACACAGATGCAGACTGTCATGTATTCTCAGTCTTGCTAAAAATAAAGCCAAGCAGGTATGGGAGCAGAAGTTTGAAAGATATCACACTTGTTTGCCTCAATTTTCTCTGGAAAAACGAGCTAAAGTCATAGGTTGGGAATGAATATATTGCTGTGAAGAAAAACGTAGAAAGATTAAATCACTTGCCCTAGCTAGTATCCAGCAAATAGGCGATAAAGCTAGGGTTCAAATCAAATCTGTTCAACTCCAAAATCTATATGTATTAGTTTGCTATTCCACATTGTCCCTCCTTAAGAAAGATTTTCCTTTTCTTCAAACTAAATCAAACTGGCAACCTAACAATATTTAACATTGAGTGGCTAAGCAAGATTATAAACCAGACTGTGCTTTACTTGTATCATCTGATTGCTCCTCACAACAGCCCCACTGAGAGGAAACCCAGCAGAAAATGAAGCATAAAAAGATGAAGTAGGGCTTCCCTGGTGGCACAGTGGTTGAGAGTCCGCCTGCCGATGCAGGGGACACGGGTTCGTGCCCCGGTCCGGGAAGATCCCACATGCCGCGGAGTGGCTAGGCCCATGAGCCATGGCCGCTGAGCCTGTGCGTCGGGAGCCTGTGCTCCGCAACAGGAGAGGCCGCAGCGGTGAGAGGCCCGCGTACCGGAAAAAAAAAAAAAAAAAAGATGAAGTAACCCACCCCAGGTAGTGGAGTCAGGATTTGAACCAGCAGTGGTCTGACTTTACGACCTTTACCCATTATACCACACTGCCTCTCCAACATATATATGCTCTAAAGAGTCCTCTGGAAAGCAATGAAGAAGGTTCATAGATGTTATTTTTAAGTGGTCAGAAGTAAAATTTTGAAAAAGCAACCCTATTACTGTAAATTTAAGGTATATTTATTCTGTAAAACTGAAGCAATTAAAATTCTGCAAAATCATCCAGTGGTCAGGCAGCCCAATAAAACAGAATGAGAAGAGGACTGATATAAGAATCCCACACTAAGAAAGAACAGAACAAAAAGCTGTGTTCACGTGGGAATAAAAGTTGGGACTTTTGGGCAGGTTAATAGGTATGCAGGGCTTTTCCAAGAGGAACCAGAAAAGAATCTGCCTTCACTCTGCTGGAGAGTCACAAGATAATCTTGTACATTGGTTCCCAGGAGCAGCTGGCTTGCCTAGGGGTAGATCACATGGCTCTAAGGAGACGTAGTTCAGATACTAACCCAGAAAGGAAGAGCTAACCTTAACATCCAGCTAATGAAATAACTCAGACAAGCCCAACATAACAAGAAGAAGTGGGTCAGATGAGGATAGAACTTTCAGAAGCCAGCTGGATCTTAGGAGTGAGAGTGCTTGGCAAAGATAATAATAACAGCTAGTAAATATTGTATTTATAGTGGTTCTCAACAGGGGAACATTTGGCAATGTCCAGAGACATTTTTGGTTGTCACAGCTTGGGCGGCTGCTAGTAGCTACATGTCAAGGATCATGCTAAGCATCCTACAATGCACAGGACAATCCCTACAACAGAAAATTACCTGGTTCAAAACGTCAGTACTGCTGAGGCTGAGAAACTAACATTTACTGAGTACTAACACCAGGCATCGTTTTATGTGTTAACACATCACTTACTCCTCACAGAAGTGTCATTATTCCCATTTTACAGATGAAGAAACCTAGGCTATCAGCTCCACATCCTCACACAGCTTTGGGTGGCAGCACTGTGAAGTGAACATGGCTCTGACCCAAGAGCCCAGTGTGAACATGCTGCCTCTCAATTTCCTATGGTACTGCTGCACACACCCCATTCTTCTAAATCACCTCTGGAGAAACAAACTGATGGGAAGGGAGCACCAAGTGTCCATTAGCAACTGGGTTATAGAAAGAGACACGCATAGGAAAAGCAGCTTTCAACTCGGCCACCAGGAGGGGTCAGTGCAGCACAGAGTGTCAGGAGTGCTGCTGAAGACATCACCCATCAAC